TTGGAATTTCTGGAAAAGCCCTTAGTTGGTTCGTCGACTACTTGTCCGGCCGCAAGCAGCAGATCCTCATCTCGCCTTCAACCAGCCCTGCTCTGGCTTGCACCTGCGGAGTGCCCCAAGGCTCTGTTCTCGGCCCCGTCCTTTTCAGTATATACACACGCGATGTCCCTTTGGTTTCCTCGCCTGTGCCAAGTGTACAATTTGCAGATGACATAGCCCTGTACGACTCCCAGGCCTCAGCGGCGGAAGCGTCCAGAACCCTCACCACAGCGGCAACTGCTCTGGCCGGTTGGCTGAAGTCCCGAGGCCTAATCTTGAACGCCACCAAGAGCCAGGTTCTGACTATCTCTCCCCAGCAGCATGTACAGGAAGTAACAGTCAAAAGCGGCGACTGTCTCCTCCCTTCAGCGTCTTCTGCGCGCTACCTCGGCGTTCACCTTGACAATCGCCTAGATTGGGACACCCATGTAAACTATGTGGTCACCAAGGTTGCCAAGAAAATTGGCGCCTTGTGGCGGGCACGCCGAAGCCTATCAAGACGCTCTCGTCAGGTGTATGTGAAGGCGGTCATAATGCCCGACCTGCTTTATGGCTCCTGCTGTTTTTCAACCGCAATGCGAGAGGGTCAACTGAAACGACTGCAAACCACGCAAAACAGAGCCATCCGCTGTATCGATGGCAACCCGCCCCGGACAGCCATGCAGCCGCTGCTCACTGCTCACTCCCTGTACCGTGTCAGCGAGCTCTACAGGCAGAAAATATTGATCACCATCTGGCGGTGCATCAACGCCCGCACCAGCCCTGTGCTCGCCCAGCTTCTGACCCCGGCACAAGGCACCCCTACCCGCCATCAGCAGTCAAATGGCCTACTAAGCCAGGCAAACCGTAGCCGCCGCGGTCAGCGGAGATTTTCTGTTGCTGGTGCTCTGCTGTGGAACGCTCTCCCTGGTGAGGTCCGCACAATTACCCGGCTACCTGAGTTTAACCCTTTAAGAGCCGCCCCATACTTGAATGCGTCGTAAACGACGCATTCAAATGCAAACCTTCAAAAGATCGTAACTCGGTCCAATCTCGCTCAAATCCATCGATCGAAATATCCAGGGTGAAGAGAAAGCTCTCACCTGTCGGGAGAAACAATCCACAAAGCGCTGCGAGCAACGGTTCCTGAGATAAATCACTCGTAAGTTGAGCTGCGATCGCGGCAATTTCAAAAGCGCGCAGTGCAAATTTAGTATTGAGAATTTTGAGACTTTTCGTCACGCTGGTTTACTCGAATTTTCACGGGTTTCACTGTTGATATTGTCAAGAGTACACAGCAAAAAAAATGGAACTCCACGATCGAGTAAAATGAAATATCTGGAGCGGGACGCAATTGGACGCATTTGGGCCATTTTTCGTACTGTCGCTGCGATCTAGCGCTGGATAGACGGTGTGCTGGCTATCATGATCGACCTCATTCTCTTCCTCTCGCGGAGACCGTTCCAGGAAGCCCTAGATTGCGAGGATTGAGTGAGTAGAACTGAAGCTATGATCCGAGGAACACGAAAAAATGCAGAATTTTGAAAATTTCCTGTGGCTCTTAAAGGGTTAAGCATGCATGTGTATCATACGCCTGTAGGGAGTAGTTCGAGTTGCTGCTGATTGCTCTGCTCTCCCTCCCCGTGCAGTTCAGTAACCCGCACGTAGTATCACAGATACATCGTATTCTCTCTCTCCCCCCGTTTACCCGCAGTTATTAGTATCCTATTCTCTTACTATGTGCTTCCATAGCTTTTACTATGTTCTTCCATAGCCACTTCTAGGCTAAGCCTTCGCCGTCATTTTATTGGGTCGTCATCCCGTTTGAATGTGCGAAGTGAAATAAAAACCAACCAACCAACCAACCGGAGACGAAAATCGACAGCGCGGAAAGCAGCAAACTGATGGTGGATCCGCACCCAGGACATGACGTTGCTGTAGGACTTGTCCCACCTGGAGGCAAGGCGCATAGCAAGTCGCCGTTGATACGCACGGTACTCTGTGTGCAATGCACCATCAGTTGAGCAGACCAGCGGGGTGAAGGATGCTCGCAGCTCCTCTGCGGCCGCCTTGTACTTTCTCTTCTTGGAAGAGGCAGCACTGTTGGATACGGCGTTCCAAGAGAGGTTCGAGCGGACGTAGCTGGGTGCGTCGGCATCCACGATGCGCTCGTCAAAGTACGCCACCCTGTCTCCTTCCCAAACTCCCCGGACCAGCCAATCCGCCTGCAGTGTGGGACGGTTGTTGCCATCCTGCACAGGTACCATCACCGGCTCGACAGCCACACCTCCCCATGCAACGTCTGCCAGCCGGGCATCGAAGTCGCGGACATCGTTGTGCCCGCGCTTGATGAGCCCACCCTTCATGCAATCCAGACCATGCTGTAGGGAGAAAGCATGTGGTCTTGTTTTCTTCTCTACTACATGTACCGTAAAGTACCGCCAGACCGCCCCGTCTCGCGAGAGCGCCCCACCTTGATTTTACAGCCAGAGAAAGGAAAATCGAATGGCAGAGTTCAACGAAGTGTGTACGATGTGAGAATCTTAGTGTACTAAGGTCACACTTGGCAGGTTTTGGTGTGGAGCTTGTGTCCGTACCACTCGAAGGTACGGATTGACTGCAAACCGTGCAATATGTACACAAGGTTCATGTCGTATGACCTACAGACAGCAGACCACCTCCACGCTACGACCACGAAAGGATGAGATGGTGGGGCGCTCTGGCGGTACTTTACGGTACATGTACCTGGTTCAGTCATGTGTGTGTGTGTGGCCGGCCGTGAGGCCATGGGTGGGGGGGGGGCATTCTGCTGCATAGTAAAGTTCCGAGGGGTACAAACACTGCATAGTAAAGTTCCCCGGGGGTCCAATCACTATGATCCGGGGCATAGTACTAATTATTATTATTATTATAAAGACAACACCTCATGGCATGAAAAGAAAATCAGCCAGTACGGGAGATGTGGGTGTTAACCAACCATGGTGAATAAAAGAAGAAAAGAAGAAAAGTAATGGTCTAGACGGAAAAGCATGAGAGGGACTTTTTCCCCAAGGGCCAAGCGCTAGGGGGGGGGGGGGAGTAGTACCAAGAGTACATAACCCCGGTACTCTTGGTAGTACTATGTGACACCGGCCCTACAGGCCTACACTAGGCATTTTGCGCACTCGCAAGTGACCAAGAGTGCAACCAAATACATGAGTGTCCCCATAACAAGGTGTCCATGCATGCTAGATATCAACATGGCAAAGAGAAAACATTACTTCTTCTATTCATTAGTTGACTTCTTTTGTACTTGTAAAAAGATTTTTTCATTTGCCAAATTAGTTTGAGTTACATGTACCTTTGAAAATTATCATGTTCAACTGTCTTCCAAACGATGTCAACCTCACCCTGCGAATAATCAGCTCATCTCTCCCGCAGCTCCACTTCTCATTCCATCATGATCGAACATTAACTATACTCTATAGTATCTTTTTTTTTTAATTATTAGAGCAATATCCATAGCCGGCTCTAGCGCCTGCACAGTCACGGCTGCTAACATCCAGAGTCAGTTTGCGGCCTACCCATTACTATCTCGTCCACCCCGGGATACCTCATAAAGGCTGGATCACTCCCATCTTCTGCTACCTGTACTGTATCAGTGTGAGAAAGAACTTTGAAGAAGACGAGTTCGAGCATACGCTAATATATTGCCACGATTCCCTTCTTTCACTGAAAACACTATTTGCATTATAGCAATAAAAACTGCTTTATCGCAGTTTTCTAAAAAAGTTATTGTGTTCTAGTCCATGGACCTCGTCTAAAAAGTAAGAAATTAAAGAAATGTGAAAGACGTGTATTTCTCCACTTTGCGTACAATGTTTCATAAAAATCGCAGGGTCGGTTTCTCAACACGGGTTTTCACACACGTCTCCCTCGGTTCTTCCAACATCATGTCGATGCTCAATGAATCCCAGCGATATTTCGGTGACATGATCTACTGGGCAATGTGTAATGCTGAACGAGTAAGAATACTAAGAAACAAGGAAATTCAAGTACAGCATCAGGTATCGATTTTACTGAACATCTCGACATGATGCCCCTGTTTTGCCGGCAATTTCCGCTTTTTCAATTCTTCGATATTTTGGGAATTGTGTGTTGCTCCCTACATGGGAGCTCGCGCTCTTCCTGCCGATTAAAATTTTGCTTTATCACAACTCGTGAACACCAGATGGCATCGTGAGTCAGTGTCGCCCTTGGAGGTGCGGAACAATCGCTGAGGACCGTTGGCTATTCGCAACGTTGTTGCCTCCAAACCATCTAATTCGCAAGAACGCGCTGGGGACAGCAATGTGAAGAAGAGGTTGGTACGACTTCGGCTATACTTGGGGAATTGTGTTTTGCTCCCTACATGAGAGCGTCAGAAATGAAAGGTTAGAAAGAGGTCTGTCTCGTAGTCAAGGAGACAACCAATAAGCGGTTAACGTGTTTAAAGCACGGCGGAGCGTTATGTATGTTGAAGTCTCTAGCTCTTATCGATCCAGAAAACGCAAGGAGATCACTCAAAACAACTACTAGTATTATCAAGCTGGCAAACTTGGGCTCGCATTGGTGGTGCCAAGCACACCACCTTCAAGTGGTCTGCTCGCTGCCATATCTCAATCAAATTTTAAAATTTGTTGAGATAGCGAAGAGACCACTTGAAGATGGTGTGTTTAAGGTTTTCATATAATGAAGTGGATGCAGTGGAGCTTGTTAACAAGATAATAATTATTATAATAATGAAAAGTAATTCACGTTTCGAGTCAGACTCGGCTAGAGGCTGAGTTTTCCGCATCCGCAGGAACGCCGACACCCATCAATGATCAATGCGCACATGCAGCTGCTAAAGCAAGCAAGATAGCATGTACGTAATGTCACCTAATGTGTCCCACGACAGTGCACTGCAACTCAGGTTGCGGTATGTACGTGGAAATGCTGTTCAGCTTCTCTGGTGACATGTCCTTTTAAAAGGAGACTCAACAACTACCGGTAAAAATCACCAGTGTACTAATTGTTTTAAGCAGAGGGAAATCTAAGCAGACAACACTTTCTCACTCTTTAGAGCAGTATCAAACTGGTAAGAATGACAAGTACAAATTATAAACAGGCGATAAGGCTGTTTAAAACCTACACAGAGTTTTACACGTGGTACGCGGATATTGGTAGCACTAGATTTGGTGACGCCGAAGAAACCAATACAAATGTAAATGGAACGGAATGATGCCTATAATTATTGGAAAGCTGTAAATAAACGGTGATAATCGGAATGATGCAAATATTGGAAAGCTGTAAATAAACGGTGATAGTCGGCTTGAAAAAGCAGAAATATTGCTGTTTCATCAGATACATTGAAGAGATTCTAGTTGTTCACCGACAGGACATACTACTTATCCCCTGTATCCTTTGCTTATTTTTCTTTGCATTATACTATTCCCAGTCTGTACAAAGCAGAAAGCTACATAGTCAACTGCGTGTGCCGTACAAAGACAATGAGAAATACCTGTAACTGCTCGGTGCCCAGAACCGCTTGAACATGGGAAAGGGTTACATAACTACACTATGTGATAGAGGTTCGCCAAAGATTCAAAAATGGTGGCCACTAGGACATTACGAAAGACAATGTTTTGCTCCACTGGTAATGCGCTGGTGGTTTTCAGTGTGAATTATTCACGTATTGGCATTTGGCGTGGCAAAGGAGATCAACTGGTGATTGTGGAGATATGGTATTGCGCTTACAGTTCATGGCTGGAACGTGTGCAATCATGTTACTGTGTTTTCTTCTGATTCTTGGCGTTTTGATCATTTTTTTGTATTGAGATATTGCGTCATATGTAAGCACATTAAAAATTTGCTTTGTCCATACAAGAGGCTTTGCTGTGAGAGTGTTTGTGATGATTAATAGAAAGGCTGCCAGTAGTGACTATTGTGACTGGGACTGGATACAGGATGCACGTTGGCTCTGTTTGATCATGTCATACACAATCTCACTCTCCTTAAGCAATTCCAGGTCATCTTCAGTCTGCCTGCCACAGTGTGCTGAAGCCGTAACGGGTGATCCTGTGATGGACGATCCACTCTTCTGCTCTGTTGATGTAGCCATGGGAGGTGACGTTGAAGGTGATACTGTATCAACATGGAGGTCGTGAATCGGGGCGGTCGCCAGATGGTACAATCCAATCGGGGCGGTCGCCAGATGGTACAATCCACATGTTCCGTCGTTGTTGGTTGCCCGATTGTTTCTGATGATGCTGCCCTCCTCACTTTCTCCATTGCTCGTACCAGGTTTTTTCGGCTTCTTGGGCAGAGAGTAGACGTTTTCCTTAGTAGGGCTCTCATGCGTTGCTACCTGCTCACGCCTTTCAACCCCATCTTGAACGTTTATAACGTCCCTTTCATTGCGTGGCATGACAGAAAATTGATTATTCTCGTAAGCTCGCATTTCCCTGGTTTTCGTGTCCTGACCTACGACGTTCAGGGATGCTTTCCGTCGCCTGCGGACAATCACCCATATCAGTAGAGCAGTCAGCGCCAGCCCGAGCACAGGCACACCCACAGCTATAGGGAGTGTAGCTGAACCGGTGCTAGCGAGGTCCTGCTTTTCTGTGGCATAAAACAAAACAAGGACAGATGTGTGAGTACTAATAATGTATACCCACACACCTGAATAGAACACTTAATGTTTGCAAACGCTCCTGTAAAGTATGATCGTATACACCCCGGAATTCATTGCGGAACTCAAGTTTGATTTTAGATTTCTATATCGGGCGGCAGGATGAAGGCAGTAATAACATTACTTATCCATGGCCCAGTCATTCCACTCAAGTGAATACAAGTAATACTGAAAGTACGACCATAGTATGCTGCATTTGTCTAACCATGACATGTGTTGCATGGAACACGTGTAACTATAACTTTATGACCTGTACATACCAGAGGAGCTTGCTAACTTCGACTAATGGCTGTTTTGCATTACTGTGTCTGCCGGTGAGAGTGGTGGAATTTCCAACTGCCCTCCGAGAAATCGCTCTCTCAGATGCTGTTTCTCTTCCTATCTCACCAACGCATTCTGCCATCATCTCAACTTTTATACTGACTCTGAAGCTGCGCCGAACTAGGCTATTTGAAAATATCCACCTCTCCGCACTGCAAGTGGGCAGTGTGGAGAGCCGGAGAGTTTCAAATTATTTCAACTTTTTAATTTAATACTATTAGTTCTTGCTTGTTTCAAAGCTCGAACGTGAAATAGGTTTCCCCGGGAGTGATATGGCTTGCGTCTATAATGTATATGAAGTGCTCTTGATACGATCATTTTCTGATGAAAATACTTGTTCTATTGTGAGTAGCGCATCTGACTGGGCGAGTCTGAAATTTACAACTAAGTTTCATTTCGTAATGACACAATGAATTATCATAAGTACCTGCACAGTGCTCATCTAGGATTGTGTTTTCAGTAGATGCACACGGACACTGGTACGAACCGTCGGTGTTCTCACAAGTGCGATTCTCGCCATTCAGTCTCGCAGTGCAGTTGTGCGTTCCATGTTGACTGCATTCATCAATATCTTGGAAAACACGTGCATTGGTTAAATACAGGTAAGTACGAAGTTTAGTTCACTTATACCTGAATTCAACTTCCTTATTGATAAAGAGGCCAAAAGCTGCTGCTTACCTACATGTCGTTTATACGGTAGATTAATTATATTTTCAATTATCTATCAAGAAGGGCTGCAAAACTGATTTCATGGTTTGAGGGAAAGACGCAAACGAGAAAAGTCTGAAGAAAAATTGACTATCACCACCAGTACTCAAACCAGGGACCCTCGCTCGTAGCCAGCGACGCTCTAACCACTGAGCTATGTTCTAGTCGTCATCCCAGCAGAGACCGTTCAACGCTTTCTTCACATTTCGTAACTCACACGTCCTCTGAATCCATACAGGCGGGTGAGACGCAGCCCTCCCTGTAACATACACACTTCACGTGCAAACTAGTACACGGGGGAGGGCGGGGAGCTCCAAGTCATTAAATATTCACGGTTTGAGTGAAATACTGAGTTCATGCACACGAGCCCTGGCTACGTACACTCATTTTACAACCATGTTAAGACGCTCAATACGAGTTCATAGCGGAAGAGTAATTATGAAGATAATGTATACTTCAGAGTAGATAAATGCCGGAAACACATTATCAAGGTATGTTGTACATGTATCATTCCCATAGAATGTCATCAGTGTTTGGCCTATACCTTGACACGTTACTCCTGTGTAACCTGGACTGCACTGACAACGATGCGCACTCCAACAGACTTCCAACTTGGAAGGTTCTAAGTTATAGAAATAACATAAGGAGGGGAAGGTGAGCGCAACCAAGATAAGCACGAGCTGAAAGTCTCAGCTGTGAAGGACGTTGGCGGATGTTCATGCATATCGATGACGACACTGGCAAGATCATTGGACAATACGGTCAAACCACGATTCAAGAACGCAAAGCAACATTCCACAAAACTTGTGTGGCTCAAAAAATGCGAAGATCAATGACCTGATAGTTTAGTAACTGGTGGTGTTAGTGGCCAGTATAGCGTAACTTGTAGTTCCTTGGTCTTTCTCTTTTCTATAAAACAAATAATAGGGCTGTATTTTTAAAAGAGCGATGATATCCCTCCCTAAAAAAGAAAGGACTTTCGCTACACAAGATGACTTGACATGTTTGAGCCTGGACTAAACCCTGGTTTGTAGACTTTCATATTTCGAATTCTTTCCCGTGTCAGTTTGCATTCTCGGCGCTGCTATGGCGAGTGTACAGGCCATGAAACAGTACATTTCCGAACTCAGGTGCATGTATGTTGTGAATGTACTGATGTCTGCACACAGCACTCTTGTAGCAGGCGGATGGTCTTGACTCTTGAAGGAATTTCAAACTCCGAAGTAAACCTAAAACGCAAGAAGCCATGATTATGGCACTGCATACATTTAGCTTGAAGTTTAACATGTACATACACATTGCAAATCCGAGCAAGACTATACCTTGACATGATGATCCAGAGTATCCTTTCTTGCACACACATTCATACGATCCAATGGTGTTGTTACATTCACTGTTGATCGTACTCTTGCAGTTCTCTCGGTGGACCTTACATTCGTTGATATCTGTATAGAATGGTGCGAAGGTTAGACCCAAGCTAAATGAATGCACGAAACTTTCGACTTCTTTCGTCACCATTTCGCTCTGTGCATAATGTATTTCCACATTCCTGGTATTTGGGACCAGACAAGCACGTATTTTTTTCTTGTGCTCTTTTCGTTTTCTTACCGTGATTACAGGCCCTTGCCCAGTAATTGGCCATCGGAGATTGTTTTAGTACTACAGTATAACTGATTTCACCTCTTCAGCCTTGCCACCTGCTGAATGGCACAATTACATGACAGGTTTTATGGCGTCTGTTGGCGTTTGACTATCCTGTCCTTCGGCGTTATAGTTTTATCTCTAAGGTGTAAGGCGTGTGTGTATGTATGTATGTATGTGTGCGGGTATGTGTGTGTGTACGTGTATATGTGTGTATGTATGTATGCATGTATGTATGTATGTATGTATGTATGTATGTATGTGTGTTTGCGGGCGTGTGTGTGTGTGTGTGTGTGTGTGTGTGTGTGTGTGTGTGTGTGTGTGTGTGTGTGTGTGTGTGTGCGTGCGTGTGAGTTTACATGTACGGGTGCTTGCCTGGACATTTGTGCCCATGTGCCGATGCTTCTTAAAATGCTTTTGGGGTTCAAGGGTGCTTTGGCTAGATTGGACGTTTCCTATCAACCATATGAAAATGATATGCTAGCATCTTACCTTGGCAAGGTGTTCCTGTAAAGCCAGACTTGCAAACACATTGATATGATCCAGGTGTATTGTTGCATTGACTGTTAGCAATATTGTTGCAAACACCCGTATCATGTGTGCACTCATCGATATCTGTCATGTGAATACAGAAACAGCATTGATGTCATCTTCAATCTCACAAACACATGCGAACGTATGCCTTTTTGTACAGCAGCCTCGAGAGAGACTACATGCCCAAGCAAGCTACCAATATTAAAACCTCCCACAAATCGTCCTTAGTCGCGCTCGTAGGACACTTGGAAGTAGAGAATCGCCAAAGTTAGCCTACCCTGCTGCTTCAACTACAGTCAAACCTCTTTAGGACGAACACCAAGGGACCGGTGATATTTGCTTGCAATAACGGGAGTTCTTCTTATCCGTATTTTATACCCAGTGAATACACAGTGATTTATCCAACAGAGCTAAACTTCTATACCGAAAGTTTGTCCTATCAGTGTTCTTCTTAACGAGGTTTCACTGTAACACAGTTGCATACGGCCTGCCACGCCACCTGGTGATTTCTACATCAATTAAACTCAATCAGCTATCTCTGAGGAGAATGTTCTTTCCACCAACCACCAAGCAAAAGTAAACATTGAGACACCAGTACGCACATCGGTCCTCTGAAAATACCTATTCCTCTGAATGTGATTGGAAGAAATTCTCCCCTCGACTTCCGGCGCTCTCTGTGCCAATTCTAGGAGCGGAAAACGAAGAATGGATGCACAATGGGTGTTGAGAATGCTCACGAAGTCACCAAAGCAGCGTGTAGTACACAGTACAACAGGGAATTATAGCTAGTTCAGAGTATTATACATGTAGCAGACTCAGCCTCAGCTCAGGGATCAACGGATTTGCTGGTTCAGAGTATTGTAGATCTGAAAGTAACAGTGTCCTACGAGCATGTCAACAGATTGTTCCCGTTGCGATACACACAATCCCTCCCCCTCCCACCCCGTTGGCATGCAATCAAGATCAATACTATACAGATAGCCTGTACCTTGACATGTTGAACCTGTATATCCAGTCCTGCAAAGACATTGATATGAGCCAGGAATGTTGTTGCAGTGGCTGTTAGCTGTGCTCTTGCAGATACCCGTGTCTGGTACACACTCGTTTATATCTGGGGGTTGAGATTATCACATGAAACATAGTGGTGGAAATGGTTTTCAATACAGTACAGGCACATTGTATTTGTTGCGCAACGTGTTTGTTATACAGTAGTGACAGACTTTCCATGGCCTCTTTCTGTTGTGATTCTTCGGTTTCTTGTGTTCTGGCTGCACATGCAGTGTTCTGGGCAACATGCGCTGGTCGTGAACGGTTACGTCATTGTCACGTGTGTCACAATGCATTGAGAAAATGTGCGAGTGCATAAAAGTATTATTGAAAGGGCGAGTGGTACCACTCAGAAATTGTCAGCAGAAAAGTTCAGTATCAGTACCCTTTTAAAACAATTATTCGTCATTGGAATTGTTGGTTTCATGTAATGGCTACTGATGGTAGCAGCTAGTCAGCTGAAGAGCACATGGAGAGGAGGACTAGAGGGATCTGTTATTGATAAATAATCACACAAAGAAATGAACTCAGATGGTGAACCAAGGAAAAAATTGTAACATTGAAATTGCGGGCACGAGTTATGCGATCGAATCCACTAACTAAACCAGATTTTAACAGTCAGACGTGCACAATCTAGCACAAAATTGACAAGGAGTACTGAGATTTGCCTCGGCTCGACGGCGCTTGCCTTCCCCTCTTTGGAATTAGCACTAATGTCCAAGAACCTTCCAAGTTGGTAGGCCGTTGGTTAGCGCTATCGATCAGTGCTCAAGCTGCCTTTCCTGGCGTGGAATGTCTCAGTACTCCTTGTCAGTTTTGTGCTAGATTGTGCACGTCTGTCTGTTTAAAATCTGGTTTAGTTGGTGGACTCAATCACCTAACGTGTGCCCACAATTTTAATGTTACAAACAAAGAAATGACCCCATATAATCCTAAAAGATGATAACATTCTTTTTGTAGTACTATGCGGGGTCATTTTTTGAAATCTTTCTGTATACAAGTCATCATGTACGAAGGCTCTATTAAGAGTGAAATGTGTTTGTCATCCAGGAGAAGACCAGTCAGTGAGCCTTCATACCCATTCTACCATGCACTAACCTATAATTGTTATAAATCAGTGTTGCATTCACCAGTGAGGAGTGTTCGCTTTCGTGTGTGATTCTTCATCAGGCTTCATAGCAGAGAAAATTGGGAAAATAAATACCGAGAGCCTGATAAAACTACAATAATGCGATAATAACAAGTCAAATCTTAAACAAGCACTATCAATAAAGTATCCATACTTGACCTGTACCTTGACATGTTACTCCAGTGTACCCTGAATTGCACTGACAACGATAAGAACCGGGTGAATTCTTGCAGATACTATCTGTGATATGTTGACAGACGCCAGGGGTAATTGAGCATTCGTCAAGATCTAAAAAATAGAGGCAAGAGGGAAATGGCGAACCTGAGAACGAATGTATCCACTAACCACTCATCAGCGTGATGTTGATCAATATTCTCTAGGTTCATTTTTCACCTCTGGCCTTTTAGAACCGATTTTGGCCGCATTTTAAAAAGGCGCCAAACCCACTTAGAAAAGTAAATTATCGTGTCCGTTCCCGAAGGGAACTCACGACGGCCGCTAACACCCGGTAAATCCTAGCGGCAGATGCAGCGCCTAACGGTGGGGGTGAGTGGATAAATCTCAAAAACCACTGGCACAAGTGCCGAGAAACCCCATTAGCCACATCCATGTATCCCTTGTGCCTGGTCACAAGTTTCCAGGAAAGACTTGAACGAGGTATCTCTCGTGTCTCGATCATGATCTTTGACCAACCCACTGTGCCTGCCTGGTTATAAAACGTCGACGCGTTTGGGGCTTGTGCTTGCTTCTCCATATATTTTATCATTGTACTTTACACCTGTTTGCAAAGCTAGCCGAATTGCTGATCTCATACCCCTTCACTATGTTGCCCTCAAATATGCAAAGGAAGAATAGCACTCTGGTCACACAAGGTTCAGTGTACATATAAATGCTACTTCGAAGTACTTTTAATAATAATATGTGCATGACCCTAAATTGGGGTGGGGAGGTTGGATGAATGAAATGAAGTCAGCGTTCATATTGCAACACAATTACTTTAAGCAAACATTCGAAAAATACGGATAAGTCCTTGTAAAAGATATTGTGGAGTCTTTGCCACCACGATTCTGCGAGGGTTAGCCTTACAACAACAAAATGTTACTCTGCGTGTGTCCGATGCAAACTTGGTAACAAGAAGGCCAAGTTGACCATCCCATCTGTAGGCTGTCTATAATCAGACACCTTTGACAATGTGATTAGACTTTGATAATTCAATTTTGGATATGCTAGCTTAGTGCATGGCTACGTCGCCTGGTGATGGCTCAGTGTGAAGCTCTGTGTTTCAACTGACAATCCTGACTTTTATATGCACACTAGTGCAAGTCCATCCAGGTGTATTCTTGAAGAAAACATGAGTACTTCGAGTAGGTAAAACATTCAGCAGTTCCACATTCACAAGATTTCGCTAGATGGCAAATTTTTGAACTAGTTTTCAACTTCGCGAGTCAGAAGTCAGCGCGATTTTCAGTACCACACACTCCGACTAATGATAATATACTGCAAAGTACCGTCAGTCAGTGTCGTGCAATGTTATCGCATGAGCTGATTGTTTAGTAACTGGCGGTGTTTTATTTTTTTATTTTTTTTATTTATTGCAACATCTCAAGACTCGGCGGAAACACCGGCTAATATTACGAGAGTGGGTGATTGCCAACCACGGCGATAAATAGAAAGAAGGGGAGGGAAAAAGAAAGAGTAGCAAAACGAACAGCAACAACAACTCCGTAAAGAAAGATAATGTCAAATAAAAACAGTGAAAAACACAGAGACGCAAAGGACATGTGGATAATGAGCTATGCATGTCGTAGTAAATAAGGGGCGGCACGGATCTTAAACAGGCGGAGTGAGGTCACGTCCTTAACTTCTCTGGGTAGAGTGAGCCAAACAGAATAAGCAATAAAGAGAGGGGAGCGCAAAAGAGTGGATGAGTTACACTTAGGGAGTAAGAGTGAGTTTCTAGTTCTTAGAGAAGAGAACCAATTAAAACACATGAGATGAGGTGGGCACAACTCAAGCTTAATAGAATGGACAAGAGAAGCCAGGTGTGCACTGCGTCCATGTGATAACGGGGTTGTGTGAGCGATTTTATAAAGGGCGGATGATGAGAGCATGCGGGGTTGACGGAGGAGAATTTTAAGGATTTTCTTGTGATGTATTTCAAGCTTTGCAGCAGCGGAAGAGGATAACCCAACCCAAGACGTATCTGCATAATGAAATATTGGGCGAAGGTAGGCGAAATAAAAAAGAAGCTTGCAAGAAAGTGGGAGGTAGGAGCAGTGGGGGGAGAGAATTCCTAAGGATTTACTTGATTTTTTACAGATATATTCGATGTGAGGTACCCAAGAGAGTGCAGAGTCAATCACAATGCCAAGGTGTTTGTGAGAAGACACTATGTCAATTGGATTTGGAAAGTTGGCATGGATGAGGGTTGTGAACTCCGGCTGGGGCGGGAAGAGCATGATCTTTGTTTTTGATAGATTTGGGGACAACCTCCAGGACGACATCCAGGAAAGAACTTCCTGAATGCCAGCACGCAAGTTGTTTTTCAGGCCAGTGAGGGAAGCTGATGAGGTGAGAAGGGTCGTGTCGTCAGCAAACAGAGACGTTCCAGGGAAGACTGCAGGTAAGTCGTTTACGTAAATTATAAATAGTAGGGGACAAAGAATTGATCCTTGAGGAACGCCCGACAATACTGGCTCTGCAGCCGAGGATGTGCCAAGCACAGTTACGTACTGATAACGCCCAGAGAGATAAGATTTCAGCCAGGAGAGTGGCTGTTTGCGTACCCTGAATGCATGCTCGAGCTTTGCCAAAAGTCCTCGATGCCAGACGGTATCAAAAGCCTTGGCCAAGTCAAAGAAGCAAATGCCAGCAAGCGCTCTGTTATCCCTATGCTGGCACACCTGCTGCACGATGCGGGTCAGTTGAAGAGAGGTGGAGTCGCCTTTACGAAACCCAGATTGTGCGGGACTCAGAAACGGCGAAACATGTCTGTATAAGTGGTCATAAAAAAATGCGTTCACATACTTTGGACACGCAGGGAAGAAGAGAGATAGGGCGGTAGTTTGCAGGTTCGTGGCGGGAACCTTTCTTGAATACAGGTATGACTTTCGCTGTTTTCCATGCGGAAGGGAATATGCCCGTGGTAAATGACATGTTGAAAATATGGCACAAAGGGAATGCTATGGATGGTGCCAGGGCCTTGAGGACCCGGTTGGGGATGCCGTCAGGACCAGACGCCTTGCACGTCGGAAGCTTCTTCAGATGACGCCGGACAGTGGCAGTTGTGGTGATGACGGACGTGAAACAAGCTGAGGGCTCCGAGGGGGTGAGAATAGGGGGAATAGAGAGCAACGGGTCATCTGGCCGAGTCACAGAGGCAAACTGGGCGTTTAATGCCGTAGCTTTGGCCAAAGGGTCAGCCGCCTGCTGAGTCCCTGTTGTGAGTGACGGAATTTCCCGTGATACGTTTCGAATTCTTGCTTGTCTCACAAACCGGTGAAGCGATGGACGGTGTCTACCCTGCAAAGTAGTTTTCATTGAGCGGATATAAGCTCTGTACTTTGTCCGCGTCAGGGTTTTCACTATATTTCGCTGCTGTTGGTATGCTTGTTTGTTTTGTTGTGTTAGTGGACAGTATGGCGTAACTTGTAGTTTGTTGGTCCTTTTTTTCTTTTTTATAATGTATCCTTGGCTCCCCATCCGAGTCCATACTCCAAAGTGGTTAAAGAAAATGGTGCTGATCGTGGAATCAGGTTACTTGCCTTGACACGTTGATCCATTAGTGTATCCTGCATTACAAGAGCATTTGTAACTGCCGAATGTGTTAGTGCAGGTACCTCTGGGACTAGGACTGCAGGTTGTTATATTCTTGCATTCATCGATATCTGCATCAAGTAAAAAAAAACAGCACCACAAGTAGAAACGGTACCCTTTCCTACGGCCAAAGTTAGAAATCCTTTTTCTTTCTTGGTAACTTGAACATTTGGGCGAGATTTTGCAAAAATGTTTGCTTCAGCAAAATGCTGTGCATGAACGCATTAATTCATTGCATTCCCAACTCATCACAACCACGCGCACTTCAGCCGAACCATACAGACACCAGCAAGGACACTTCCGTTGAGAGATAATATTGCTCCACGCCTCTAGACAGCTGTTTCGCTCCCTGTCGGAGCTCAGCAGTAGAGGATGATAATGGTGATATTGGAGGAATGATTATTCTTATACACCAGAAATGGCGCAAGTGCGCGCTTTCCACATACATCAAGCTGCTAAAATGGTAAAGTGTAAGAACAGCGATAAACGAGAGAGCTTGGAAGCTCAGGGCCCTACGCTATGCTTTTTATGCTTTTTTGCCCAGCTCATCGTACATGTTATAAGAACTGATGGAATTGCCTTTTTCCGTTGATTGGCCACATCACTGTATTGCAAAAACGTTTCAATCGGTTTGAATATTATGAGTCAAGCGGGATTCACAGAAGCTTTTTTGCGATGCGACACGGGATGCGACAGGCGCGAAACCGGGAAAACCCCAAATCGCAGCCATGCCGCACCCCACGCAACTGACGCAACTGGGCCATCGCATGCCATCGCAGAAGTTGAGCTTGGCTCAACTTTTGCGATGCGATGCGATGCGACAAGCGATTTGGTGTACGATTTTGACCTTTTCTACAGCAAAGTTGTACAAAGGTGCAAGAGTTGCCTATACATTTTTACAAGTTGTGTCAAACCGCGCGAATATCATGGTGACGTACCCAAATCAGCAAAACTTTGTCGCATCGCTGACTTCTTCTGTGAATGGTATTTCGCGAGTTCGCATCGCACGCATCCATCGCAGATCGCGTCGCATCGCGTGTCGCATCGCAAAAAAGCTTCTGTGAATCCCGCTTAAAGCGGGATTCACAGAAGCTTTTTTGCGATGCGACACGCGATGCGACGCGATCTGCGATGGATGCGTGCGATGCGAACTCGCGAAATACCATTCACAGAAGAAGTCAACGATGCGACAAAGTTTTGCTGATTTGGGTACGTCACCATGATATTCGCGCGGTTTGACACAACTTGTAAAAAATTATAGGCAACTCTTGCACCTTTGTACAACTTTGCTGTAGAAAAGGTCAAAATCGTACACCAAATCGCTTGTCGCATCGCATCGCATCGCAAAAGTTGAGCCAAGCTCAACTTCTGCGATGGCCCAGTTGCGGCAGTTGCGTGGGCCGCGACATGGCTGCGATTTGGGGTTTTCCCGGTTTCGCGCCTGTCGCATCGCGTGTCGCATCACAAAAAAGCTTCTGTGAATCCCGCTTAAGGCAAAAGTATTTGCAGAATTTATTGCGGATTGTTATTTCTCTAATAATCATCTACTTTTGTTTTGCTCCTTCTTTAATTTTTATCTCCTTATATTGTAAATCAACAAATTTTGGCCCATGAGAAATAGAAACCTCTCGATTAGAGAGGTTAAGATGCACGTTATTTCCGACGTGACGCGCAGTTTCACGTCAAATTTGAAATCGATCGGTATTTTTGCTCTCACATGCATCCATTGCTCAATCATGCATCATTTGCCTATATGACAAACGTTGCCCTGTGATTTACTTTGGCCGGTTGGTACCAAGCTGCGAAATCAGCGAAATTAAATCGCCAGCGAACATTAGTTGATTTTAATACAGGAATCGGATTTTCTGGCCTTTTTGTAGTAATACATGTACATAATCATTGACCTGTTGAGCCAATGACGACGCCGAATGCATGGTTGCCTGTGGAGCACATTACATTACTTTACAGTCTCCTAAAATACGTATCCTGTCCGACGGCAAAAGAGGCTGCAGATTTAGTTTTTTCTGCGCGTCGACGGGATGTCTGCGATGCGAAAGTTCCGCTCGCGTTATTTGGCTCGCACGTCGAAAAAATCAACGCGAGTGACCTGCTGCTCACGTCGAAATTTGGACATTACATAACTTTACAGTCTCCTATATAAATACGTATCCTGTTCGACGGCAAAAGAGGCTGCAGATTTAGTTTTTCTGCGCGTCGAAGGGATGTCTGTCCTGACGTTCACTGGGATCGGCGCTGACTCTGCCGATCACGGGCGTTCTGGACTCGACAGGATGTCTGTCCTGACGTTTCCTGGGACCGGCTTAGACTCTGCCGATCACGGGCGTTCTGGACTCAACGGGATGTCTGTCCTGACGTTGCCTGGGACCGGCAGACTCTGCCGATTACGGGCGTTCTGGAGTCGACGGGATCTCTCTTCCGACGTTTCCTGTGACCGGCGCTGAATCCCTCGTTCACGCTTATTTTGGAGACGACGCGATCTCTCTTCCAAAGTACATGTATGGTTATGCTGACGCTGTTTATGCTGACGCATCCTATCACCTATTCGGCGTCTATTCTAATTTAATTTCCTCCTCGTCTCCCTATTTCATTCCAAATCTCCCTCTACATCAGGGAGTCGTATACATAATACGACGAATATTGGTACGGTACGGGACAGATACAGGAGCCCGCAAATATTGTGGACAGCTGTTATGTACAATCCTGTAGAGCCTTTGTAGTCACAGATACGGGACAGATACGGGACAGATACGGGATAGGGCCAGGCGTGACACAAACAAACAAACAAACACACAAACAAACAAATACCAAATTAAAGCTGTGTGGACCCTGGCTAGCGCCAGACGTTACTGAAGTAACGTCTTCTGGATAGCTACGGGAATAATCATAGTACGCGCTCATTGGTGGAGAAACACACCACACAGGCGACGAAAATCTTACGCGGAATACTGATGCCAATGGAAAGTACATGTATGTTGTTTATTATTATGATGTTGCAATATCCATGTATGCAGGCGAGTTGAGACTCACCGCCGAGATCCCCCAACGCCACAGGCTCGGTTGCCGTTCAGGATTCACACCGACCTGTCCGCCCGTCAACAGGATCGACAGCGAGAGGCCCCACTGATGCCGATGTCGATGCACACCAGGAAACTTGTAGTCGTGAGTGTGATACTAACAGGTCTAGTAGCAACCACTGACACACGAGATGCCAGCTGGGGCATTCACTCCAGTCAGGGATGCTTGTTCAACGCTTCGTATCAGTAGCTCAGCTCAGTTTGATCAAACAAAGATGTTGCAGATGTGTATTGCTTTTCTCCTTCCTTCTTCACTGACTCGTCTTGTCATCTCTCCTTCTTTCTTCACCGACTCTTCGTGTCCACTCTGCTCTGCCACTAACGGCGTATTAAAACTTCAGAACTAAATATTGCGACAGAGCTTTCAGCCATATTTTCAATTCATTGCATTCCCAACTTATCACAACCACGCGCTCTTCAGCCGAACCATACAGACACCAGCGGCCTCTCGTGTGTCAGTGGTTGCTACTAGACCTGTTAGTATCACACTCACGACTGCAAGTTTCCTGGTGTGCATCGACATCGGCATCAGTTGGGCCTCCCGCTGTCGATCCTGTTGACGGGCGGACAGGTCGGTGTGAATCCTGAACGGCAACCGAGCCTGTCGCCTTGGGGGATCTCGGCGGTGAGTCTCATCTCGCCTGCATACATGGATATTCCAACATCATAATAATAAACAACATACATGTACTTTCCATTGGCATCAGTATTCCGCGTAAGATTTTAGTCGCCTGTGTGGTGTGTTTCTCCACCAATGAGCGCGTACTATGATTATTTATCGCTGTTCTCACACTTTATCACTTTAGCAGCTTGATATAATATGTGGAAAGCGAGCACTTGCGCCATTTTTGGTGTATAAGAATGATCATTCCTCCATTATCATCATTATCATCCTCTACAGATGAGCTCCGACAGGGAGCGAAACAGCTGTCTAGAGGCGTGGAGCAATATTATCTCTCAACGGAAGTGTCCTTGCTGGTGTCTGTATGGTTCGGCTGAAGAGCGCGTGGTTGTGATGAGTTGGGAATGCAATGAATTGAAAATATGGCCGAAAGCTCCTTCGCAATATTTAGTTATGAACGCATTAAAACAATAAAAATCGTTTAACGTCGCAGTGTCCTTTCGCAGGCACAGTGTTTGTAGCCCAATTCCATACCCGCGACTTCTGGATGTGTTTTTATCGATTGAATGATCATTTACTGCCTTTCTCGTTGGTCGTGCAGCTGTGGAAGTTGCGACGTTTGATTTTTTAGTTAAATATGGGGGGGGGATACGTCGTGGGTGATTATATGAAGAAAGCTTCTGGGCTGAGAAATAGTGACAGAGGAATTAATCAACATGGACAGAATATAGGAATTGTACTGAAGCTGGATGGTGACCATGCGGTGGGTGTGTGACTGTTGTTTTACCGTTATGGGGCAGGGGTTCTGGTCTTCTAGCGTCACAAAGAGATTGGAAGCTGTGTCACAACTCTGAGTGTCACGTATTACTACGATCATCAGGCTTGCCTGCTAGGCTTGCAAGCCTGATGATCGTAGTAATGCGTGAAACTTAGAGTTGTAACACAGCTTCAAATCTCTCTTGTGTACAAGGCTCTGCCCTACATGGGTATTGAGCACTCTTCGGACAGTGAAGCATGCCACTTGATTACTTCAAAATACATGAATACTAGTAATTATAGGACTGCACCACAGAACAAACATGAACTGCATCTGCGCCTTCATTCTAGAGGGTGGTGGCCTTCCCACGGCGGATGCGGAAATTCGGCTTCCAGCCGAGTCTAACGCGAACCGTGAACTTTTCTTCTATTCAGACCAACAAGGGCAATCAAGGCTTGTTTGCTGCTACTTAAAGTTTCATGCTTCCGCATTATAAGACTGCATTAGAAAAGTTTGTTCACTTACCTTCTGATATCACAGTAATGTAGGGCTCACTACCATTGAGTGCCACTTTACAAGATACAGGTGGAATAGTAAAGCGAAGATTTAACTGGTGTTTGAGGATTTGGACAGAGATTATAAACTTAACTCGATCTACTACCATTCCACCAGACCTAGACGATTGCTTGCTCTTTGTAGTATGGGTAGGATTCCATCGTGTCCAAGGTGATTTTGAGTCAATCCGTTCCCTCGTGTCTATCAGGAAAGTACAGCTGCCTTCTGACTCGATTGTAATCTCCTTGGCTACCATGTAACATTGTGGTGGATAATCGAATATCACCTCGTACGGCCCTGGAATAACTAATACAGTTCTTGGCCTCTTTGAGGCACCAGTTACTGACGAATATTGTAATTTGCCATCACCGGTGGGCACTGGAAATGATGGACGACCTGTTGGAATGCAAGTTGAAGTTTCCGTAAAACCTCTAGTGACATTCCAGGCGCTCAAAAGCAGTAGTGTGGGAATAACGTGTGTGATGAACAACATGTCCAGGCCTAAATGAGACAACATATCAAACGCAATCCAAAAACACTTTATCACTTCAGGTTCAGAAATTGTGTAACTCGGTGTTTGCTAAAGTTGCTGCTTACCGACATGGCCGTGGAAATTTAACAAATGATGCAAAGCGCACATTCTACTTGTCTATTATTCAGTCTACCCTAGACTATGCCGGTAATGCTTACCTACATTGTTTAAGCACAACTCTGCACCTGTGACCGTTAGTCACATTGCAATGAAGAGAGTGTTTAGACTCGATCATACCACGCTCACTGAACTAGTTCTTCGCTTATACCGCCTCTATTCTTTGAATCAGCATACTAACATCAAGCTCTATGTTTTTGTGTACCGCTGCTTGGCCCAGAATCTTGCTAGGCCTCTTCTTCAGTCTTTGTACCAGCTTTGGGCAACTACACCTGGTCACCAGGCATGCACCTGGGGCAAGGCCACTTGTTTATACGCAGTGTGGCATGCGCTCTATTTCTTTTCTGGCGGCAGGTAGATGGAACTCTCTTCCAGCTCACTGTCGACAGGCCCGCTCTCTTGCTCAGTTCATTAACATGGTTAAACTTAACCTAGGGTTCCAAGTAAAAGGGCACTAGCCTGTTGGGACTCCCCTAGTAAAAATAATAAATCACCTGGACATTAAAAGGGAAGTTCACCCTAAAATGAAACTTCACAACCTGTAGCGAAAATGCACTGATTCCAATGGTGAAGGTCCCAGGCCAGGTGGATCGGAGCAGCCGTTCCCGAGTTACACCAGTTTGAAGTTTACATTGCATTTACAATTTGTTTCCACATTTTCTTGCCCATTCTGCCCGTGCGCGGGATCCAAACTTTAAAAAAAGTCCAGAAGCAGCCATGGGTGGTGGGATAGGGCTCCTCAACGTGGCCCTGGAATCTGTCACAAGGGCACGAGTGGGCGTTCTCTCACAGACTCCAACAGAGCCAAGTCAATTTTTGATGTTTCTTAGGTTTAGGGCGTGCTACGAGGTCGTACCTTTGATACAACATCCAGTGCTGGGTCCTCCACAGCAAGCCATTTCCACCGTGCTGCACACCAAATCCAGGATATCCACAAATATCGGAAAAGACTATCACTCACGTTCCACTACTGCCTAGTACTGAATCCTACCTGACTTCTTGACACGACTCAAACTTGCCAAAGTCACTACATCAACATCAACTACAACAATCAAGCCACATATCTGTAACGTTACGAGGGTGCTGGCAAAAGGCCTGCTGCTTCGCCCGCCGCCATGCAGCCCAATACATGGCTAAAACACGTGATTTTTTAGACTTTATGGCAACATTCTGCACACTTTTGCGTGTTTCCATGAAACGACATGTTGCACACGGTCTTTTCAGATTCAATTACAGTGCTGCCAAAAAATGACAGCGTGCAACAAAACAAACTTTCCTTGCAAGGGCACATTTTCGGCCATAACTCTTGAACAGCTGGTCAGATCGAGACAAAATGTTCAGAGATTTTGCAGCTGTTCATGCTCTTTCAACTGATGTAGCACTAGATATGAATTTACAAATTCGATTTTTCAGGGATTTTACGACAGGCTAACTCCATAAAAACATGAGCACATGAAATGTGTGAAGTCAATTTCCAAGATTCTTTCCAATGTAACGACTGCATTTGTGATCATCCGTAATCACGTCAGTCTCACTTACCAGGTAATCACATGATCTTAGCAATAAAGTTTCTATGCATTCCGTTAAAGAAAGGTGAACTCGGATGGTGAGTGACAAAAAGCCATTTTGTCGCACTCGCTGACTGTATAATGGTTACGTTGGTGTAGAGTTGGTCATAACTCGTAACAGTTTTGTCCTTCTCCTTCTTTTCATGTTTTAAAAGGCATCAACATTCCCGACTACATAATACAATCATGTAGTTGACAACATAGGTATCTCGTAAGCTAATCACGCGGTTTCTGCTGAATTACCTGATACTTGGTGCTGAGCACACCTCGCTCACTCAATCTCTATTGATTGCTGAATTCCCCGCAGCATATGTATGGAACAGGAAGAGGTACTTTATTGTTGTTGTTGTTGTTGTTGTTGTTGTTGTTGTTGTTGTTGTTGTTGTTGTTGTTGTTGTTGTTGTTGTTGTTGTTGTTGTTGTTGTTGTTGTTGTTGTTGTTGTTGTTGTTGTTGTTGTTGTTGTTGTTGTTGTTGTTGTTGTTGTTGTTGTTGTTGTTGTTGTTGTTGTTGTTGTTGTTGTTGTTGTTGTTGTTGTTGTTGTTGTTGTTGTTGTTGTTGTTGTTGTTGTTGTTGTTGTTGTTGTTGTTGTTGTTGTTGTTGTTGTTGTTGTTGTTGTTGTTGTTGTTGTTGTTGTTGTTGTTGTTGTTGTTGTTGTTGTTGTTGTTGTTGTTGTTGTTGTTGTTGTTGTTGTTGTTGTTGTTGTTGTTGTTGTTGTTGTTGTTGTTGTTGTTGTTGTTGTTGTTGTTGTTGTTGTTGTTGTTGTTGTTGTTGTTGTTGTTGTTGTTGTTGTTGTTGTTGTTGTTGTTGTTGTTGTTGTTGTTGTTGTTGTTGTTGTTGTTGTTGTTGTTGTTGTTGTTGTTGTTGTTGTTGTTGTTGTTGTTGTTGTTGTTGTTGTTGTTGTTGTTGTTGTTGTTGTTGTTGTTGTTGTTGTTGTTGTTGTTGTTGTTGTTGTTGTTGTTGTTGTTGTTGTTGTTGTTGTTGTTGTTGTTGTTGTTGTTGTTGTTGTTGTTGTTGTTGTTGTTGTTGTTGTTGTTGTTGTTGTTGTTGTTGTTGTTGTTGTTGTTGTTGTTGTTGTTGTTGTTGTTGTTGTTGTTGTTGTTGTTGTTGTATACTTTATTTATAGTGTAAATCGTTTAGTTTGAGGCACTTGACTTGTGTAACAATTTTTGTTGTAGTAATTGCCATGATTTAGCAACGAAACAAGATGTTCCACTCTAAATAGCTAAAAAATGAAGAAACACTAGCTTGGATGAATTAGGCGAATCGAATTCAAGTCATCGAACCCTTGCCACTGCATTCGTCTCACATCTGTCTGCAAGGCGCAATTTTTATACACCAAACGGTCTCTATAGGCATGATAAAATGAGGAAAAAATTCACGGTTCGCGTTTTCCGCATCCGTAGTAACGCCACCACCCTTCAAGGATCAAGGCGCAGATGCAGCTGCTAAAGCGGAAGGAGTTGAGTAGACCAGCAAGTGGTCAAAGACTGAAAATCCCATTCACGCTCTCCATGTTTTCCTCGTGCCAGGCCACGAATCCCCAATTAACTGTGGTTCGCAGCACGGCTGGAAAAATCCCTCCGCTTCCAAGCAGGACTTGAATCTGGTACCCTCCGTTTCTCAATCATGGTCTTAGACCATCCCACTAAGTCTGCCTGCATAAACTGTGCCCTACAACCAGTGACTCCATGCCCTTTCGGCGCCCTCAAGTGCAGCACTAGCCAGGTGAGCGCGACCGTTGTAGCGTCCTGAACGTAAGCGCCGAATTTTACAGCGCCAAATATTGCAATGCTGCATACTTCAGCGCCAGCAGATAAGCGCATAATATCTCAGCGCTACATAATAATGTATGTCAGCGCCAAAAACATCAGCCCGACCTTCCTCAACGTCACAGATGTCAGCACCACATATCTCAGCGCCATGTATCACAGCGCCATGTATCACAGCGCCATGTATCACAGCGCCATGTATCACAGCGACATGTATCACAGCGCCATGTATCACAGCGCCATGTATCACAGCGCCATGTATCACAGCGCCGTGTATCACAGCGCCAATTTATTGATAATTATATCAAACTAGTGTAGTCTACTAGTATACTTCAAGTAGATGTCATGTGTACGTATATCGACTAGCGCCTGAGCTGGAGGTGGACTTGATCGCGCTGAACTTCTTTGCGCTGTACTTGGATCAGGGTTTTTTTATCCATAATTATTATGTTGGTAAACACGCACCTGGCAATATGGCGGTAAATACACGCTGGATAGTAGTTCTACAACAGGAAGAAAGGAGATAAATGTCTGTGAATACAGTCTAATGTCGAGCCAGACGCACCTCAGCCTGGACGAGGTCGACAGGCGCGAGGTCGAAGTGACGACGGCGAACAGAGCGTGATCCGCGGATGGCAGACCTGGCAAGAGAAATAGCCAAGCAGCACCGCAGCCAAGCTACAACCCGGCTATAGGCAGTGTGGCGTTTGGTGGTACTCCAGAATACAACTGCGGCCTCTTGTGTGGTTCTAGGGACAAGGGGCAGCGCAAGAAAGCTCGCTGATTCGAAATTAATATTATTTCTCGGACTTCTCACCGTAGGCTAATTGCAGTGAACCCCCGTTCAACCTCACAGAAACTTGAGCGCACAACTCGAACTTGAAAGCCATCTCACGTACAAGCAAAAGTACATAACCCCCCAGAGTGCGCAACGCCTAATCCAGCTCTGCAGAAGGTCCTGGTCGGATCTGGACTGTATTATGACGCAAAGATCCTATTACGCTGGACGAATGCCCTATGCAGAGCTGGAGCTGGGGTTATGTAATCTTGATATAAGTGACTTTTGGATCTGAAAACAACAGTGCAGGTTAGTTCTTACCTCCTTGATTTGCGTTCACTCTATTTTCTTCGCTGTACAATTCCTTTCGGTCATTGATTCCCAACGAGTCTCTGACAGCCTCTGCTATTATTGATGATTAAAATTGAACACGTTCTGAGCTTACACTGGGAGTTAAATGTAAATAGTTTGCCGTTTATGATGTGGCATTATGCGGCAGATTGAAGCCTCTTCAAACAGCCACATGCCGTTGACTGTTTCAGGAAACGTTAGGACACAAGCCAAAGCAGACATGTACGTCCCACGTGACGTGACGTTGCTGGCAATTCATTCCAGACAGTGGTTATGTAGTTAGTTCAAACATTGCGGACACTGAGCAAGGGACAGACGGTAACACACACAACACCTTGGTGCCATGCTGGTGACCAATATCCAACTGGCTGAGCAACGGTTTGGCATCCTGACTATGATTCGTTGTGTGCAATATGATCACATTCTGCTGGCTCGCTTATAAAAAATTGTAAGTACGAGATGGCACGAAATCAGAGTGTCTCTTCCTTTTCTCACGCTGCTTCAGTGAATTCAGGACGGAATTTGACAGCTGGGATGGTGCTATTATTTCCTGTGTCGCCATTCCCAGTTGTATGGAAGGCGAGCTACACCAATCTTGGTCAAGCATGGTATCACAGCTGCGGAAATCAGTGACGGCAAAGGACCAGTCAGTGCTTGTTTCCGTGTGCAGTCTTTCCTGCTGCGTGCAACGTGTTTTGTGCATGCTCTTCGCAGTTATCAATAAACACGATGGAAGGTCATCAATAGACTGATGGAAGGTTATCAAGTTCAGCATTTTCGTCGGCTTTTTTCTACGAGTACTTCAACTCCCGAGCTCTTGTGTACATGGCCCTAGATAATATTGATCTTCCGATACGCATGATGGCATCGGTGGTGGAAGTCATATGGATGTCATGAACTACTCCTCAGTGGGATGAGAGTTGAACGAATTGGACCCACTTGACTTTGTACTTCTGGGGGCCAAGGGCTAGTTCTACCTACTCGTACATGATGTGGGTTTTTCCTTGACTTAGTTTTACCTGATTGAGTGAAAGACTCAAACGGAAAAAATCTGAAGAACACTGACTGCCACCAATTAATTGTCTGCATTGAGAGTACGTCACTGCGATTTGCCGCTGTACGGGAGCAAACCTATCCTGTGCATTTTTTTAATGCCAAACATGAGATGCAGCTAGAGGAAGCACGCACCACCTGGATCGTGGCAATGTAGCGTTTCTCAAGCATAATCCATCTCCTTCTTCTCGTCAAGAATGCCCATGTAGCCCAATGGAATTTTTTCTATATCACATTGTTATTTGATTATGCCATCAAGGGGAGGACTTGTGCCTCGCGTCTATTTACACAATTGTATTACTTACTGTTTTTTACTGACGCATCACATATCCAAATCGTAAAGAAGTAAAAAGACCAAGGAAAAAAAGATGAAGCGAACAAATCAGCAATTGAGTGTGGATGCACAACAAGCAGTGAGGATGGTCGGCATGTTATACTTAGTAAATCGAATTCAAACTGTGTGAAAGTGAGGATTCAATACTTTTGTGTCCGCTACACCGTAGTCGTGGTTGAAAAATCTAGAACAGGAAATGACGAAAATACGAGCATGCGTCTAGAACCCTTGCCCAGCAATAACAGGCACAATGTATGGCAACAGGCTGTCATGATAAGGGTGAAGCCACGACGAAGTCAGAATTGTCAAAGAAACTAAATATTTATTTCACGAAGAGCAATAATGTAAACAATCAGTGTTCCGTTTCTCAGCTGAAGGCACGTAATCAAAAGGGTGGTCATGCTTGTGTCATAAGATATGAACACGTGGAGGAATGTGGAGGGGTGCCGAAAAGATAATCGTTCTATCAAAAATCCTGTTAGGGAATTGACGGCCAAGTAAAGTAGATAAGGATCTACTCTTGCAAGTCTGCGATGTGAGTCAAGTCTTTGAGCAAATATCTACCTCCTCGTATCCATTGCCATTTGGATTGTGGTGTTGCTTAGCCTCAAGCCTCAAGATTGTGTTCGTGTCCGCGGCCAGTGGTCCACGTAGTGCATTGTCGTCATACACAGGATTCAAGGTCATGCCAACCTGGCTAGTACAGCTGGAAGACACTGTGCTGTTCGCGTTTGAGTTTCCGATCGTGCACGCACTGTTGTGCACTTCCGATGCGCATGCTGGTAAGGTATACAGTTCATTTGTCGTCAATGTGACAGCATCAATCTGGCTTAGACGTGATTCGGGTGTTGTAGAACATCTACACAGCGCTTGATCACCTCCTCTACTTTTCATTCTGGACAGTTTCCTGTTCTTTACACAGCAGACTAGGGCCGTAAGTCCCAGCGCTACTGCCAGGATAGAAGCTACTGCTGCCACGACGATATAGGTGGTGGTATGAGAGATCGTGCTATGAAAGGTGCTGATGCTTCCTGGTGATATCGTCATGAAAGTTGTTGACGGCTTGCCTGGAAGGAGAATCGGATAATATAGTCAACTCATGAGAAGTCAGAGTATGTGCATGACATAAAAAATGTCGACTATATACAGATTAGGCAGCACAAATTTCTCCCATTAACCCATATTGCCCTCCCTGCCATGCACTTACCCATATCAATCGTCTAGCAGTTGAATACAATTATAATTATATTCACTGGTTAAACATGTCTGTATTAGTCCGAACATTCCAATGTTATTGTCGGCCTTACTGTTGACGTTCGCATCAACAGATTTGGTTGCAGACTTGCGGTGCGTAATGAATGATATATTTCCCTAGGGAAACATGTCTCCAGGGAGTACAATCATGTTGTACAGAGCTTACTGGTCCTACGAACACGGCGAAACGTCAACAACTGTCAACAATGGGTTCGTTTGGTGGCATGCACTGCTGAATTTAAAATATTATGGAGTAGAGCATAAACTGTAGAGGATATTGAGGATGCATCGACAAAGAGTGAGTGGCTCTGAATCACACTGCTTCTAACTAGAGCTTCACTATAATGTTTGTTGCACTGGAAACGACGAGGCGCCAGTGTAATCTCTATCCATAGTACTGCATCTCTGCTTCAGTGCTCTAAAATGAGTGCTTCTGGAGCACACATTTCATCAGTCTCCTTCAGCTCAACCCTCAGTAAAAGACGTGCGTACAAAAGTGCTTCCCACGAGGTGAAGTGGCCATGCTACTGGACCATGTACCATTGTTTTCGTTGCGACTAAACCGTTTTAAAGAATTCATTGCAATTACTTTCGTGGTTATTAAATAGGGCAACGTTCGCGAGGTACGATGCGAATGCTTGAACAGCAGCTATCAATTGATGATGCAGTGGTGTCACCAACCAAATCACTTGGTAACATCTCTGGTACAGAAGAACAAGGACAAGCCTTGATTGTCCTTCTACATGTACTTGCCGTGCTGTTAAAACACGAGATAGTCATAAATCAGACTCGGATGGAGAGCCAAGGATGTATTGGAAGAAAAAAGGACTAACGAATTGCAACAAATTGAAAACTTCTCCAATTCTTCAATGTACAATAAAGAGTACAATGAGGAGAGGGGAAGGAAAATGTTCGGTTCTCAAATTTCCTAGTGTTCATTTGAACTAGTGTGGATCGCGCAGATTCACGTACTACTACTACGTTGAAGACATAAACTACAAGTTACGCTATAATGTCCATTAACACTGCTAGTTACATGGCAATCAGCTCATGCGATAACATTGCACGACACGCTAGAGCAGATTAGCAGTTACATGTAGTTGCAGAACGTCAGTACCTTTGGTCTGTGTTGTGCAATGTTATCGCATGAGCTGATTGCCAAGTAACTGGTGGTGTTAGTGAACATTATAACGTGACTTCTAGTTCATTGGTCTTTCTTTTTCTTCCTATAGTCATAAATCAATCTTTTTACCAGCAATTTTCCCTTCTTCAGTGTACATCTGGAGGACTGTTGAGGGTGGAATTCTACTTAATGCTGGTTTGTCGCGTCAGAAGGGGTGCTCTTCTCCAGGTTTGCCTAACGGCAGGTTCAATGCGCTTCTCATGTGCTCTGGATAAGAATCCTGGGTTTGTCAAGTGCCCGTCGTTGCGTCCAGGCAGGGAGCTTGGGGTCCAAATTCATGGCGTCCAACTTGCTTGGGAATTCCTTTTGATTTTCTTCTCCAGGTCTTTTTGTTCCAAATTATCATATTTTGTCTTTCAAGTTGGATCAGGATACTATTCTTTAATACCGCACGGTTTGTTTGTGATCGTGACGTTATCCTCGACCTCTGCTGACTATGGTCATTTGTAACCAAACGGAAAAGTGCAATACCAGTTCATATCAAGCACAACTTTATCAACACAATGTAAACTTTAGAGTAGGAAAACCCCCAGAATCACTACTATTGATAAGTGTCCTTGCTTAACATATACCTTGACAAGTTACTCCTGTGTAACCTGAACTACACTGGCCACGATACGAACTGGGTAGATTCTTGTAGTTACTGTGTGTGATGCGTTGACAAACGCTAGGGGAGTTTGAGCACTCGTCAAAATATAAAATAGGGGAAAAAGAGGAATGGCAGTGTTGGGAATGGACCTAAAAGCGATATTTGCTCATATGGAAAGAAATGAAAGAATGTCAGACTCCTAAGGAAGCCTGAAACTCAAGAAGCCATGGATATTGCGCACATAGATTGAAGTTCAACATGTACATTGCAAATCCGAGCGAATTGATACCTTGACATGGAAGTCCAGAGTATTCATCTTGGCAAACGCATTCATACGATCCGATGGTGTTGTTACATTCACTGTTGATTGTACTCTTGCAGATGTCTCTGTCGTCCTTACATTCGTTGATATCTGAAAGGAAGTAGGTGTTTGTTAGACCCGAGTTGCACGAACGTGTGAAGCGCAGGGATCATCTCACAATTTCGACTTCTTTCGTGAGCATTTCTCTTCGTAGTTCACAAGTACCTGTTGTTCCACATTGCTGGTCTGTGTGACGCTTGAAGCGTCACTTCCGTCTGGTTTTATTTTACTGATGTAACTGTGACGACAAACCTTTGCCCAGTCTCTCGTCTTAGCACTAACGCCGGGGTTTGTCCATCGGAGATGGCTAACAGGTATTAGTTTCTGATTTCACCTCTTCAGCATTGCTACCTGTTGAGCACCAAATTATTGGCGTCTTTTGGCGTTTTACAATCGTGTCCTTTGGCGTTATATTTATATTATTGAATTTTTAATTATTGAATTTTTATATTATATCTAAGGCCTAAGGTGTGCGTATGAGAGACAGTGTGTTTGTGCACTTGCGTGCGTGGGTTTGCATGGTTGTGCTTGCCTGGACATTTGCGCCCACTTGTGTGCTGATGCTTCTTTTAAAAGATGTTTTTCATGTTTAAGGGTGCTTTGGCCAGATTGGAAGGTTCCTATCAACCAAATGAAATTATATGCTAGCATCTTGCCTTGGCAAGGTGTTCCTGTAAAGCCTGACTTGCAAACACATTGATATGATCCAGGTGTATTGTTGCATTGACTGTTAGCAATATTGTTGCAAATACCCGTATAAAGTGTACATTCATTGATATCTGGCATGTGAATACAGAAACAGCATTGATGTCTCCTTCAATCTCACAAACATCATCCGAACGTATGCCTTTTTGTACAGCGGCCTCGAGAGATTATGCCCAAGCAAGCTACCATTATCCATACTGCCTACAAATCGTCCTTAGTCGCGCTCTTAAAAAAGGACACTTGGAAGTAGTGAATGGCCAAAGTTAGCCGACCCTACTGTTTCAACTACATACCGCCTAACCTGTCACCCCATGATTTCTATATCATGTTAACTCAATCAGCAATCTCTGCGGAGCATGGTCTTTCCACCAACCACCAAGCAAAAGGTAAACGTTGGGACTCCAGTACGCATAGCGGTGCTCTGATAATACCTGCTCCTCTGAAAGCTATTTAAAGAAATTCTCCCCTCGACTAAGGGGGTTCTCTGTGATAATTCTAAGAGCGTGAAACGAAGAAGGATTAACGAAATGTGTGGCCTCCAAAGCAGAGTGTAGTACACAGTACAACCGGGATTTATAGCTAGTTCAGAGTCTTGAAATTCTGAAAGTAACAGTGTTCCGCTAGCATGTCCACAGATAGTTCCCGCTGCAATACACAAATCCTCCCCTCCCACCTGGCATCCACTCAAGATCAATACTATTCTATTTTTTCTTCTTGCTGTTGCTGCTGTCCCCGCAGAGACTGTTTGTTGTTGCTGTGTGCGTGTGTATGTGGGTGTGCATGTGACTGAGGTGTGTTAGGGGTGGGGGCACGTATGGTATGGCTGCACACAGGAGTGAGAAAGAGAGTAAAAAAGAAACAAATCCTCCCCTCCGACCTCGTTGGCATCCACTCAAGATCAATACTATTCAGACAGCCTGTACCTTGACATGTTGAACCTGTGTATCCAGTCCTGCAAAGACATTGATATGAGCCGGGAGTGTTGTTGCAGTGACTGTTAGCTGTGCTCTTGCAGACACCCGTGTCTGGTATACACTCGTTTATATCTGGGTATGAGATTGTCACATAAAACATAGTGGTGGAAGTGGTTTTCAATCCCGTTCACGAACATTGTATTTGTTGCGCAACGGGCTTTGTTATAGTGACAGACTTTCCATGGCCTCTTTCTGTTGTGATTCTTTGGTTTCTTGTCGACTTTGATGCTCTGTTCTGGCTGCACGTGCAGTGTTCTGGGCAACATGCGCCGTGCATGGTTACGTCATTGTCACGTGTGTCACAATGCATTGAGAAAATGTGCGAGTGCATAAAAGTATTATTGAAAGGGCGAGTGGTACCACTCAGAAATTGTCAGGAGGAAAATTCAGTATCAGTACCCTTTTAAAACAATTATTCGTCATTGGGATTGTTGGTTTCGTGTAATGGCTACTGATGGTAGCAGCTAGTCAGCTGCAGAGCACATGGAGAGGAGGACTAGAGGGATCTGTTATTGATAAATAATCACACAAAGAAATGAACTCAGATGGTGTACCAAGGAACAAATTGTAACATTGAAATTACGGGCACGAGCTATGCGATCGAATCCACCAACTAAACCAGATTTTAACAGTCAGACGTGCACAATCTAGCACAAAACTGACAAGGAGTACTGAGATATACCTCGGCTCGACGGCGCTTGCCTTCCCCTCTTTGGAATTAGTATTAATGTCCAAGAACCTTCCAAGTTGGTAGGCCGTTGGTTAGCGCTATCGATCAGTGCTCAAGCTGCCTTTCCTGGTGTGGAATGTCTCAGTACTCCTTGTCAGTTTTGTGCTAGATTGTGCACGTCTGTCTGTTTAAAATCTGGTTTAGTTGGTGGATTCAAACACCTAACGTGTGCCCACAATTTCAATGTTACAAAAAAAGAAATGAGCCCATATAATCCTAAAAGATGATAACATTCTTTTTGTAGTACTATGCGGGGTCATTTTTTTGAAATCTTTCTGTATACCAGTTTGGTTGAGTTGGGTAACTCCGCTCTTCTTCCTCGCTCACCGGAGGAATTTCTCTAGTCTCCTCGCGCAACTGGGGAGCACTCCAATGGAGAGAGAAAGATTTTCATAGGGCGGCTTGGTGTGAGAGGTGGACTGAGACTTGACGGCGCTAACGGCGAATATCAAGACCTTACGGCCACGGAGCTGCGGGACTCTGCGCTGGTCGTCTATCCGTGTGGAGGCAAAGCAAACGCGGGCAACATTCTGCTGAAGCGAGCGTGGAGCTGAAGCTGGATTGGTGACTGACGTACCTGCTTACTCCACAACACCGGCGCATAATGATGTACATGTACAAGACTTCGTGAGTATTCAACTCAAATTCGTGTTCCGTCAGCGTCAGTATCAGCAAGTACATGTAGTACAGTTTGTTCCCAAAATAACTTCGGGACAGTCTGTTCATGGTTTTCATTTGACTCGTTCTCTACACTTGCGATAATTTAGCAGCAATTCTAACGTTGTAGCGTTGTTCTCTTGTAATTTAGTGGAACCTGTATTGAGTAACTGAGTTTTATGTTTCGTTACATTGTCGACAGATCTCCTGTGTACCGGTTTTGTGGCACAATGATTATAGCCATTATATTTTGTCGTCCCCATTCTTGTGCAATCATGCATATGTAGGTAATGGTTGGTTCTCTTCATGTTATTGTGGCCAATTTCATAGATGTTGGTTGCCTTGTTGCTTTCTCTCCCCTCTCCTCTCACCCAAGCCATTCTGCATAAGCGAAGCTGTGGACGCAGCATACTGCTGCTACACTTCAACGCGGGAATGCGTATAATAATAATAATAATAATACAAGTCATCATGTACGAAGGCTCTATTAAGAGTGAAATGTGTTTGTCATCCAGGAGAAGACCAGTCAGTGAGCCTTTATACCCATTCTGCCATGCACTAACCTATAATTGTTATAATTCAGTGTTGCATTCACCAGTGAGGAGTGTTCGCTTTCGTGTGTGATTCTTCATCAGGCTTCATAGCAGAGAAAATTGGGAGAAGAAATACCGAGAGCCTGATAAAACTACAATAATGCGATAATAACAAGTCAAATCTTAAACAAGCACTATTAATAAAGTATCCATGCTTGACCTGTACCTTGACATGTTAATCCAGTGTACCCTAAATTGCACTGACAACGATAAGAACCGGGTGAATTCTTGCAGATACTATCTGTGATATGTTCACAGACGCCAGGGGTAATTGAACATTCGTCAAGATCTAAAAATAGAGGCAAAAGGGAAATGGCGAACCTGAGAACGAATGTATCCACTTACCACTCATCAGCCTGATGTTGATCAATATTCTCTAGGTTCATTTTCCACCTCTGGCCTTTTAGAACCGATTTTGGCCGCATTTTAAAAAGGCGCCAAACCCACTTAGAAAAGTAAATTATCGTGTCCGTTCCCGAAGGGAACTCACGACGGCCGCTAACACCCGGTAAATCCTAGCGGCAGATGCAGCGCCTAACGGTGGGGGTGAGTGGATAAATCTCAAAAACCACTGGCACAAGTGCCGAGAAACCCCATTAGCCACATCCATGTAACCCTTGTGCCTGGTCACAAGTTTCCAGGAAAGACTTGAACGAGGTATCTCTCGTGTCTCAATCATGATCTTTGACCAACCCACTGTGCCTGCCTGGTTATAAAACGTCGACGCGTTTGGGGCTTGTGCTTGCTTCTCCAAACATTTTATCATTGTACTTTACACCTATTTGCAAAGCTAGCCGAATTGCTGATCTCATACCCCTTCACTGTGTTGCCCTCAAATATGCAAAGGAAGAATAGCTCTGGTCACACAAGGTTCAGTGTACATATAAATGCTACTTTTAATACTAATAGGTGCATGACCCTAAATTGGGGTGGGGAGGGGAGGGGGGTGGATGAATGAAATGAAGTCAGCGTTCATATTGCAACACAATTACTTTAAGCAAACATTCGAGAATACGGATAAGTCCTTGTAACAGATATTGTAGAGTCCTTGCCACCACGATTCTGCGAGGGTTAGCCTTACAACAACAAAATGTTACGCTGCTTGTGTCCGAAGCAAACTTGGTGGCGAAAAGGCCAAGTTGACCATCCGATCTGTAGGCTGTCTATAATCACACACCTTTGATAATGTGATTAGACTTTGATAATTCAATTCTTGATATGCTAGCTTAGTGCATGGCTACGTCGCCTGGTGATGGCTCAGTGTGAAGCTCTAAGTTTCAACTGACAATCCTGACTTTTATATGCACACTAGTGCGAGTCCATCCAGGTGTATTCCTGAAGCAAACATGAGTGATTCGAGTAGGTAAAACATTCAGCAGTTCCACATTCACAAGATTTCACTAGATGGCAATTTGAACTAGTTTTCAACTTCGCGAGTTAGAAATCAGCGTGATTTTCAGTACCACACTCTGCGACTAATGATAATATACTGCAAAGTACCGTCAGTCAGTGTCGCGCAATGATATCGCATGAGCCGATTGTTTAGTAACTGGTGGCGTTAGTGGACATGCTAGCGTAATTTGTAGTTCCTTGGTCCTTATCTCTTTTCTCTAAATGTATCCCTGGCTCCCCATCCGAGTCCGTACTCCAAAGTGATTAAAGAAAATAGTGCTGATCGTGAAATCAGGTAACTTGCCTTGACACGTTGATCCATTAGTGTATCCTGCATTACAAGAGCATTGGTAACTGCCGAATGTGTTAGTGCAGGTACCTCTGGGACTAGGACTGCAGGTTGTTATGTTCTTGCATTCATCCATATCTGCATCAAGTAAAAAAAACAGCACCACAAGTAGAAACGGTACCCTTTCCTACGGCCAAAGTTAGAAATCCTGTGTCTTTCTTGGTAACTTGAACATTTGGGCGAGATTTTGCAAAAATGTTTGCTTCAGCAAAATGCTGTGCATGAACGCATTAAAACAAACAATTCGTTTAACGTCGCAGTGTCCTTTTGCAGGCACAGTGTTTGTAGCCCAATTCCACACCCGCGACTTCTGGATGTGTTTTTATCGATTGAATGATCATTTACTGCCTTTCTCGTTGGTCGTGCAGCTGTGGCAGTTGCGACTTTTGATTTTTTAGTTAAATATGGGGGGGGGGATACGTCGTGGGTCATTATATGAAGAAAGCTTCTGGGCTGAGAAATAGTGAGAGGAGTTAATCAACGTGGACAGAATAAAGGAATTGTACTGAAGCTGGATGGTGACCATGCGGTGGGTGTGTGACTGTTGTTTTACCGTTCTGGGGCAGGGGTTCTGGTCTTCTAGCGTTACCGGGTATTTTAGCACTCATTGTAGCACTTTACAGTGTTTGGTGGGTTTTGCTGTGCAAATATCAGCATTATCATTGCGCTTGTATTCATTATAACATTTATACACTTATTGAAGATTGTGAAGAGGAAGATGGCTCGGATGGAGAGCATGCGAAGAATTTAATTAATTGAAGGAACGAAAAAGGACCAAGGAACTGCAAGTTACGCTATACTGTCATACGTTCACAATGCACGACACTGACCAACGGTACTGACTTTCCTAACTGCCAATCACCTCTACCAGTCCACGTCTTGGATGCGCACTCCAACTGCCTTCCAATTTGGAAGATTCTAAGTTACGAGTACTAACATAGGAGGGGGGGACGCGTAACGACGACAAGCACAAGCTGAAACCCTTAGGTGTGGAGAATGTTGGTAGATACCAATACATAAAGGCCATTGCTGAGCCACCGTGCTAACAGCAAAACCTCTATGTGTCCGTTTTTGTTGTAAAAGTGCACCAGAAAGACCTCTATAATCGTCATGTAATAGTTTTGTTGGATGCATGTCGTTGTAGCGACAAAACATTACAGCGACACTCCCTCCCCCCCCCCCCCCCACCACCACCACACACACCAACTCATAGCGGCCAGGGAAATTCTTGGTGACCATTTGCAAGATATATTCTGATCTTAACCGCAGGTACATTTTTTCCAAATCTTCTCTCTTCCCGGGATCCCTGTACTGTGACTGATTACGTTCTTATTTCTTTGAAATTGGTTCTATAACAAAAATATACTTTCTCGCGTTCACGTGGATAAAACCAAGTGGTCGCATATGCTAATAGAACAAGATGAATGATATCCGGGTGGATCAGCAGACCAAGCGGCCTGCCAGAAGCCTTCCATGTGTTGACAATTGATTATTATAACCCTGGTATACAAACTGGTATACAAACAATAGAATAACAATCCAACGAATATATAATTTCCAGTTTGTTTATTACTACTAAAAAGTACACAAAGAGATTTGAAGCTGTGTCACAATTCTGAGTGTCACGTATTACTACGATCATCAGGCTTGCCTGCTAGGCTTGCAAGCCTGATGATCGTAGTAATGCGTGAAACTTAGAGTTGTAACACAGCTTCAAATCTCTCTTGTGTACAAGGCTCTGCCCTACATGGGTATTGAGCACTCTTCGGACAGTGAAGCATGCCACTTGATTACTTCAAAATACATGAATACTTGTAATTATAAGACTGCACCACAGAACAAACATGAACTGCATCTGCGCCTTCATCCTAGAGGGTGGTGGCTAGGCACCGGCGGATAATGCTAGCAGAATAATTAGCATAATGACCCATGTGGGGAAGACCGGCACTGCCCTAGCATAAAGTGTCCAAATGTGACCTTGTAATTGTCTAGCACAATCGATGTGTGAAAGTAGCACTACGTCCAATCTGTTGGCACCACAGTGAAAAGTAGCGCTATTTTTAGAGCGCAGAGAGACACACTGGTGCTCACTGGGACGCTGGCAGCCCTCTGCACCAATGTAATGAAAACGTAAGCATTCTTTCACTGTGTTTGCCCTGCGATACTGCCATACTCCGAGTGACTGCAGAGGGAAGTCATTATTTCCCACCGCAAGTATTGCCATATTGTAGCACTATCAGCACTGCTAGCATCATAACTAGCTCAATCGCTCCAAATAACTAGCAGTGCTAGTAGCACAATTTCCATATTTAACTAGCATTATCCGCCGGTGCCTAGTGGTGGCGTTCCCACGGCGGATGCGGAAATTCGGCTTCCAGCCGAGTCTAACGCGAACCGTGAATTTTTCTTCTATTCAGACCAACAAGGGCAATCAAGGCTTGTTTGCTGCTACTTAAAGTTTCATGCTTCCGAATTATAAGACTGCATTATAAATGTTTGTTCACTTACCTTCTGATATCACAGTAATGTAGGGCTCACTACCATTGATTGCCACTTTACAATATAGAGGTGCAATAGTAAAGCGAAGATTTAACTGGTGTTTGAGGATTTGGACAGAGATTATAAACTTAACTCGATCTACTACCATTCCACCAGACCTAGACGATTGCTTGCTTTTTGTAGAATGGGTAGGATTCCATCGTGTCCAAGGTGATTTTGAGCCAATCCGTTCCCTCGTGTCTATCAGGAAAATACAGCTGCCTTCTGACTCGATTGTAATCTCCTTGGCTACCATGTAACATTGTGGTGGATAATCGAATATCACCTCGTACGGCCCTGGAGGAACTAATGCAGTTCTTGGCCTATTTGAGGCACCAGTTACTGACGAGTATTGTAATTTGCCATCACCGGTGGGCACTGGAAATGATGGACGACCTGTTGGAATGCAAGTTGAAGTTTCCGTAAAACCTCTAGTGACATTCCAGGCGCTCAAAAGCAGTAGTGTGGGAATAACGTGTGTGATGAACAACATGTCCAGGCCTAAATGAGACAATATATCAAACGTAATGCAAAAACACTTTATCACTTCAGGTTCAGAAATTGTGTAACTCGGTGTTTGCTAAAGTTGCTGCTTACCGACATGGCCGTGGAAATTTAACAAATGATGCAAAGCGCACATTCTACTTGTCTATTATTCAGTCTACCCTAGACTATGCCGGTAATGCTTACCTACATTGTTTAAGCACAACTCGGCACCTGTGACCGTTAGTCACATTGCAATGAAGAGAGGAGAAATGATTTCTCGCGAAATATTTTCAGTTGCAAATATGGCATCTGGTGTGTTCTTTGTTGTCGCTTCTTTTCCTGACTTCTTCAGTCAGTTTTGAGTCTCACCAGTGTCCCTGCCCTCCCACCCTTTATTTCTGTGCATATTATCAATGCTTTTTATCACTGTTTGCCGTGATGTGCTTGCCATGCCTACATGATGCCTAATCGCCATTGGGGATATACACCCGGTTTTTTCCCTCTCAAATGCGTCCGTCGGCGCGAGGGTTTTTTCCCGGCTGGCTCGGTCCAGGAAAATTAATCTGACGGTCCCAAGTGGTTCTGCATCATGGCCTATTTCTGCTGTCCACTGGCACGACTATTCTATCTGAGACACTCTGTTCTCAGTCCTTGCTTGCTTCCATACCTCACTCGTTATCCGGTTCACATCTGGCTGCGGCCAACTACTCTGGCTGCGGCCAACTACCCTTCACTTTGTGTGTTGTCGCTATTGCAGTCTATGTCTCTGTGTATGCCAGTATAATGTGGAGCGAGAATGTTTAGACTCGATCATACCACGCACTTCGAAATCCTGACAAACCTTCCCCAGTACGACTCGCAAATGATAGTGGTGAAAATGTCAAAAATGTAAATTGGAATTTGAAGGAATTCAGCAAGTATTTCGCATCAGTGTTTTACCGGAGCGACCAGCCAACGCTTTTCCCGGCACAACCTAACAGTAAGGCAGAAGACGAACCATTTACCTCTGAAGAGATTAGGAAGGCCATCATGCACCAGAAAATCGGAGGCGCTGTTGGATGTGATGGGATCAGTGCGGCACTGCTACGTACGGCTTCGACTGTCATTACTCCATGGCTGACTACCCTATTCAACTCCATTAAGGAACTCCACTATTGCCCACCTGACCTTAGATATGGCCTTCTGGTGCCAGTATACAAACGAGGAAAACCTACGGGTGCACCGAAAAGTTACAGACCGGTCATGCTGCTATCAGTTGTTCGCAAGGTGCTGACCCGCATCATCACCATGCGGTCACAACAATCTACCACCTCATATGTACGTGAAAGTCAGGCAGGCTTTACACCCGGACGCTCCACGGCTGATGGAGTTTTCTATACGCGTGTCATGTGCGAACGTGCACTACTCGGTGACTGGAAATACTCTGCCGCACTATTAGACTTCAGCGGAGCATTTGATACCATTGTCCGTGAGAAGGCGTTGGCGCGATTTTCAGACTCTGGAGCTGCCACTGATGTCGTTGCCACTCTGATCTCGGACACGACGGTGAGAGTGAAACTCAGTTCTCATTTAGGCAAAGCGTTTGCTACAAATATCGGAGTAGTGCAGGGGGATCCGCTCTCTCCCATCATGTACAATGTGTATGCGGAGGGAGCCATGCGCCACCTTGATCCTATCGCACTTATCTTTACCAGCACCAACCACCCAATATGCAGACGACACAACAATCCATGACACGGAGAGGCGAGAAGTCGAGGAGATAGTGGAGAAATCAAGTGAAAAATTCAAAGAAGATAACCTAATGTTAAATATTCAGAAAACACAATATATTACAGTAACTAAAGCCGACTCCTCTTGGCGATCTGTCAAGCTGCTTGGCTCTTTGTTAGGGTCCGCAGAGGATATTCAGGCAAGAATAGGTGCTGCGAATAGAGCGTTCGGCTCCATTTCATGGAAGCGTCATAAACTGAGCTCCAGACTTTGTATGTTCTCTGCCCTCATTTTGCCTATCCTGTTGAATAACTGCGGACTGTGGGCCCTGACACAGCAACTCAGTAATCGGCTGGACGCATGGCACCGCAGAAAATTGCGGTACCTGCTTGGTGTGGTGTACCCTCACCACATGTCGAATGCCAAGGTGTGCGCCTCAACGTGACAAGGCCCAGTCAGCACTACCTGTCGCAGACGTCGGCTGCTCTAACTGGGCCATGTTGTTCGCGAAGGACGTAACTCAGCGTCCTACCAAGCACTGGAGATGGCAATTAATACCCGGGACATCAAGCGCCCACGTGGCCGACCCCATCTCAGATGGATTGACAATATTAAAAATGATCAAAAGCACGCCAATATTGATATTTCTGACTGTTTTGAACTGGCTCTAGACAAGAAAGAATGGCTGATGCTTGTGGAAAAATGTGCTGCGCTTGCGTAGTTGTTCTTACTGCGATACGTTCTAACAATAATGAGATGCCTTTTGTCGGCTCTTCTGCCTGGATTTCGTTGACAGATGCGTTAAGCCCATGGATCCTTCCATGAGTGACATGCGAACTGTAACTATTATTATTATTATACCACGCTCACTGAACTAGTTCTTCGCTTATACCGCCTATATTCTCTGAAACTGCATACTAACATCAAGCTCTTTGTTTTTGTGTACCGCTGCTTGGCCCAGAATCTTGCTAGTCCTCTTCTTCAGTCTTTGTACCAGCTTTGGGCAACTGCACCTGGTCACCAGGCATGCACCTGGGGCAAGGCCACTTGTTTATACGCAGTACGGCATGCGCTCTATTTCTTTTCTGGCGGCAGGCAGATGGAACTCTCTTCCAGCTCACTGTCGACAGGCCCGCTCTCTTGCTCAGTTCATTAACATGGTTAAACTTCACCTAGGGTTCCAAGTAAAAAGGCACTAGCCTGTTGGGACTCCCCTAGTAAAAAATAATAAATCACCTGGACATTAAAGGGGAAGTTCACCCTAAAATGAAAACTTCACAACCTGTAGCGAAAAATGAACTGATTCCAATGATGAAGGTCCCAGGCCAGGTGGATCGGAGCAGCCGTTCCCGAGTTACACCAGTTTGAAGTTTACATTGCATTTACAATTATTTTGTTTTCACATTTTCTTGCCCATTCTGCCCGTGCGCGGGATCCAAACTTTAAAAAAAGTCCAGAAGCAGCCATGGGTGGTGGGATAGGGCTCCTCAACGTGGCCCTGGAATCTGTCACAAGGGCACGAGTGGGCGTTCTCTCACAGATGCCAACAGAGCCAAGTCAATTTTTGATGTTTCTTAGGTTTAGGGCGTGCTACGAGGTCGTACCTTTGATACAACATCCAGTGCTGGGTCCTCCACAGCAAGCCATTTCCACAGTGCTGCACACCAAATCCAGGATATCCACAAAAATCGGAAAAGACTTCCAATCACGTTCCACTTCTGCCTAGTACTGAATTCTACCTGACTTCTTGACACGACTCAAACTTGCCAAAGTCACTAAATCAACATCAACTACAACAATCAAGCCACATATCTGTAACGTCACGAGGGTGCTGGCAAAAGTCCTGCTGCTTCGCCCGCCACCATGCAGCCAATACATGGCTAAAACACGTGATTTTTTAGACTTTATGGCAACATTCTGCACACTTTTGCGTGTTTCCATGAAACGACATCTTGCACATGGTCTGCTCAGATTCAATTACAGTGCTGCCAAAAAATGACAGCGTGCAACAAAACAATCTTTCCTTGCAAGGGCACATTTTCGGCCATAACTCTTGAACAGCTGGTCAGATCGAAACATAATTTTCAGAGATTTTGCAGCTGTTTATGCTCTTTCAACTGAGGTTGCACTAGATATGAATTTACAAATTCGATTTTTCAGGGATTTTACGACAGGCTACCTCCATAAAAACATGAGCACATGAAATGTTTGAAGTCAATTTCCAAGATTCTTTCCAATGTAACGACTGCATTTGTGACCATCCGTAATCACGTCAGTCTCACTTACCAGGTACATGTAATCACATGATCTTAGCAATAAAGTTTCAATGCATACCGTTTATGAAAGCTGAACTCGGATGGTGAATGACAAAAGCCATTGTGTCGCACTCGCTGACTGTATAATGGTTACGGTGGTGGCCAGTTGGTCATAACTCGTAACAGTTTTGTCCTTCTCCTTCTTTTCATGTTTTAAAAGGCATCATCATTCCCGACTACATAATACAATCATGTAGTTGACAACATAGGTATCTCATAAGCTAATCACGCGGTTTCTGCTGAATTACCTGATACTTGGTGCTGAGCACACCTCGCTCACTCAATCTCTATTGATTGCTGAATTCCCCGCAGCATGTGTATGGAACAGGAAGAGGTACTTCTAGTTGTTGTTGTTATTGTTGTTGTTGTCGTTGTTGATGTTGTTGTTGTATACTTTATTTATAGTGTAAATCAAAACAGTTTCTTGCAAGTGTACTGAGTGTAAGACGTGCGCCAGACGCCAAGCTTAAATCAAACAAGTAGCATGACTGTCATTATGAAGGCAGTTGCAAGCATCAACGTTCGAAGCAGCCACCCTCTACTGTCATGGGCGGAATCGGAACATCTAAGTTCCCATCGTTTAGTTTGAGGCACTTGACTTGTATACCAATTTTTGCTGTAGTAATTGCCGTGATTCAGCAACGAAACAAAATATTCCACTGTGAATAGCTAAAAAAATGAAGAAACACTAGCTTGGATGAATTTGGCGAATCGAATTCAAGTCATCGAACCCTTGCCACTGCATTCTTCTCATACCAGTCTGCAACGCACAATTCTTAAACACAAAACGGTCTCTACAGGCATGATAAAATGAGGAAAAAATTCACGGTTCGCGTTTTCCGCATCCGTAGTAACGCCACCACCCTTCAAGGATCAAGGCGATGGAGCTGCTAAAGCGGAAAGAGGTGAGTAGACCAGCATGTGGTCAAAGACCGAAAAATCCCATTCACTAAATCCATGTTTTCCTCGTGCCAGGCCACGAGTCCCCAATTAACTGTGGTTCGCAGCACGGCTGGAAAAATCCCTCCGCTTCCAAGCAGGACTTGAATCTGGTACCCTCTGTTTCTCAATCATGGTCTTAGGCCGCCCCACTATGTGTGCCTGCATAAACTGTGCCCTAAAACCAGTGACTCTATGCCCTTTCGGCGCCCTGAAGTGCAGCACTAGCCAGGTGAGCGCGACCGTTGTAGTGTCCTGAACGTAAGCGCCGAATTTTACAGCGCCAAATATTGCAGTGCTGCATATTTCAGCGCCAGCAGATATTTAAAGCGCATTATATCTCAGCGCTACATGATAATGTATGTCAGCGCCAAAAACATCAGTCCGACCTTCCTCAACGTCACAGATGTCAGCACCACATATCTCAGCGCAATGTATCACAGCGCCATGTATCACAGCGCCATGTATCTCAGCGCCATGTATCTCAGCGCCATGTATCACAGCGCCATGTATCACAGCGCCATGTCTCACAGCGCCATGTATCTCAGCGCCATGTATCACAGCGCCATGTATCACAGCGCCATGTATCACAGCGCCATGTATCACAGCGCCATGTATCACAGCGCCATGTATCTCAGCGCCATGTATCTCAGCGCCATGTATCACAGCGCCATGTATCTCAGCGCCATGTATCTCAGCGCCATGTATCACAGCGCCATGTATCACAGCGCCATGTATCACAGCGCCATGTATCACAGCGCCAAATTATTGATCATTATGTCAAACTAGTGGAGTCTACTAGTATACTTCAAGTAGATGTCATGTGTACGTTTATCGACTAGCGTCTGAGCTGGAGGTGGGCTTGATCGCGCTGAACTTCTTTGCGCTGTACTTGGATCAGGGTTTTTCATCCATAATTATTATGTTGGTAAACACGCACCTGGCAATATGGCGGTAAATACACGCTGGATAGTAGTTCTACAACAGGAAGAAAGGAGATAAATGGCTGTGAATACAGACTAATGTCGAGCCAGAAGCGCCTCAGCCTGGACAAGGTCGACAGGCGCGAGGTCGAAGTGACGACGGCGAACAGAGCGTGATCCGCGGATGGCAGACCTGGCAAGAGAAAATGCCAAGCAGCACCGCAGCCAAGCTACAACCCGGCTATAGGCAGTGTGGCGTTTGGTGGTACTCCAGAATACAACTGCGGCCTCTTGTGTGGTTCTAGGGACAAGGGGCAGCGCAAGAAAGCTCGCTGATTCGATATTAATATTATTTCTCGGACTTCTCACCGTAGGCCAATTGCAGTGAACCCCCGTTCAACCTCAAAGAAACTTGAGCGCACAACTCGAACTTGAAAGCCATCTCACGTACAAGCAAGAGTACATATCCCCCCAGAGTGCGCAACGCCTAATCCAGCTCTGCAGACGGTCCTGGTCGAGCGTGGTCGGATCTGGACTGTATTATGACGCAAAGATCCAATTACGCTGGACGACTGCCCTATGCAGAGCTGGAGCTGAGGGTTATGTACTCTTGATATACTTTAGTAAGTGACTTTTTGGATCCGAAAACAACAGTGCAGGTTAGTTCTTACCTCCTGGAGTTTGCGTTTCTTCGCTGTACAATTCCTTTCGGTCATTGATTCCAAACGAGTCTCTCACAGCCTCTGCTATTAATGATAATTAAAAATGAACACGTTCTGCGCTTACTCTGATAGTTAAATGTAAAGAGTTCTCCGTCTATGATGTGCGGCAGATTAAGGCCTCTTCAACCAGCCATATGCCGTCGACTGTTTCATGAAACGTTAGGACAGAAGCCAAAACAGACATATATATTCCACGTGACGTGACGTTGGTGACACTTCATTCCAGACAGTGCTTACGAAGCTAGTCCAAACATTGCGGACCCTGAGCAAGGGACAGACCGTAGCACACGCGACACTTTGGTGCCATGTTGCATTGTATGTTCGAGATGGCACGAAATCAGAGTGTCTCTTCCGTTTCTCACGCTGCTTCAGTGAAATCAGGACGGAATCTGACAGCTGGGATAGTGCTATTATTTCCTGTGTCGCCATTCCCAATTGTATACATCGCGAGCTACACCGATCTTGGTCAAGCATGGTATCACAGCTGCGGAAAATCGCCAGAAAGACGCTAGGCTACGCCTGAAAGATTATCCATGGTTAGGTTAGGTTGTCAGTCCGGGACATGTATAATTATTACGAATGCCATGCTCTCGGTGACGGCAAAGGACAAGGTCGTGCCTATGTCCGTGTGCAATCTTTCCTGCTCAGTGCAACGTGTTTTGTGCATGCCCTTCGTACTTATCAATAGACACGATGGAAGGTCATCAATAGACTGATGGAAGGTCATCAAGTCGGCTTTTTTTCTACGAGTACTTCAACTCCCGATCTCTTGTGTACATGGCCCTATATAATATTGATCTTCCGATACGCATGATGGCATCGGTGGTGGAAGTCATAATAGATGTCATGAACTACTCCTCAGTGGGATTGGAGTTGAACGAATTGGACACACTTGACTTTGTACTTCTGGGGGCCAATAGCTGGTCCTACCTACGGGTGCATAATGTGGTTGCTAAAACTAATTGTTTGCAGGTAGAGTAATAGTATGTCACTGCGGTTTGTAGCTGCACGGGAGCAAAGCTATCATGTGTATTTTTTATTTTTACTAAGACCAATTAAATGCCAAACATGAGATGCAGCTAGTGGAAGCACGCACAACCTGGATCGTGGCAATGTAGTGTTTCTCAAGCATAATCCATCTCCTTCTCCTAGTCAAGAATGCCAATGTATTCCGATGAAATTCTTTCTCTATCACATTGTTGTTTGCTTATGCCATCAAGGGGAGGACGTGTGCCTCGTTTTCATGTACACAATTGTATTATTCACCGGTTTTTACTGAAGCATTACATACCCAAATCGCAAAGAAGGAAAAAGACAAGGGAGAAAAATATGAAGGGAACAGATCAGCAATTGAGTGTGAATGCACAACAAGCAGTGAGGATGGTCGGCACGTTATACTTGGTAAATCGAATTCAAACTGTGTGAAAGTGAGGATTTAATACTCTTGTGTCCGCTACACCGTAGTCGTGGTTGATAAATCGCATACAGGAAAAGACGAAAATACTTGCATGCCTCTAGAACGCTTGCCCAGCAATAGCATGCACAATGTATGGCAACAATCTGTCATGATAAGGGTCGATAAGACACGACGAAATCAGAAATGTCAAAGAAACTAAATATTTATTTCACGAAGAGCAATAATGTAAACAATCAGTGTTCCGTTTCTCAGCTGAAGGCACGTAATCAAAAGGGAGGTCCTGCTTGTGTGATAAGATAATGTACCCGTGGAAGAATGTGAAGGGGTACCGAAAAGATAATCGTTCTATCAAAAATCCTGTTAGGGAATTGAAGGCCAAGTAAAGTAGATAAGGATCTACTCTTGCAAGCCTGCGATGTGAGTCAAGTCTTTGAGCAAATATTTACCTCCTCGTATTCTTTGTCATTTGGATTGTGGTGTTGCTTAGCCTCAAGCCTCAAGGTGGTGTTCGTGTCCGCGGCCAGTGGTCCACGTAATGCATTGTCGTCATACACAGGATTCAAGGTCATGCCAACCTGCCTAGTACAGCTGGCAGGCACTGTGCCGATCGCGCTTGAGTTTCCGATCGTGCACGGACTGTTGTGCACTTCCGATGCGCATGCTGGTAAGGTATACAGTTCATTTTTTTCAGTGTGACAGCATGAATCTTGCCTAGACGTGACTGGGGTGTTGTAAAACATCTATACAGGGCTTGATCGCCTCCTCTACTTTTCACTCTGGACAGTTTCCTGTTCCTCAGACAGCAGACTAGGCCCGTAAGTCCTAGAGCTACTGCAAGGATAGAAGCTATTGAGTTTTACACGTGGTACGCGGATATTGGTAGCACTAGATTTGGTGACGCCAAAGAAACCAATACCTACACAATTAATGTAAATGGAACGGTATAATGCATATACAGTCGTCCTTCTCTAATCCGGCACCTCTTGCTACGGCGTTTTCTGCTGGATTAACGAGGGTGCTTGATTAAGAAATCCTGCCCTCTGACCCGGCCCTACCCAACTGCATGCATGTATCATATGTACGTCAAAACGCAGGGTTCTTCCGTGTCGACCCAAGTATTTGGTGCACGGCTTTATATTCTCAATTGTTCTCCGGGAATATACACAGTGATAAAGTGATAAAGTAAAACAGAGAACATGTTCACATGTACTCTTGCACACACACGCACACCTGAAAATTGGCAGGACACTACTCCTTGCTAAAATAAGAAAGTATGGTTGACTGCCGTTGTCTCCTGGACAAGCCTAGCCTGGCCTGGTAAGGAGTGCACCTGTACGGCACGCGATTTACGACTGCCGGATTATGAAATCAAACTACGTGCAGTTTGAGCGATTCGTTTAAAAAAGTCACTGCCGGAGGCGGAATTCAAGTGCCGGATAAAGATGTAGGAATTGAACGAAAAAAATCGGTTTCGTCAGAAAGTGCGCCGGTTGGCAAGGGTTCCGGATAAACAAGTGCCGGATTAGAGAGGGACGACTGTATCGGAAAGCTGTAAATAAACGGTGATATTCGGCTTGAAAAAGTGCCAGAGATATTGCTGTTTCATCAGATACATTGAAGAGATTCTAGGTGTTCACCGACAGGACATACTACTTATCCCCAATATCCTTTGTGTACTTTTCTTTGCATTATACCATTGCCAGTCAGTCCAAAGCAGAAAGCTACAATCATAATCAACTGCGTGTGCCGTACAAAGACAATGAGAAATACCTGTAACTGCTCGGTGCCCAGAACCGTTTGAACATGCGAAAGGGTTACATAACTACACTATGTAATAGAGGTTCGCCAAAGATTCAAAAATGGTGGCCACTAGGACATTACGAAAGACAAAGTTTTGCTCCACTGGTAATACGCTCATGGTTTTCAGTGTGAATTATTCACGTCTTGGCATTTGGCGTGGCAAAGGAGATCAACTGGTGATTGTGGAGATATGGTATTGCGCTTACAGTTCATGGCTGGAACGTGTGCAATCATGTAACTGTGTTTTCTTCAGATTCTTGGCGTTTTGATCAATTTTTTGTATTGATATATTGTGGCATAAGTAAGCACATAAAACATTTTGCTTTGCCCGTACAAGAGGCTTTGCTGTGAGAGTGTTTGTGATGATTAATAGAAAGGCTGCCAGTAGTGACTATTGTCACTGTGACTGGATACAGGATGCACGTTGGCTCTGTTTGATCATTTCATACACGATATCACTCTCCTTAAGCAATTCCAGGTCATCTTCAGTCTGCCTGCCACGGTGTGCTGAAGCCGTAGCGGGTGATCCTGTGATGGACGATCCACTCTTCTGCTCTGTTGATGTAGCCATGGGAGGTGACGTTGAAGGTGATACTGTATCAACATGGAGGTCGTGAATCGGGGCGGTCGCCAGATGGTACAATCCAATCGGGGCGGTCGCCAGATGGTACAATCCACATGTTCCGTCGTTGTTGTCTGCCCGATTGTTTCTGATGATGCTGCCCTCCTCACTTTCTCCATTACTCGTAGCAGGTTTTTTCGGCTTCTTGGGCAGAGAGTAGACGACTTCCTTGGTAGCGCTCTCATGCGTTGCTACCTGCTCACACCTTTCAACCCCATTTTGAACTTTTATAACGTCCTTTTCATTGCTTGGCATGATGGATAATTGATTATTCTCGTAAGCTCGCATTTCCCTGGTTTCCGTGTCCTGACCCACGACGTTCAGGGATGCCTTCCGTCGCCTGCGGACAATCACCCATATCAGTAGAGCAGTCAGCGCTAGCCCGAGCACAGGCACAACCACAGCTATAGGGAGCGTTGCTGAACCGGTGCTAGCGAGGTCTTGCTTTGCTGTCGCATAAAACAAACAAAGAGAGATTTGTGTGTACGTGTAATGTATACCCACATACCTAAATAGAACAATTCATGTTTGCAAACGCTCCTGTGAAGGATAAGCGTATACACCCTGGAATTCATTGCGGAACTCAAGTTTGATTTTAGATTTCTATGTCGGGCGGCAGGATGTAGGCAGTAATAGCATTACTTATCCACGGCACAGTCATTCCCCTCAAGTGAATAGAAGTAATACTGAAAGTACGACCATAATATGCTGCATTTGTCTAACCATGACATGTGTTGCATGGAACACGTGTAACTATAACGTTATGAGCTGTACATAGGCCTGGGCGGATAATGCTAGCATTATAAGTAGCATTATAGTGTGCGATTTGCAACGAGCATTATGCTAGCATTATAACACTACATTTCCACAAAAGTGGCATTACCGGTATACTCAAATGGCCCAACTTCTGCGAAAACCAGCTTAGGGTGAAAATCATTTTTTGGAGAAACAAATTATGTTTTCAAAAAAGGTTGTGTCGCGTGGACGCTCGAGTGCTGTGCAGTGAAGTGGAACCAAAGATTATCTCGCTTGTTTGAAGAAGAAGCAGTCATGGCAGGAAGGGTTTCAGCAGTCAGGGATGTCAATGGGCTTCCGGTAGAATATTCCTTGCTACTCCTCTAGTCACAACGAAGAGTTTTTGAGCTGATCGAACGGATTCCATCTTCTACACTCAGGGATGGCGAAAATTTCTGCTCTAGCTGTTGCTTGCGGAAAATGGTAAAGAAATCGTCTCCAGTTAGAGTCGTGATGGCGGAAGGGAGGAGAACCTGGACGACATCGATGCAGCCAATCGAAGTACGGAGATACTAGCTGTTCCTGGGCCTCCCACAAAGGGAACACGCGCAGCAGAGCTCATACGCACTGCAAGTGGACAGTGTGGAGAGGCGGAGAGTAAAAAATATTTCAACTTTATAATTTAATTCCAAGTTGGAAGGCTGTCGGTTAGCGCTACGGAGAGGTGTTGAAGCTAGGTGTCAGGACGTCGAGTGTTTCAGTACTCTGTCAGTTTTGTGCCTAGTTATTGCACTTTCTGACTGTATAATAGTATCATGTTACAGTGGTGGAGAGTTATTCTTAACTCGTATCTATAATTATGTCCTTTTCTCTTCTACATTTATTTATGGCTCAACATCCGAGTTTTATAATTTAATACTTCAAGAAGTACTAAATGCTCACTTGCATTGTTATGGCTTAGTGCTAGCTTAGAACGTGTTTCAGATTACATGTAGTAGTGTGAAGTATGTAGTGTGAATTATGTGTTCCTGTACTGTCTTATAAAAGCCAACTTTGTATCATTCTTCTCCTATAATCCCTGACGATGCCCTCCTGGGTGAAAATTTGGACAATTTCAACTGTACGTGGTGTAGCCAAGGACTGTTAGTGTGCTGCGAGTTGGGTATACTGAAAGTACTATTTTGTTTGTTTCAAAGCTCGAACGTGAAATAGGTTTACCCCCGGGAGTGATATGGCTCGCCTCTATAATGTATATGAAGTGCTTTTCATACAATCATTTTCTGACGGAAATACTTTTTCTATTGTGAGGAGGGCGTCTGACTGGGTGAATCTGAAACCTAAAAACTACGTTCCATTTCGTTCTGACACAATGAATTCTCATAAGTACCTGCACAGTTCTCATCCAGGATTGCGGTTCCAGAAGAAGCACATGGACACCAGTATGAACCGTTGGTGTTCTCACAAATGCGATTCTCGCCATTCAGTCTCGCCGTGCAGTTGTGCGTTCCATGTTGACTGCATTCATCAATATCTTAGAAGAACACACGTGCAGTGGTTAAATACAGGTAAGTACGAAGTTTAGTTCGTTTATACCGGAATTCCACCTCCTTATTGATAAAGGGGAAGAGTGTGTTGCTCCCTACACGGAAGCTCGTGGTTTTCCTGCCGACTTATTTATTTTATTTATTTATGTATTTCTGCATCTCGTGGCATGTCAAGACAGCCAATTGAATTGAGGAGAGGGTGAGACCAACCACGGAAGAAGAGAAAAAAAGAAAATGAAGACAACATACACAAAGTGGGAAGGGATTAGGAACTTACAAAGCAATGGGACTTGAATTCTCACTTGAGCGTTCCGGGGAATTCACCCCTCATCCGATGAGCTTGAGTAGGCTGTCCATCGAACCGTCCACTCGATGGACTTCTCGTGTGCTCTGGATGGCAGTCGTGAGTCAGTCAAGTGAGAATTCAAGTCGGCAGGAAAACCGCGAGCTCCCATGTAGGGAGCAACACACTCTTCCCCTACTATCGCCAAAGTCCCACCAACCTCTTCTTCACATTGTTGTCCCCAGCGCGGGCTTGCGAATTAGATGGTTTGGAGGCAACACCGTTGTGAATGGCCAATGGTTCCCAGCGCTTGTTAAGCACCTCCATGAGCGACACTGACTTACGATGCTATCTGGTGTTTACGAGGTGTTTGTCACGCTGGAAACGGAGCGTCTCCGTAAGTTTGAATCTCTGGTGATGTTTGTAAGTGGAGAGCAGTATATAAGTGGTGCTTTTCAGGCACAATCTTCCTCAGCCTACGCAAGCTCAAGTGATGAGCGGTGAATTCCCCGAAACACTGTGTATTGACCCAGGAGTGGTGCTTTCTTGCAGGTTTGCCGAGTGGACGGTTCGATGGACTTCTCGTGTGCTCTGGATGGTAGTCGTGAGTCGGTCAAGTGAGAATACAAGTCGGCAGGAAAACCGCGAGCTCCCATGTAGTGAGCAACACGCTCTTCCCCTACTATCGCCAAAGTCGCACCAACCTCTTCTTCACTTATTGATAAAGAGGCCAAAAGCTGCTGCTTGCCTACGTGTTGTTTATCCCGTAGATTGATGATATTTTCAATTATCTATCAAGAAGGGCTGCAATACTGATTTCAAGGTTTCAGGGGAAAACGCAAACGGGAAAAGTCTGAAGAAAAATTGAATGTCACCACCAGGACTCGAACCAGGGACCCGCGCTTGTAGCCAGCGATCCTCTAATCGCTGAGCTATGGTGTAGTCGTCATCCCAGCAGAGACCGTTCAACACTTTCTTCAGACTTCGTACCTCACATTTACTCTGAATCCATACAGGCGGGTGAGACGCAGCCCTCCCTGTAACTCACACACTTCACGTGCAAACTAGTACACGGGGAGCCCCAAGTCCTAAAATATTCACGGTTTGAGTGAAATACTGATTTCATGTACACGATCCCTGGCTACGTACACTCATTTTTATAACCATGTTAAGATGCTCAATGCCAGTTCATAGCGGAAGAGTAATTATGAAGATAATGTTTACTTCAGAGTAGATAAATGCCAGAAACACATCATCAAGGTATGTTGTTCATGTATCATTCCCATAGAATGTCATCAGTGTTTGGCCTATACCTTGACACGTTACTCCTGTGTAACCTGGATTGCACTGACAACGATAAGAACCGGGTGAATTCTTGCAGCTACTTTGTGGGATGTGTTGACAGACACCAGGGGAGGTTGAGCACTCGTCATGATCTAAAAATATAGACCAAACGGGATATGGCAGTGTTTTGAAATTTAATGCAAGTAAAAGTACACACACCTCACGCATCAGCTACTTGTTGAAATTGTTAGCAAGATGTTGTGCACGTGGACATGGCGATACGAAGATAACATTGAGTCTAATTCATCCATTACAATCTTACTTGTTCCAGGTCATTCGTCTAAACTGTTTTTCATGGCCTTTCAACGCCCGATTTTGCCAGAACAAAAAACTCAACAGTGACTCCACAACAGGTGTTATTGTTTCTTGAATCAATCATAATAACACAAAATCACATCACCTTGACATGTTGGTCCCGTCAAGCCGTCAATACAAACACACTGATAAGACCCATTGGTGTTACTACACGTTGTGTTCATCATGGCGCTGCAGACCGCCGGGTTTCCATCACATTCGTTGACATCTGAAATGGAACCATTAGAAACAAATCATAGGGCTGTATTTGTGACAGAGCGATGATTTCTCTCCATACGAACGAAAGAACTTTCGCTACACACGATGACTTGATACGCCTGAGCCTGGACTACACCCTGGTTTGTAGACTTTCATATTTCGAATTCTTTCCCGTTTCAGTGTGCATTCTCGGCTCTGCTTTGGCGAGTGTACAGACCATGAAACAGTACATTTCATAACTCAGGTATATTGTGAATGTACTGGTTGACTTGTTTTATTCAAAGCCCCACATTTAGGTGAATAATGGCAAGCAGGTATAAGAGAAGAGCTAGAGAGAAAAGGGAAACCAAGGAGGGTTTTTTGTGAATGTACTGATGTGTGCACATAGCACTCTTGTAGCAGGCTGATGGTCTTGAAAGAATTTCAGAAAGCCTAAAACGCAAGACGCCATGGTTATGGAACGGCATACATGTAGCTTGAAGTTCAACATGTACATACACATAATATGATTGCAAATCCTAGCAAGATGATACCTTGACATGGTGATCCAGAGTATCCTTTCTTGCAAACACATCCATACGATCCAATGGTGTTGGTACAGTCACTGTGTTTTGTACTCTGGCAGGTATTTTCCTCATTACATTCGTTGATATCTGAATTTGGAACCGTTCACAGAAACCCGAACAACATTACACTGGGAAAGAAAGGCATTATAATTATTATTATAGTGTATAGGTGGGACCTTAACATACTTATTTGAAGGAATTTATTTCATTAACCTGTAGGGAGTAACGTGGATCCTGGACTAAATTCTTGTTCTTAGACGTTCATGTTTTTATCCTCTCCCTCTTGGCGTTCATTCTCGACTCTGCACTGGTGAGTGTACGGGCAACAAAGCAGTATATTCCATGGCTTGGCTGTATCCTGGGGCTTACTTTAAATGGCACTCCTGAGGCAGCGGGATGGTCTTGAAAGAATATCAGACTCTGAAGTAAGTCTAGAACTCAAGACTTCATGATTGAATAGCATAACTTTAAAAGGTTCTACAAGTATATTATAAATCCAAGCACGACGATACATTGATATGCAGGTCCAGAATGGCTTTCCTTGCGAACACATTCATACGATCCGATGGTGTTGTTACATTCACTGTTGATTGTAGTCTTGCAGATGTCTCTGTCGTACTCGGTCAGGCTCATCGCAATTGTCACTTATCTATCGCCACTAAGAACAGGAGTTTTGTTGCCCTTCTGTGATTTTTCAATAGGCATAGTGAGGATGCATGATACAAGAATACTCTCCGCCACAAGAAAAAAATTCAGCCATGGAACCAGGTGAAGCGAGTCATAGAAGGGAAGCAAGGTGAGCAAAATGCACGAAATAAATCAGCGAAGGAGCGCGTTCTTGCACTCACACCCTTACAGGTCCAGAGTTCATTCAACTCTCCATCACTCGAGCTGCCGCCGTTACATGAGCTGACATTAAATAATTGCTAGTGTCTAGCTGCTGTCGTAGACTGGTAGAGTATCTCTTGCTTTTTCAGCCTGTCGTATGGCAGCAATAGGAAAGGAACAGTTGTGTCTGTCACTTCGGTGCTTGAAGGAACCGTGGGCAGTGTGACCTGTGTGTCACCACAGTGTCTTTCAACAGAGCCTTCGAATGAGGCATACAGGCCTCTCCAGACAGCTGTCATACGCTCCACTGGATGCGCTGACCACGACTCTTGTAATGCTGCTGCCAGGTCCACGAAGGAACAAAAGGAACAACCAAAATGTCCCTTGCATGCGCGCATCCATCAAAAGCTTTCTTCTTCAGCATGATGCTCATACTCCTCTGCCGTGCACGCGTGCCTGTCACGCTCTCCAGGATGTCAGTTGCCCCCTGCTACAGTTCCGGTCTTCGGGTCGCTTGCGATTGGCTTTTGGCAACACAGACAGTGAGTGAATGGCCAGATTTCCACTTCCCAAAAAAGTCGAACACATCGCGATTCAAAGCGCTAGTCGCGATCATTAATTCTTTGGTGCCTCATTTGATCTTGCCCTCACAACCTCCCAAGCAAAAGTAAGTTAGATATCGTGATTGGACTGCGTTTTACCTGTCAAAAAGTGCGTGTGAGATAAGCGACATTTGCGATGAGCCGGACCAAGTACTTACATTCCTTGATATCAGTATACGATGGTGCGAAGGTTAGACCCGAGCTAAATGAACGCACAAAACATTCGACTTCTTTCGTCACCATTAATTTTCGTTTTGTGGACAAAGTATTTCCACATTCCTGGTCTTTGGGACCCGTCAATCACGTAAATTTCTCTTGTGCTCTTTTCCTTTTCTAACTGTGATAACAGGCCTTTGTCCGGTCATGGCACTATCGCCAATAATTGGCCATCGGGGGTTGTTTAAAACTGATTTCACCTCTTCAGCCTTGCCACCTGCTGAATGGCACTATGACAGGACAGGTTTTATGGCGTCTGTTGGCGTTTGACTATCCTGTCCTTCGGCCTTATAGTATTATCTCTAAGGTGTAAGGTGTGTATGTGTGTGCGGGCGTGTGTGTATGTGTGCGGGCGCGTGTGCGTGTGTGTGTGTGTGTGTGTGTGTGTGTGTGCGTGTGAGTTTGCATGTACGGGTGCTTGCCTGGACATTTGCGCTCACTTGTGTGCTGATGCTTCTTTAAAAAATGTTTTTTTAATGTTCAAGGGTGCTTGGGCTAGATTGGAAGTTTCCTATCAACCATATGAAATGATATGCTAGCATCTTACCTTTACAAGGTGTTCCTGTAAAGCCAGACTTGCAAACACATTGATATGATCCAGGTGTATTGTTGCATTCACTGTTAGCAATATTGTTGCAAACACCCGTATCATGTGTGCACTCATCGATATCTGTCATGTGAATACAGAAACATCATTGATTTCACCTTCAATCTCACAAAAACATGTGAACGTATGCCTTTTTGTACAGCAGCCTCAAGAGAGGCTACATGCCCAAGCTAGCTACCAATATTAAAACTTCCCACAAATCGTCCTTAGTCGCGCTATTAGGACGCTTGGAAGTAGAGAATCGCCAAAGTCAGACCACCCTACTGTTTCAACTAACACAGTTGCACACGGCCTGCCACGCCAACTGGTGATTTCTACATCAATTAAACTCAATCAGCAAAAGGAGGAGAATGTTCTTTCCACCAACCACCAAGCAAAAGTAAACAATGAGACACCTGTACGCACATCGGTCCTCTGAAAATACCTATTCCTCTGAATGTACAAGTACATGTAATTTGAAGAAATTCTCCCCTCGACTTTCGGCGCTCTCTGTGCCAATTCTAGAAGCGGAAAACGAAGAATGGGTGCACAATGTGTGTTGAGAATGCTCACGAAGTCACCAAAGCAGAGTGTAGAACACAGTACAACAGGGAATTATGGCTAGTTCAGAGTATTATACATATAGCAGACTCAACCTCAGCTCAGGGATCAACGGATTTGCTAGTTCAGTGTATTGTAGATCTAAAAGTAGTAGTGTCCTACGAGCATGTCAACAGATTGTTCCCGTTGCGATACACTCAATCCCTCCCACTCCCACCCCGTTCGCATGCCATCAAGATCAATACTATTCAGACAGCCTGTACCTTGACATGTTGAACCTGTGTATCCAGTTCTGCAAAGACATTGATATGAGCCAGGAGTGTTGTTGCAGTGACTGTTAGCTGTGCTCTTGCAGATACCCGTGTCTGGTGTACACTCGTTTATATCTGTGTATGGGATTGTCACATGAAACATAGTGGTGGAAGTTGTTTTCACAGTACAGGAACATTGTATTTGTTGTGCAGAGGGTTTGTTATAGTGACAGACTTTCAATGGTCTCTTTCTGTTTTGATTCTTTGGTTTCTTGTCGACTTTGGTGCTCTGTTCTGGCTGCACGTGCAGTGTTCTGGGCAACATGCGCTGGTCGTGAACGGTTACGTCATTGTGATGTGTGTCACAATGGATGTCGTCAAGCTAAGCCCCTTTCTCCATTTGTCAGAAGCACCAAGTCATTCCTAGGGTTCCCAGTAAAAAGGCAACGCCTGTTGGGAGTAAAATAATAAATTATACTACTACTACTACTACTACTACAATGTATTGGGCATACCCATATGCTGCCACGATGTTTGCCTTTTTCTTTATTTCTCAGTTTTGCCTCGTCGTGTCCTATCCTCTTGTTTGTCCACCTCTGTTCTAGTCTCCGTGTTGTCACAGAATTCAATTATGTAGTCAATTGAGGTATTGTGTGTGGCGAGCCTGATCGGTGGGGAGGCTGGGCCTGACGCCTGGAGAGAATGTGCGATTGCACAAAAGTATTATTGAAAGGGCGAGTGGTACCACTCAGGAATTTTTAGGAGGAAAATTAAGTATTAGTACCCTTAACAATTATTCGTTATTGGAATTGCTTGTTATGTGTAATGGCTACTGAGGATAGCAACCAGTTAGCTGAAGAGCACGTGGAGAGGAGGACTAGAGGAACCGTTTTTATTGATAAATAATCACACAAAGAAAAAAACTCAGGTTTATTTTTTTCTGCACCTCGTAGCATGTCAGCCAATTGCATTGAGGAGAGGGTGAGACCAACCACGGAAGAAGAGAAAAAAGAAAAAATGGTGAATGGTCAAGATGGTGAACCAAGGAAAATAATTGTAACATTGAAATTGTGGGCACAAGCTATGCGATCGAGTCCACCAACTAAACCAGATTTTGAACAGTCAGACGTGCACAATCTAGCACAAACCTGACAAGGAGTACTGAGACATTCCTCGGCTCGATGGCACTCGCCTTCCCCTCTTTAGAATTAGCACTACTATCCACGAACCTTCCAAGTTGGAGGCCGTTGGTTAGCGCTATCGAGCAGTGCTCAAGCTGCCTTTCATGCCGTGGAATGTCTCAGTACTCATTGTCAGTTTTGTGCCCGTAGATTGTGCACGTCTGTCTGTTCAAATCTGATTTAGTTGGTAGACTCGATCGCATAACTTGTGCCCACAATTTCAATGTTACAAACAAAGAAATGACCCTACAATTATAATCCTAAAGGTGATAACAATCTTTTTGTAGTATTATGCGGGTCATTTTTTTTAATCTTTCTCTATACAAGTCATAATGTATGAAGGCTGTCTTTAGAGTGAAATGTGTTTGTCATCCAGGAGAAGACCAGTCAGTGAGCCTTTATGCCCGTCCTACCATGCACTAACCTATAATTTTTATAATTCAGTGTTGCATTCACCAGTGAGCAGTGTTCGCTTTCGTGTGTTATTCTTCATCAGGCTTCAGAGTAAAGAAAATAGGGAGAAGTAATACCGAGAGCCTGATAAAACTACAATAATGCGATAATACCAAGTGAAATATTTTAAAACTAGTACTATTAATAAAGTATCCATGCTGTACCTGTACCTTGACATGTTACTCCTGTGTAACCTGAATTGCACTGACAACGATAAGAACCGGGTGAATTCTTGCAGATACTATCTGTGATATGTTGACAGACGCCAGGGGTGTTTGAGCACTCGTCAAAATCTAAAAGATAGAAGCAATATGAAATGGCGAAGCTAAGAACGAATGTATCCGCTTACCATCCAGCCTGATGTTGATCACTATCTCTAGGTTCTGCCCCCCCCCCCCCCCTGGCCTTTTAGAACCGGTTTTGGCCGCACTATTAAAGGCCCCAAACCCACTTTACATTCCACAAATATGGGCTTAGTGCTTGCTTCTCCATACATTTTTTATCATTTACACATATTTGCAAAACTAGCCGAATTTCTGGTCCCATATCCCTTCACCGTGTTGCCCTCAAATGTGCAAAGGAAGAATAGCACTGGTCACACAAGGTTCAGTGTACATATATCTGCTACTTTAGGTGCCTGATCCTAAATTGGGGTGTAGAGGGGGGGGGGGTGGGGGTAGAGATTTGGATTGATGAAACCAAGTCAGCGTTCATATTGCACCACAATTACCTTTGAGCAAACATTGGAGAATATGGATCAGTCCTTGTAAAGGATATTGTAGTGTCCCTGCCAGCACGATTCTGCGAGGGTTAGCCTTACAACAAAAAAATGTTACGCTGCGTGTGTCCGATGCATACTTGGTAAGGAAAAGGCCATGGTTTCCAAAAGTCGATCCTCCCATCTTAAGGCTGTCTATAATCAGACATCTTTGATAATGTGATTAGACTTTGATAATTTATTTCTGGATCTGCTAGCTTAGTGCATGGCTACGTTGTCTGGTGATGGCTCAGTGTGAAGATCTAAGTTTCAACTGATTAGCTTGACTTCTATATGCACACTAGTGCAAGTCCACCCAGGTGTATTCCTGAAGCAAACATGAGTACTTCAGTGGGTAAGATATTCAACAGTTCAACATTCATAAGATTTTGCTATATTATTATTATACGCATTCCCGCGTTGAAGTGTAGCAGCAGTATGCTGCGTCCACAGCTTCGCTTATGCAGAATGGCTTGGGTGAGAGGAGAGGGGAGAGAAAGCAACAAGGCAACCAACATCTATGAAATTGGTCACAATAACATGAAGAGAACCAACCTACATATTCATGATTGCACAAGAATGGAGACGACCAAATAATGGCTATAATAATTGTGCCACAAAACCGGTACACAGGAGATCTGATGACAATGTAACGAAACATAAAACTCAGTTACTCAATACAGGTTCCACTAAATTACAAGAGAACAACGCTACAGCGTTAGAATTGCCGCTAAATTATCGCAAGTGTAGAGAACGAGTCCAATACAAATGAAAACCAGGAACAGACTGTCCCGAAGTTATTTTGGGAACAAATTGTACTACATGACTGTACTTGCTGATACTGACGCTGACGGAACACGAATTTGAGTTGAATACTCACGAAGTCTTGTACATGCACATCATTATGCGCCGGTGTTGTGGAGTAAGGAGGTACGTCAGTCACCAATCCAGCTTCAGCTCCACGCTCGCTTCAGCAGAATGTTGCCCGCGTTTGCTTTGCCTCCGCACGAATAGACGACCAGCGCAGAGTCCCGCAGCTCCGTGGCCGTAAGGTCTTGATATTCGCCGTTAGCGCCGTCAAGTCTCAGTCCACCTCTCACACCAAGCCGCCCTATAAAAATCTTTCGCTCTCCATTGGAGTGCTCCCCAGTTGCGCGAGGAGACTAGAGAAATTCCTCCGGTGAGCGAGGAAGAAAAGCGGAGTTACCCAACTCAACCTATATGGAAATTTGAACTGGTTTTCAACTTTGCGAGTCACAAATTTTCAGTAGCACACTCTGCGACTAATGATAATATACTCCAAACTGTCCAAAGTTATTAAAGAAATGGTGCTGATCGTGAAATCAGGTTACTTGCCTTGACACGTTGATCCATGAGTATATCCGGCATTACAAGAGCATTGGTAACTGCCGAATGTGTTATTACAGGTACCTCTGGGACTTGGACTGCAGGTTGTTGCATTCTTGCATTCATCGATATCTGCATCATGCAAAAAAGAAAAACAGCACCACAAATAGAAACAGTACCCTTTCCTACGGCCAAAGTTAGAAATCCTGTGTCTCTTTAAGTAACTTGAACATTTGGGCTCCTGAAAAATAACGGCGAGATTTTCAAGAAACGTTTGCTTCAGCAATATGCTGTGCTTGAACGCATTCGTTTAAGGTGGCAGACTACCCAAAAATTCGCTGAAAAATCGAATTTGTAAATTCATATTGAGTGCTGCGTCAGTTAAAAGAGCATGAATAGCTGCAAATTCTCTGAAAATTGTGTCCCGATCTGACCGGCCGTTCAAGAGATATGGCCGAAAATGTGCCCTTGCAAGGAAAGATTTTTTTGTTGCACGCTGTCATTTGTTGGCAGCACTGTATTTGAATGTGAGCAGACCGTGCGCAACTTGTCGTATCATGGAAACACGTGAAAGTGTGCAGAATTTTGCTCCAAGTCCATAAAATCAGGTTTTTGAGCCACGTGCAGCAGGACTTTTGCCAGCACCCTCGTGACGTTGCAGATATGTGGCTTGATTATTGTAGTTGACGTTGATTTAGTGACTTTGGCAAGTTTGAGTCGTGTCAAGAAGTCAGGTAGGATTCAGTACTAGGCAGTAGTGAAACGTGACTGGTAGTCTTTGCCGGTTTCTGAGGGTATCCTGGATTTGGTGTGCAGCGCTGTGGAAATGGCTTGCTGTGGAGGTCCCAGCACTGGATGTTGTATCAAAGGTACGACCTCGTAGCACGTGCTAAACCTAAAAAAATTCAAAAATTGACTTGGGTCTGTGGGAGTGTGTGAGAGAACGCCCACTCGTTCCGTTGTGACAGATTCCAGGGCCTCGTTGAGGGGCCCTACCCCATCACCCATGGCTGCTTCTGGACTTGTTCTAGGTTTGAGTCCCGCGCACGAACAGAATGAGCACGAAAATGTGAAAAATTGTAAATGCATTTGTTTGGCTCCTGGGTGGCTCGCACACCGTGGCACTATGCCGGAAATTTGAGTTTGTGCGGCCTGGAAAGCCTGTCAGTGAGGCGCAAGAACTTGTAAATCATGTCCTGAGGGCCAGCATAGTGGCAGGAGTGTGTGGTCAAAATTTCACTCAAATCCATTGAGAAACACCAAAGTTACGGTCAATTGAAATTTATGGGTAGGCTGCCCCCTTAACTTCGCAAGGGCTTTTCGCAGGCGCAGTGTTTGTAGCCCAATTCCACACCCTGACTTCTCGATGTGTGTTTTATCGATGCAGTGATCATTTACTGCCTTTCTCGTTAGTCGTGTAGCTGTGGCAGTTGCGACGTTTCATTTTTAGTTAAACATGGGCGGGGGGGGGGGGTACGTCGTGGGTCATTGTATGAAGAGAGCTTCAGGGCTGAGGACTAGTCACAGAGGAGTTAATCTGCAAAGGGATTGAACTGAAGCTGGATGATGACCGTGCGGTGAGTGTGTGACTGTTATTAAACCGTTCTGGGGCAGGGGTTCTTGTTCTCTAGCTTCACTGGGTGTTGTAGCAGTCATTGTAACATCTCACAGTGTTTGGTGTGCTGTGCTGTGCAAATATCAGCATTATCATTGCGCTTGTTTTCATTATAACCTTTATACACTTATTGAGGACAATAGAGAGGAATATGGCTCGGATGGACAGCATGGGAAGATGTTAAAGGAAAGAAATAGGACGAAGGAACTACAAGTTACGCTATACTGTCATGCGATAACATTGCACGACACTGACGGACGGTACTGACTTTTTAAACTGCTAATCACCTCTACCACATGGATGCGCACTCCAACTGCCTTCCAATTTGGAAGGTTTTGAGTTATTAGTACTAACATAGGAGGGGAAGGTACGCGTAAAGAAGACAAGCACAAGCTGAAAGCCTTAGATGTCGAGAACCTTGGTGGATATCAATACATCAAGGCCATTACTGAGCCACCATGGTAACTGCAAAACGTCTGTGTGCCCGTTATTGTTATTGTTGTTAAAGTGCACCACAAGGACCCTGTAATAGTTTTGTTGTATCTCGTTGTAGCGACAAAACATTACAGCGACACCCCTCACCACACACACACCAACTCATAGCGGGCAGGAAAATTCTTGGTGACCATATATCCTGATCTTAACCGCTGGTACATTTTTTTCTAATCTTCTCTCTTCCCCGTACTGTGACTGGGTTCGTTCTTATTTCTTTGAAATTGGTCCTATAACCAAAAATACTATTTCTCGCGTTCACATGGATAACTCGAAGTGGTCGCATATGCTAAGAGAACAAGATGCATGATATCCGGGTAAATAAACAGACCAAGCGGCCTGCAAGAAGCCTTGCCTGTGTTGACAATTAATTATTATAACCCTGGTGTACAAACAATAGAATAACAATCCAACGATTATATAATTTCCAGTTTGTTTATTACTAGTAGTACTAAAAAATACACAAGAGAGATTGGAAGCTGTGGCTCAACTCTAAGTTTCAAGTATTTCTACAATCATCAGGCTCGCCTGCTAGGCTTGCAAGCCTGATGATCTTTAGAAATACATCAAAACTCAGAGTTGTAACAAAGCTTCCAATCTCTCTCTTGTGTACAAGGCTCTGCCCTACATGGGTATTGAGCACTCTTCGGACAGTGAAGCACACCACTTGACTACGTAAAAATACATGAATAATTATAAGACTGCACCACAGAACAAACATGAACTGCATCTGCGCCTTGATCCTAGAGGGTAGGTGGCGTCCCAACGGATGCGGAAATTCGGCTTCTAGCCGAGTCTAACGCGAACTGTGAATGTTTTTCTTTTATTCAGACCAACAAGGGCAATCAAGGCTTGTTTGCTGCTACTTAATTAAAGTTTCGTGCTTCCGCATTAAAAGACTGCATAATAAATGTTTGTTCACTTACCTTCTGATATCACAGTAATGTAAGGCTCATTACCATTAAGTGCCACTTTACAAGATCCATATGCTATGTGAAAGCGAAGATTTAACTGGTGCTTGAGGACTTTGACAGAGACTACAAACTTAAAACGATCTACTTCCATCCCACCAGACTGCTTGGTTTCGATCTTTTGGTTAGGATTCCATTGTGTCCACGGTGATTTTGAGTCGATCCGTTCCCTCGTGTGTATCTGGAAAATACAGCTGCCTTCTGACTCGATTGTGATCTCCTTGGCTACCATGTAACATTGTGGTGGATAATCGAAAATCACCTCGTACGGCCCTGGAGGAGCTAATACAGTTCTTAGCATTGGTTGGGGGCCAGTTACTGACGAATATCGTAATGTGCCATCACCACTGGACAGTGGAAGTGATGGACGACCTGTTGCAAAGCAAGGTGACGTTTTTGTCAAACCTCTTGTGACATTCCAGCCGCTCACAAGCAGTAGCGTGGGAATAACGTGTTTGATGAACAACATGTTCAGGCCTAAATGAGACAATATATCAAACGTCATGCAAAAAACACTTCATCGCTGAAACTATACTTCAAATCACTTGGACATTAATCACGAAACAAATGAGCACACGAAATATGTGAAGTCAATTTCCAGCATTCTTTCCAATGTAACGACTGCATTTGTGACCATCCTTAATCACGTCAGTCTCACTTACCTGTTAAAAGCAGATAATCACAGGTTCATAGCAGTAAAGTCTCTATGCATACTGTTTATGAAAGGTGAACTCGGATGGTGAATGCCAAAAAGCCATTTTGTCGCACTCGCTGACTGTATAATTGTTACGGTGGTGGACAGTTAGTCATAACTCGTAACAGTTTTGTCCTTCTCCTTTTTTCATGTTCCAAAAGGCATCTAAATTCCCTGTAATACAATCATGTACATGTAGTTGACAACATACGTAACTCATAAGCAAAGCACACGGTTTCTGCTGAGTTACCCGGTACTTGGTGCTGAGCACACCTCGCTCACTCAATCTCTACTGATCGCTGTATTCCCCGCAGCATGTGTATGGAACAGGAAGAGGTACTTTATTGCAAGTTTACTGAGTGTCCGACGTGCTCCAAATGCCATGCTTAAATCAAACAAGTAGCAAAACTGTCATTATGAAGGAAGTTGCAAGTAACAACGTTCGAAGCAGCCACCCTCTACTATCATCGGCGTTATCGGAACATCTACATCTAAGCTCCCTTCGTTTAGTTTGAGGCACTTGACTTGTAGAAAATTTTTTGTTGTAGTAATTGCCATGATTGAGCAACGAAACAAAATATTCCACTCTAAATAGCTAAAAAATGAAGAAACACTAGCTTGGATGAATTAGGCGAATCGAAATCAAGTCATCGAACCCTTGCCACTGCATTCGTCTCACATCTGTCTGCAACGCGCAATTCTTATACACAAAACGGTCTCTATAGGCATGATAAAATGAGGAAAAAAAATTCACGGTTCGCGTTTTCCGCATCCGTAGTAACGCCACCACCCTTCAAAAATCAAGGCGCAGATGCAGCTGCTAAAGCGGAAGGATGTAAGTAGACAAGCAAGTGGTCAAAGACTGAAAATCCCATTCACGCTATCCATGTTTTCCTCGTGCCAGGCCACGAGTTCCCAATTAACTGTGGGTCGCAGCACGGCTGGAAAAATCCCTCCGCTTCCAAGCAGGACTTGAACCTGGTACCCTCTGTTTCTCAATCATGGTCTTAGGCCACCCCACTATGTCTGCCTGCATAAACTGTGCCCTAAAACCAGTGACTCCATGTCCTTTCAGCGCCCTCAAGTTCAGCACCAGCCAGGTGAGCGCGACCGTTGTAGTGTCCTGAACGTAAGCGCCGAAATTTACAGCGCCAAATATTTCAAGTGCTGCATACTTCAGCGCCAGCAGATATTTAAAGCGCATAATATCTCAGCGCTACATGATATGTCAGCGCCAAAAACATCAACCCGACCTTCCTCAACGTCACAGATTTCAGCACCACATATCTCAGCGCAATGTATCACATGTATCACAGCGCCATGTATCACAGCGCCATGTATCACAGCGCAATGTATCACATGTATCACAGCGCCATGTATCACAGCGCAATGTATCACAGCGTCATGTATCACAGCGTCATGTATCACAGCGCCATGTATCACAGCGCCATGTATCACAGCGCCAATTTATTGATAATTATATCAAACTAGTGGAGTCTACTAGTCTCCTTCAAGTAGATGTCATGTGTACGTTTATCGACTAGCGCCTGAGCTGGAGGTGGACTTGATCGCGCTGAACTTCTTTGCGCTGTACTCGGATCAGGGTTTTTATCCATAATTATTATGTTGGTAAACACGCACCTGGCAATATGGCGGTAAATACACGCCGGATAGTAGTTCTACACCAGGAAGAAAAGGAGATAAATGGCTGTGAATACAATCTAATGTCGAGCCAGACGCGCCTCAGCCTGGACGAGGTCGACAGGCGCGAGGTCGAAGTGACGACGGCGAACAGAGCGTGATCCGCGGATGGCAGACCTGGCAAGCGAAAATGCCAAGCAGTACCGCAGCCAAGCTACAACCCGGCTATAGGCAGTGTGGCATTTGGTGGTACTCCAGAATACAAGCCTCTTGTTTGGTTCTAGGCACAAGGGACAACGCAAGAAGGCTCGCTGATTCGATATTAATATTATTATTTCTCGGACTGTTCACCGTAGGCCAATTGCAGTGAACCCCCATTCAACCTCACAGAAACTTGAGCTCACAACTTCAACTTGAAAGCCATCTCACGTACAAGCAAGAGTACACAACCCCCCAGAGTGCGCAACGTCTAATCCAGCTCTGCAGAAGGTCTTGGTCGAGCGTAGTCGGATCTGTACTGTATTATGATGCAAAGATCCAATTACGCTGGACGACTGCCCTATGCAGAGCTGGAGCTGGGGGTTATGTACTCTTGATACACTTTAATAAGTGGCTTTTTGGATCCGAAAACAACAGTGCATGTTAGTTCTTACCTCCTGGAGTTTACGTTCGCTCTATTTTCTTCGCTGTACAATTCCTTTCGGTCATTGATTCCAAACGAGTCTCTGACAGCCTCTGCTATTAATGATGATTAAAATTGAACACGTTCTGCGCTTACTCTGCTAGTTAAATGTAAATAGTTCTCCATCTATGATATGCGGCAGATTGAAGCCTCTTCAGCCAGACGTATGCCGCTGACTGTTTCAGGAAACGTTAGGACACAAGCCAAAACAGACATTTACGTCCCACGTGACGTGACGTTGCTGGCACTTCATTCTTATGAAGCTAGTCCAAACATTGCGGACACTGAGCAAGGGACAGACGGTAGCATACACGAAACCGTGGCGCCATGGTGGTGGGGACCAGCAACTGGTTGAGCAACATTCTGGCATCCTGACCATGATTCGTGGTGTGCAATACAATCACTCTCTGCTGGCTCGCTTACAAAAATGGTACAGTGTAAGTACGAGATGGCACGAAATCAGAGTGTCTCTTCCTTTTCTCACGCTGCTTCAGTGAATTCAGGACGGAATCTGACAGCTGGGGTAGTGCTATTATTTCCTGTGTCGCCATTCACAGTTGTATGGGAGGCGAGCTACACCGATCTTGGTCGAGCATGGTATCACAGCTGCGGAAAATCCCCGTAAAGACGCTAGGCTATGCCTTAAATATTATCCGTGGTTATGTTAAGTTGTCAGTCTGGGACATGCATATCACGAATGCCTTGCTCTCAGTTACAACAAAGGACCAGTCAGTGCCTATTTCCGTGTGCAGGCTTTCCTGTTGAGTGCAACGTGTTTTGTGCATGCCCTTCGTACTTATCAATAGACCATGGACAGTCATCAATAGTCACGATGGGAGTTCATCAACTTCAGCATTTTCATCCCTTTTGTTCTACGTGTACATGTACTTCCACTCCCAAGCTCTTCTGTACATGGTCCTAATATTATCGATCTTCCGTTACGCATGATGGCATCCATGGGGGATGTCATAATGGTTCGATATGGATGTCATGAACTACTCCTAAGTGGGATGAGAGTTGAACGCATTGGACACAATTGACTTTGTACTTCTGGGGGCCAAGGGCTAGTTCTACCTACTCGTGCATGATGTTCCTTAAATTAGTTTTCACTGATTGAGAGAAAGACGCAAACGTGAAACGTCTGAAGAAAACGGACTGCCACCAATTAATTGTCTGCATGGAGAGTACGTCACTGCGGTTTGCCGCTGCACGGAAGCAAACCTATCCTGTACATGGTTTTTTTTAATGCCAAACATGAAATGCAGCTAGGGGAAGCACGCACAACCTGGATCTTGGCAATGTAGTGTTTCTCAAGCATAATCCATCTCCTTCTCCTCGTCAAGAATGCCCATGTAGTCCAATGAAATTCTTTCTCTATCACATTGTAGTTTGTTTATGCCATCAAGGGGAGGACGTGTGCCTCGTGTTCCTGTACACACTTGTATTATTCACTGGTTTTTACTGAAGCATCACATATCCAAATCGCAAAGAAGAAAAAGACAAAGGAGAAAAAGATGAAGCGAACAGATCAGTAATTGAGTGTGGATGCACAACAAGCAGTGACAAAGGTCGGCATGTTATGCTTAGTAAATCGAATTCAAATTGTGTGAACGTGAGAATTCAATACTCTTGTGTCCGCTACACCGTAGTCGTGGTTGATTAATCGAGTACAGGAATGACGAAAATACTTGCATGCCTCTAGAACGGTTGCCCAGCAATAGCAGGCACAATGTATGGCAACAATATGTCATGAAAAGGGTGAAGACACAACGAAATCAGAAATATCAAAGAACATAAATATTTATTTCACGAAGAGCAATAATGTAAACAATCAGTGTTCCGTTTCTCAGCTAAAGGCACGTAATCAAAAGGATGGTCCTGCTTGTGTGATAAGATTTGTATCCGCGGAGGAATGTGGAGAGGTGCCGAAAAGATAATCGTTCTATGACAAATCCTGTTGGGGAATTGAAGGCCAAGTAAGGTGGATAAGGATTTTCTCTTGCCAGCCTGCGATGTGTGTCAAGTCTTTGAGCAAATATCTACCTCCTCGTATCCATTGTCACTGGGATTTGTGGTGTTGCTTAGCCTCACGGCCAGTGGTACATGTAGTGCACTGTCGTCATACACAGGATTCAAGGTCATGCCAACCTGCCTAGTACAGCTGGCAGGCACTGTGCTGATCGCGTTTGAGTTTCCGATCGTGCACGCACTGTTGTGCACTTCCGATGCGCATGCTGGTAAGGTATACAGTTCATTTGTCGTCAGTGTGACAGCATCAATCTGGCTTAGACGTGATTCGGGTGCTGTAGAACATCTATACAGCGCTTGATCGCCTCCTTTACTTTTCATTCTGGACAGTTTCCTGTTCTTCACGCAGCAGACTAGGGCGGTAAGTCCCAGAGCTACTGCCAGGATAGAAGCTACTGCTGCCACGACGATATAGGTCGTGGTATGAGAGGTCGTGCTCTGAAAGGTGCTGATGCTTCCTGTTGATATCGTCATGAAAATGGTCGACGGCATGACTGGAAGGAGTATCGGAAAACATAATCAACTCATGAGAGGTCAGAGTATGTGCATGACATAAACAAATGTCGACCAAATAATTAGGCAATCGACGAGGAGACAATAGTCGTAAAATGGCAATAAATAAGATAAATTATGCACTCATAACAACAGCAAAAATGAAGAAAGTCAAGTTCCATAACGCTACATGTATATAAGTGTGTGTTTTAGTTATTACATTTTGATGTGACGGCGTTCCACTGATGACAGTCACAAGAAAACGTTATGGAACTTGACTTTCTTCATTTTTTGCTGTTGTTATGAGTGCACAATTTATCTTATTTATTGCCAAATAATTAGGCAGTACAACTTTATCTCTTTAAGCCATAATGCCCTCCCTTCTATGCACTAACCCATATTTATCGTCCAGCGGTTGAATACAATCAAATACATATGTATTCACGGGTAAAATATTCTGTATAATTATGTCCGAACATTCCAATGTTATTGTCGGCCTTCCTGTTGACGCTCGTATCAACAGATTTGGTGGCGCGGCGCAATGAACGATATGTTTACCCAGGGAAACATATCTCCAGGGACTCGGAGAACAATCATGTTGTGCAGAGCTTACAGGTCCTACTAACACGGCGAATAGTCAAAAATGGGTTCGTTTGGTGGCATGCACTATTGTATTTAAAATATTATGGAGTGGAGCATTATACTGTAGAGGATATTGAGGATGCATAGACAAAGAGTGAGTGACTCTGAATCACGCTGCTTCTAACTAGGGCTTCACTATAGTGTTTCTTGCGCTGGAAACGACGAGGCGTCAGTGTCATCTCTATGCATAGAACTGCGTTTCTTTCTGCTTCAGTGCTCTAAAATGAGTGGTTCTGGAGCACACATTTCATAAGTCTCCTTCAGCTCAACCATCAGTGAAAGACGCGCGTACGAAAGTGCTTCCCACGAGGTGATGTGGCGATGCTACTTTTTTATTTATTTTTTATTTATTTTTTTACTGGACCATGTACGTTTGCGTTGCAATTACTACCTCCGACAAGCGAAACTTGGCGCGTTTTTTTTTATTTTTCGTGTTGATACCAAAACTACTTCACAAGGCTGTGTGGTACGACCTACTTAGTGGTTGTAGCTCCATGCGACCGGGTGCAGAAAGCCAAGCGACGAGCTGGTGAGTGGCACATGGCTAAGACTTAGTCAGAGGCAAGCGTGTCTCTCGTGTACCAGGAAAACTGTGCGCGCGTCCATTGTGCGAAGGAGAATTGTCGTGCTTTCGCATGGCAATGCAAAACCAAGGAGTTCTCTCCCTCTCTCCTCTTGGTCACTCCGCCAGCACAGAGTCCATGCGTCCATAGCAAATAATCCTAGCGTTTTTCAACAGCCACTGAAGCGATGCGTCTCTGGTGGCTAAGGAAAATCGCCAGGAATTGCTGCAGTCAATTTTGGACAGTTGGCGAGAATACCCTGCAAAAGAGTTGGAGTCCAGGCGCTTGTGGAGGTGTTGCACAGTTCTTACCACGTCAATCCGGATAGTGGCGGCGGAAACGACTACCCTCGACACCGTGGCTCGAGCACAGCACACAGGAGCGACTTCGAGATTTTCAGAGAGATTACAACAGAGGTACTTGCTGCAACTGAATCCGCTCTAGTCGCACTCTCGTCTCAAAACAGGGACAATTCCTCTCCAGAAGAAACTGCGATCTCTGAATCAGAAGACAGTTGTTCAGCCTAACAGATGTCTCTAATGTCTTTGTTGAGCAATACAAAGTTGAATTTGTGTTGAGTCAATCATTAGTTTTGATTGTAAGGCCACACTTTGTTTTTTCTATGTTTCTCGTCATCGCCCGCGTAGGTTTTCAGAATTTTCGGAAGAAAAAAAAGTTCATACAGTGGACTACGTACATGCACATGACTAGTATGTTGTACTCTGCACATGCTGCAGCAGCTAGATGTAGGCGTCAATCAAAATCGTAAACGTTTGCACCACAGCAGGAAAGGAGCGCTCCCCGTCCTATCCATTCTCTGCGATAAGGCTGCCATGACGAAGCTTTCAGTCGTTCACTGCCTGAGCCTCGTGGGTCCCAGGAATACCGTAAGTCGGACGAGTTCCGTGGCAACTGGCGACTGTGGAACGATGTCGTGGCCAGAAAATCCAAGCAATAGACGCATGGCGAGGGAAAGATGAGCAGCGTGGAGACAAGAGTTTGATAAGCGGACACAAGAACGTTGAAGTAACAAACCAAAAATGACCAGTGGGAAAGCGTTTGTTGATGCGATAGCAGATAAATGTATGTTCTCTTCGCCATCTCGTAATCATCAAATGTATACTCTCATTGTTGCAGTGTGCCTGATATTCGTGGGCTGGTGTGATAATGTAGTGCAATCATGTACATGTATGGGACTACATGTACATGATTGTACAATGTAGTCCCATACTAGTACAATCATGGTATACACAGTGTCTTGTATCAGTCACGTATATACATGTAAAATGTATCCAGTTTTCAGTAGAAATTGTTCTTGTTTTTTCCTTGGCTTTTGTTTTTTTTCCGCCCGCCCGCATACCTTTTGTTAAAATTTGCCGACGAGAAACATAGAAAAAACAAAGTGTGGCCTAAAGTGTGATTTATTTCGAGTAATTTGAAGTAAAAGAACGCGCCAAGTTTCGCTTGTCGGAGGTAGTATACCATTTGAGAGTTCACGGCAATTACTTTCATGGTTGTTAAATCTCTATGCATTGTATTATTATGTATTCAGTACTGCGTCTCTGCTTCAGTGCTCTAAAAGGAATGCTTCTGGAGCGCACATTTCATCAGCCTCCTTCAGCTCAACCCTCAATGAAAGACGTGCGTACAAAAGTGCTTCCCACGAGCTACGTGAAGTGGCGATGCTACTGGACCATGTATCATTGTTTTCGTTGCGACTAAACCGTTAAGAATTCATTGCAAATACTTTCATGGTTATTAAATAGGGCAACGTTCGCGAGGTACGATGCGAATGCTTGAACAGCAGCTATCAATTGATGATGCAGTGGTGTCGCCAACCAAATCACTTGGTAACATCTCTGGTACAGAAGAACAAGGACAAGCCTTGATTTTCCTTCTACATGTACTTGCTGCGCTGTTAAAACGCGAGATAGTCATAAACCAGACTCGGACGGAGAGCCAAGGATGTATTGGAAGAAAAAAGGACCAACGAACTGCAACAAATTGAAAACTTCTCCAATTCTTCAATGTACAATGAAGAGTACAATGGGGAGAGGGGAAGGAAAATGTTCGGTTCTCAAATTTCCTAGTGTTCATTTGAACTAGTGTGGATCGCGCAGATGCACGTACTACTACTACGTTGAAGAAATAAACTACAAGTTACGCTATAATGTCCACTAACACTACTAGCTACATGGCAATCAGGTCATGCGATAACATTGCACGACACGCTAGAGCAGATTGGCAGTTACATGTAGTTGCAGAACGTCAGTACCTTTGGTCAGTGTTGTGCAATGTTATCGCATGAGCTGATTGTTTAGTAACTGGTGGTGTTAGTTAACATTATAGCGTAACTTGTAGTTCATTGGTCCTTTCTCTTCCTATATTCATAAATCAATCTTGCTACCTGCAGTTTTTGTTTCTTCAGTGTACAGCTGGAGGACAGGTGTGGGTGGAATTCTACTAAAGGCTGGTTTGTCAAGTCGGAAGTGGTGGTCTTTTGCAGGTTCGCCTTACGGCAGGTTTAATGCGCTCCTAGTGTGCTTTGGATAAGAACCCTGAGTTTGTCAAGTTCCCGTCGCTGGGGTCCAAATTGAGGGCGTCCAACTTGCTTGGACTTCTCTTTGATTTTCTTCTCCAGGTCTTTTGGTTCCACATGATCTTTTTTTTGTTTCAAGTTGGATCTGGGTACTACTATTCTTTAACACGGTTTGTTTGTGATCGTGACGTCATACTCGACCTCTGGTGACGATGCTCATTTATAACCAATCGGAAAAGTGCAAAACCAGTTCATACCGCATGAGTATCAATTTTATCAAGACAATGTAAACTTTAGAGTAGGGAAAACCCCAGAATCACTACTATTGATAAGTGTCCGTGCTTGACCTGTACCTTGACACGTTACTCCTGTGTAAGCTGAACTACACTGGCTACGATACGAACTGGGTACATTTTTGTAGGTAAATGTACTGTGTGTGATGCGTTGACAGACGCCAGGGTAGTTTGAGTATTCGTCAAAATATAAAAATAGAGGAATGGCAGTTTTGGGAATGGACAAGCGATATTTGCTCACATGGATTGGGCGCCTTGAAAGAATTTCAGACTCCTAAGTAAGCCTAAAACTCAAGAATCCATGGATATTGCACACATAGATTGAAGTTTAACATGTGACATCGCAAATCCGAGCGAATCGATACCTTGAAATGGAGGTGCAGAGTATCCATCTTGGCAAACACATTCATACGATCCGATGGTGTTGTTACATTCACTGTTGATTGTACTCTTGCAGATGTCTCTGTCGTCCTTACATTCGTTGATATCTGAAAGGAAGGGGGTGTTTGTTAGACCCGCGTTACACGAACGTGTGAAGCGCAGGGACCACCTCACAATTTCGACTTCTTTCGTAACCATTTCTCTTCGTAGTTCACAAGTACCTGTGGTTCCACATTGCTGGTCTGTGTGACGCTTGAAGCGTCACTTCCGTCTGGTTTTATTTTACTGATGTAACTGTGACGACAGACCGTTGCCCAGTCTCTCGTCTCAGCACTAACGCCGGGGTTTGTCCATCGGAGATGGCTAACATGTATTAGTTTCTGATTTCACCTCTTCAGCATTGCTACCAGTTGAGCACCAAATTAATGGCGTCTTTTGGCGTTTTATAATCATGTCCTTCGGCGTTATATCTATAATTTAGCGCTAAATTTGTTTATGCTTGTGGCCCTATGTGTTTATAAGCATACTGTTGGGTAGACCCGAGTATCAGTTGTCTGATGATTGCCTAGCGGCATGAAACTCAGAGTTACAACCAACCTCCGCTGAGTCTGCTATATAATATTAATTTACTCAATCTGCGGACAGCGTGCTGTTCCGTTCTTTTTGAACTCATCAGCGCAGCACAGAGGAAATGAGGCCGAACCTGATAGCAATGGAAGTAAAAATTTCCAATCAGGCCCGAACGTACCTTGCCAGAGTGCTCAAACTGACAAGTCAGTGAGCTCTGCATAACGCAAACAGCAAAGGCGCTACCCCACGCAAGAGTGCTCAACTGCTACAAGAGTAGGAGCGAAATACTCAATCTGCGGACAGCATGCTGTTTCGTTCTTTTTGAACTCATCAGCGCAGCACAGAGGAAATGAGGCCGAACCTGATAGCAATGGAAGTAAAAATTTCCAATCAGGCCCGAACGTACCTTGCCAGAGTGCTCAAACTGACAAGTCAGTGAGCTCTGCATAACGCAAACAGCAAAGGCGCTACCCCACGCAAGAGTGCTCAACCGCTACAAGAGTAGGAGCGAAATACTCAATCTGTGGACAGCATGCTGTTTCGTTCTTTTTGAACTCATCAGCGCAGCACAGAGGAAATGAGGCCGAACCTGATAGCAATGGAAATAAAATTAATTTATATAATTTTATCTAAGGCCTAAGATGTGCATATGAGAGACAGTGTGTGTGTGCACTTCCGTACGTGGGTTTGCATGGTTGTGCTTCCCTGGACATTGGCGCCCACTTGTGTGCTGATACTTCTTAAAATGCTTTTCATGTTCAAGGGTGCTTTGGCTAGATTGGACGTTTCCTATCAACCATATGAAATTATATACTAGCATCTTACCTTTACAAGGTGTTCCTGTAAAGCCTGACTTGCAAACACATTGATAAGATCCAGGTGCATTGTTGCATTCACTGTTAGCAATATTGTTGCAAATACCCGTATAAGGTGTACATTCATTGATATCTGGCATGTGAATACAGAAACAGCATTGATATCACCTTCAATCTCACAAACATCATCGAGCGTATGCCTTTTTTTCCAGCGGACTCGAGAGATTATGCTCAAGCAAGCTACCAATATCAAAACTTCCCACGAATCGTCCTTATTCGCGCTCTTAAAAGGACACTTGGAAGTAGTGAAGCACCAAAGTTAGCCGACCCTACTGTTTCAACTACATACCGTCTCATACGTCACCTGGTGATTTCTACACCAAGTAAACTCAATCAGAAATCTCTGAAGAGAATGGTTTGTCCACCAACCACCAAGCAAAAATTAACATTGAGACACGAGCACGCACGTCGGTCCTCTGAAAATACCTATTCCTCTGAATGTGATTTGAAGAAATTCTCCCCTCGACTTTGGGAGTTCTCTGTGCTAGTTATAAGAGTTGAAAACCAAGAATGGATGCACAATGTGTGTTGAAAGTGCTCACGAAGTCACCAAAGCAGCGTGTAGTATACAGTACAACAGGGAATTATGGCTAGTTCAGAGTATATAGCAGACTCAGCCTCAGCTCTGGGATCAACGAATTTGCTAGTTCAGAGTATTGTAGATCTGAAAGTATCGCCTACAATCCTTCAAATCGAACGTCCACCACCATCTTCGCCGAAGCCAGTGGCATTGGGCCACAGACTCCCTCTAACAGTTCAGAACTATTTCCATCCTGAAGCTCCCCCCCCCCAAGCATTGCATGATGTTCACTGCATCTGAACTGTCTTTGAATCTATTTTTCTCTATTCTTGTTCTCTCTCCACCCCCGCCCCCCCCCCCCCCACCCCTCTCTCTCTCTCTGTACTTAGTAAAAATAAAAAAACAGTGTCCCACTAGCATGTCAACAGATTATTTCCACTTCAATACGCACAATCTCTCCCGCTCCCATCACGTTCGCATGCCATCAAGATCATTACTATTCAGACAGCCTGTACCTTGACATGTTGAGCCTGTGTATCCAGTCCTGCAAAGACATTGATATGAGCCAGGAATGTTGTTGCAGTGACTGTTAGCTGTGCTGTTGCAGACACCCGTTTCTGGTGTACACTCGTTTATATCTGGGTATGAGATTGTCATATAAAACATAGTGGTCAGGTGCGTAGCCAGGATAGTGATGAAGGGGGGTGCCACGACATTTCTCACACAAAAGTACATACACTCAAGGTTTTCCAAGTTGGAGGGCTGTTGGAGTGCGCATCCAAGATGTGCAAGAGCTGTTAGCCAGTTAGTTGTAGAACATCAGTACCGTCGGTCAGTGTCGTGCAGTGTTATGGCATGAGCTGATTGTTTAGTAACTGGTGGTGTTAGTGGACATTATAGTGTAACTTGTAGTGCCTTGCTTTTACTAGCCTTTTAGTGATTGGTGCAGCCCAGAGACCGTTTGAAGACTGAGGATGTATGGATGTAGTTCCTTGGTTCTTTTTATTTTTTATAAATGCGATAATAACAAGTGAAATATTTAACCTGTACAATTGATAAAGTATCCATACTTGACCTGTACCTTGACATGTTACTCCTGTGTACCCTGAATTGCACTGACAACGATAAGAACCGGGTGAATTCTTGCAGATACTATCTGTGATATGTTGACAGACGCCAGGGGTGTTTGAGCACTCGTCAAAATCTAAAAGATAGAAGCAATATGAAATGGCGAAGCTAAGAACGAATGTATCCGCTTACCACCCAGCCTGATGTTGATCACTATGTCTAGGTTCTGCCCCCCCCCCCCTGGCATTTTAGAACCGGTTTTGGCCGCACTATTAAAGGCCCCAAACCCACTTTACATTCCACAAATATGGGCTTTGTGCTTGCTTCTCCATACATTTTTTATCATTTACACATATTTGCAAAACTAGCCGAATTTCTTGTCCCATATCCCTTCACCGTGTTGCCCTCAAATGTGCAAAGGAAGAATAGCACTGGTCACACAAGGTTCAGTGTACATAATATCTGCTACTTTAGGTGCCTGATCCTAAATTGGGGTGTAGAGGGGGGGGGGGGGGTAGAGATTTGGATTGATGAAACCAAGCCAGCGTTCATATTGCACCACAATTACCTTTGAGCAAACATTGGAGAATATGGATCAGTCCTTGTAAAGGATTATTGTAGTGTCCCTGCCACCACGATTCTGCGAGGGTTAGCCTTACAACAAAAAAATGTTACGCTGCGTGTGTCCGATGCATACTTGGTAAGGAAAAGGCCATGGTTTCCAAAAGTCGATCCTCCCATCTTTAGGCTGTCTATAATCAGACATCTTTGATAATGTGATTAGACTTTGATAATTTATTTCTGGATCTGCTAGCTTAGTGCATGGCTACGTTGTCTGGTGATGGCTCAGTGTGAAGATCTAAGTTTCAACTGATTAGCCTGACTTCTATATGCACACTAGTGCAAGTCCACCCAGGTGTATTCCTAAAGCAAACATGAGTACTTCAGTGGGTAAGATATTCAACAGTTCAACATTCATAAGATTTTGCTATATGGAAATTTGACCTGGTTTTCAACTTTGCGAGTCACAAATTTTCAGTAGCACACTCTGCGACTAATGATAATATACTCCAAACTGTCCAAAGTTATTAAAGAAATGGTGCTGATCGTGAAATCAGGTTACTTGCCTTGACACGTTGATCCATGAGTATATCCGGCATTACAAGAGCATTGGTAACTACCGAATGTGTTAGTACAGGTACCTCTGGGACTTGGACTGCAGGTTGTTGCATTCTTGCATTCATCGATATCTGCATCATGCAAAAAAGAAAAACAGCACCACAAATAGAAACAGTACCCTTTCCTACGGACAAAGTTAGAAATCCTGTGTCTCTTTAAGTAACTTGAACATTTGGGCTCCTGAAAAATAACGGCGAGATTTTCAAGAAACGTTTGCTTCAGCAATATGCTGTGCTTGAACGCATTCGTTTAAGGTGGCAGACTACCCAAAAATTCGCTGAAAAATCGAATTTGTAAATTCATATTGAGTGCTACGTCAGTTGAAAGAGCATGAATAGCTGCAAATTCTCTGAAAATTGTGTCCCGATCTGACCGGCCGTTCAAGAGGTATGGCCGAAAATGTGCCCTTGCAAGGAAAGATTTTTTTGTTGCAGGCTGTCATTTGTTGGCAGCACTGTATTTGAATGTGAGCAGACCGTGCGCAACTTGTATCATGGAAACACGTGAAAGTGTGCAGAATTTTGCTCCAAGTCCATAAAATCAGGTTTTTGAGCCACGTGCAGCAGGACTTTTGCCAGCACCCTCGTGACGTTGCAGATATGTGGCTTGATTATTGTAGTTGACGTTGATTTAGTGACTTTGGCAAGTTTGAGTCGTGTCAAGAAGTCAGGTAGGATTCAGTACTAGGCAGTTGTGAAACGTGAGTGGTAGTCTTTGCCGGTTTCTGATGGTATCCTGGATTTGGTGTGCAGCGCTGTGGAAATGGCTTGCTGTGGAGGTCCCAGCACTGGATGTTGTATCAAAGGTACGACCTCGTAGCACGTGCTAAACCTAAAAAAATTCAAAAATTGACTTGGGTCTGTGGGAGTGTGTGAGAGAACGCCCACTCGTTCCGTTGTGACAGATTCCAGGGCCTCGTTGAGGGGCCCTACCCCATCACCCATGGCTGCTTCTGGACTTGTTCTAGGTTTGAGTCCCGCGCACGAACAGAATGCGCACGAAAATGTGAAAAAATGTAAATGCATTTGTTTGGCTCCTGGGTGGCTCGCACACCGTAGCACTCTGCCGGAAATTTGAGTTTTTGCGGCCTGGAAAGCCTGTCAGTGAGGCGCAAGAACTTGTAAATCATGTCCTGAGGGCCAGCATAGTGGCAGGAGTGTGTGGTCAAAATTTCACTCAAATCCATTGAGAAACACCAAAGTTACGGTCAATTGAAATTTATGGGTAGGCTGCCCCCTTAACTTCGCAATGGCTTTTCGCAGGCGCAGTGTTTGTAGCCCAATTCCACACCCTGACTTCTCGATGTGTGTTTTATCGATGCAGTGATCATTTACTGCCTTTCTCGTTAGTCGTGTAGCTGTGGTAGTTGCGACGTTTCATTTTTAGTTAAACATGGGCGGGGGGGGGGGGGGGTACGTCGTGGGTCATTGTATGAAGAGAGCTTCAGGGCTGAGGACTAGTCACAGAGGTTCACTGAGTGTTGTAGCAGTCATTGTAACATCTCACAGTGTTTGGTGTGCTGTGCTGTGCAAATATCAGCATTATCATTGCACTTGTTTTATTATAACCTTTATACACTTATTGAGGACAATAGAGAGGAATATGGCTCGGCTGGACAGCATGGGAAGATTTTAAAGGAAAGAAATAGGACGAAGGAACTACAAGCTACGCTATACTGTCATGCGATAACATTGCACGACACTGACGGACGGTACTGACTTTTTAAACTGCTAATCACCTCTACCACATGGATGCGCACTCCAACTGCCTTCCAATTTGGAAGGTTTTGAGTTATTAGTACTAACATAGGAGGGGAAGGTACGCGTAAAGAAGACAAGCACAAGCTGAAAGCCTTAGATGTCGAGAACCTTGGTGAATATCAATACATCAAGGCCATTACTGAGCCACCGTGGTAACTGCAAAACGTCTATGTGCCCGTTATTGTTGTGAACGTGCACCACAAGGACCCTGTAATAGTTTTGTTGTATCTCGTTGTAGCGACAAAACATTACAGCGACACCCCTCACCACACACACACCAACTCATAGCGGGCAGGAAAATTCTTGGTGACCATATATCCTGATCTTAACCGCTGGTACATTTTTTTCTAATCTTCTCTCTTCCCCGTACTGTGACTGGGTTCGTTCTTATTTCTTTGAAATTGGTCCTATAACCAAAAATACTATTTCTCGCGTTCACATGGATAACTCGAAGTGGGCGCATATGCTAAGAGAACAAGATGAATGATATCCGGGTAAATAAACAGACCAAGCGGCCTGCAAGAAGCCTTGCCTGTGTTGACAATTGATTATTATAACCCTGGTGTACAAACAATAGAATAACAATCCAACGATTATATAATTTCCAGTTTGTTTATTACTAGTAGTACTAAAAAATACACAAGAGAGATTGGAAGCTGTGGCTCAACTCTAAGTTTCAAGTATTTCTACAATCATCAGGCTCGCCTGCTAGGCTTGCAAGCCTGATGATCTTTAGAAATATATGTTAGGTTCACGATTTCACATATGCACGCACTCGCACACTCGTACGCACTCGCACCCTCGAACTCACCTTTTCGGGCGCGCACTCACTTTCACTCTCGTACTCACCTTTTCGGGCGCGCACTCACTTTCACTCTCGTACTCACCTTTACAGGCGCGCACTCACTTTCACTCTCGTACTCACCTTTACAGGCGCGAACTCACCTTTATGGGCGCGCACTCACTTCCACTCTCGTACTCACCTTTTCAGGCGCGGACTTACCTTTGCTCTCGTACTCACCTTTACAGGCGCGAACTCACCTTTTAGGGCGCGCACTCACATTCACTCGACGTACTCACCTTCACAGCCTCGTACTCACCCTGGTTGCTTTTCCTAATCTTTTCTTTCTTTGGCCTGGGTAGCTGGACTCGCGCTTTGGCACATTTATCTCCATAGCTACCCAGGCCCTAGATAAGCTCTTGCTGGAGCATTTGCTCTCCCCCTTCTAGCCTGTCTAGCCTTGTCGTGCTCGCCTTGCTTGGTCTTTCTTACCTTATCCTATCCCGAACCATTGAGATTCCTTGTCGTGTCGACTTGCTCCGATCGTTGAAGTGTGACTGTATCAGTCCTAACATTGGCGCCCGATCTTTCGCTCGACCTCACGACCCTGAGAACCGTAAGTACCCCTGCTCTACCGACTGTATTGCATTTTACTTGTGTCTCGTTTCGTTTCGACTCGACTTCGTTCTCGTACCACCTTGCTCGTCGTGTTAGCTTTCAATATTTGTATCGTTCCAAACTTTCGGTAGGCGCCCTTCTTGCATTTTACTTGTGTCTCGTTTCGGTTCAACTCTACTTAGTTCTTGTAGTACCTTGCTCGAAATTCTAGCTTACAAATCTTTGTGTCGTACCGAACTTTTGTTAGGTGCCATCTTTCTTTTCTCTATCATTCCAAACTTCTGTACCGTTCCAAAATTTATAAACGAAAATGACTGTTGATCCGTGTCGCATACCTGCTGGTAGTTTCCCTGTGTTTTCTGGCGCGCCTGGCGAAGATATCGAGGTATTCTTTCTAGAGTTTGATTCAGCTTGCGAGGCGTATGGGTTTCCACCTGTCGAGCGCTGCGAAAATTTGTTAGATACCGATTTTGATCAAAGTTGTAGTTCACCTGTGGCCTCGTCCTCGAGACTTATGATTAATGATCGCGATGCACTGCGGTACCGATTCTTGCGCAAATCTTTGAGGAAAGAAGCATCGAGATTTTTGTTGGCCTGCGATAAATCGGTAGTCGAAGATTATGTACAATTGAGAACTGTGTTGGTTGATCACTTTTTGCCAAAAGAGAATTCGTCTTTGTTTCGAGTCAAACTGCGCCATCGTAGACGATCCCCAAACGAATGTTTGGTAAAACTCGCCACCGATATAAGACTAATGACTGCGCGTGCATATCCTTCTGCGACGTCGGAAGTAATCGACGACATCGCAAAAGAAGCGTTTATCGATGCTTTAGATCCACCAATTAAAGATAAAGTAATCGATTTCGATCCACAGACACTTGACGCCGCACAGCGTAGAGCTTTGGTAGTGGAAACAAACTTACAGAAGTCGAGTACGGTCCTTGCAGCTGCGGCCGCCGAATTTGCATCTGTTTCTCAAGTACGCGCACCATCGAAAATTTTTGACGAAGACGAACTTGTTGAGCGTGTAGCTGAGCGTGTTAGCAAAATTTTGTTGGAACACCAGAAACCGGCGAGTAGTCGACCACGCTCACCTTCGCCTGAGCGCCGAGATTTCAAACGTCCGCACAGCTCGGAATCGCGTAGCCAAATGGGGGATCGTAGGTCGGATCGTAGAATCAGTTTCCGCGAACCGCCTGTTTGTTTCTTTTGTCAGCGTCGAGGACACATTGAACGTGACTGTTTCACCAAAAAGCGTTCCCAAAACTCGCAACATTTTGGCGACCGCTCGGACTCACGTAATTCTTTAAACCGCTTTTAGTGGCTGACGAGAGGCTGCCAACCACTTCGACTCCGATATCGAAAATCACCACCGATACGAACACTTTTGCCTCGACATATAAACCTTTTACTTTGTTACTGCCGTACTCTATCCTGTTATTTACGATGTTCCTCCATGCCGTTCATTCTGTTAAGTCGACTGTCACTCTGTTATTACCGTACTCGATCCTGTTCTTTACGATGCTTGTTCACGCCCTTAAATTTGTTACGTCGATTATTGTGAGATTTCCGTTCTTGTGCATTGCCTTAGTGTTACGCTTACTGGGGTTCGTGGTTTCTATTGTGAGGGGGGTTGTTTCCCCTGTGTTCACCCGAACTGCCCACTGCGTTCGTCGATATTGGACGAAAGGCTGCCATTTGCAAATAAAAATTTCCAGACGACAAAAAGGCAAAGACGCAGTGGTAGCAGCTCTGGTGGACACGGGGGCAGCATTCACGGTAATTCGAAAAGATGTATTTGAAACATTTGCACCGATGACTACACTCGCGCCTCAGTCCACAGTTGGTATCGATGCACTCCAAAGCGCGACGGGGTCTTCGATTAAAGTACATGGGGTCGCGCCGGTTTGTATCGCAAAACTCAGAGTTGTAACAAAGCTTCCAATCTCTCTCTTCTGTACAAGGCTCTGCCCTACATGGGTATTGAGCACTCTTCGGACAGTGAAGCACACCACTTGACTACGTAAAAATACATGAATAATTATAAGACTGCACCACAGAACAAACATGAACTGCATCTGCGCCTTGATCCTAGAGGGTTGGTGGCGTCCCTACGGATGCGGAAATTCGGCTTCTAGCCGAGTCTAACGCGAACTGTGAATGTTTTTCTTTTATTCAGACCAACAAGGGCAATCAAGGCTTGTTTGCTGCTACTTAATTAAAGTTTCGTGCTTCCGCATTAAAAGACTGCATAATAAATGTTTGTTCACTTACCTTCTGATATCACAGTAATGTAAGGCTCATTACCATTAAGTGCCACTTTACAAGATCCATATGCCATGTGAAAGCGAAGATTTAACTGGTGCTTGAGGATTTTGACAGAGACTACAAACTTAAAACGATCTACTACCATCCCACCAGACTGCTTGGTTTCGGTAATTTGGTTAGGATTCCATTGTGTCCACGGTGATTTTGAGTCGATCCGTTCCCTCGTGTGTATCTGGACAATACAGCTGCCTTCTGACTCGATTGTGATCTCCTTGGCTACCATGTAACATTGTGGTGGATAATCGAAAATCACCTCGTACGGCCCTGGAGGAACTAATAAAGTTCTTAGCATTGGTTGGGGGCCAGTTACTGACGAATATCGTAATATGCCATCACCACTGGACAGTGGAAGTGATGGACGACCTGTTGCAAAGCAAGGTGACGTTTTTGTCAAACCTCTTGTGACATTCCAGCCGCTCACAAGCAGTAGCGTGGGAATAACGTGTTTGATGAACAACATGTTCAGGCCTAAATGAGACAACATATCAAACGTCATGCAAAAAACACTTCATCGCTGAAACTATACTTCAAATCACTTGGACGATAATCACGAAAAAAATGAGCACACGAAATATGTGAAGTCAATTTCCAGCATTCTTTCCAATGTAACGACTGCATTTGTGACCATCCTTAATCACGTCAGTCTCACTTACCTGTTAAAAGCAGATAATCACAGGTTCATAGCAGTAAAGTCTCTATGCATACTGTTTATGAAAGGTGAACTCGGATGGTGAATGCCAAAAAGCCATTTTGTCGCACTCACTGACTGTATAATTGTTACGTTGGTGGACAGTTAGTCATAACTCGTAACAGTTTTGTCCTTCTCCTTTTTTCATGTTCCAAAAGGCATCTAAATTCCCTGTAATACAATCATGTACATGTAGTTGACAACATACGTAACTCATAAGCAAAGCACACGGTTTCTGCTGAGTTACCCGGTACTTTGTGCTGAGCACACCCCGCTCACTCAATCTCTACTGATCGCTGTATTCCCCGCAGCATGTGTATGGAACGGGAAGAGGTACTTTATTGCAAGTTTACTGAGTGTCCGACGTGCTCCAAACGCCATGCTTAAATCAAACAAGTAGCATGACTGTCATTATGAAGGAAGTTGCAAGTAACAACGTTCGAAGCAGCCACCCTCTACTATCATCGGCAAGTGCTCATCCAGTGAACAATGTCGTTGATACAGGTCTGAACTTTGGGGTACAGGGTGGCATGAGATGGGGAGGAAGCAAGGACAGTGGTATCATCTGCAAACAAAGAAATATTGAGAATTGAATAGGGGAGGTCATTAACGTATGTGAGGAAGAGCAGGGGACCTAAAATGGAGCCCTGGGGCACTCCGGATGTCACAGACTCGGGGTCAGATAAGGTTCCATTTACTGTGACGCACTGATTTCGGTCCAAGAGGTAGCTAGTTATCCAGGCGAGTAGGGAGCCGGAGACACCATGGGCACGAAGTTTGGCGATCAGGCCCTTGTGCCACACGGTGTCGAAGGCCTTGGGGAAGGTCGAAGAAACAGATGCAGGAGACCTGCCGCTGGTCTTTTAAGGAGCAGAGGTCTTGGATTATGCGGGACAATTGCAGGGATGTGTTGTCCTTACGGCGGAAGCCAGATTGTGCGGGGTGAAGAAGAGGGGAGATATGGTCGTACAAGCGGTCGTACACTATTCTCTCTAGCAGTTTGGAGACGCAGGACAGGAGGGAGATTGGTCGGTAATTAGACGGGTTGTTCTTGTCGCCTTTATTTTTGTACACTGGAATGACAGTGGCTGACTTCCATCGTGACGGGAATGTGCCGGAGGAGAGGGAAAGGTTAAAAAGAATGGAAAGTGGGCGGGCAATTGAGTAGCTCAGTTTCCTGAGGATCTCATTGGTGATCCTATCAGCTCCGGGGATTTGTTCAGAGGCAGTCTTGCAATATACTTGTGAACAGTCAATGAGGTGATGATCAGGGAGTGCAATGTAGTTGCTGGTGGAGGTAGGGAGGAAATAGTGGGAATAGGAGCATCGGGGTCAACCTGTAAGCCAGCACTGACGAAGTGGCGGTTCAATAAGTTACCAATGGATGCCGGAGAGGTGCTTGTTCGACCATTGGGGCCCACCATCTTCGAAGGTATGACCCGGGCGCTGGTAGGATTTCGCAGTTGACGAATGAGCACAGGGAGGGATGGGAGGCGAGGGTTTGTGGGAGATATCGTGGCACGGAGGTTGCGGATGTAGCAGCTATGGCAGGATCTGGAAAGGCATTTTACATAGTTACGTTAGTGTTTGTATTTGTTGAAATTTGTAGGGGATGGGTATTTCCGGTAGATGCTGTAGAGATCGCTCTTGACTTTAATAGCTGCTTTCAGTGATGGAGTCATCCAGGGGCAGGGTTTGTGGCGTGATTTCCGACGAGGAGGTGAGGATCTTCCTATATATAGGTCCAAGGCACCTTCAAGGATGTCAGTGAATGCGGAGACAGCCGTGTCGATCCAGTGGGAGGCAAGGACCTGAGACCAGGGTACATCTGCGAGAAAAACATTCATGGCATTCCACATGTTATCCGTGGCACTCAGGACGAATGAATACAGTCTAATGTCGAGCCAGACGCGCCTCAACCTGGACAAGCTCGACAGGCGCGAGGTCGAAGTGACGACGGCGAACAGAGCGTGATCCGCGGATGGCAGACCTGGCAAGAGAAGATGCCAAGCAGCACCGCAGCCAAGCTAAAACCCGGCTATAGGCAGTGTGGCGTTTGGTGGTACTCCAGAATACAAGCCTCTTGTGTGGTTCTAGGGACAAGGGACAGCGCAAGAAAGCTCGCTGATTCGATATTAATATTATTTCTCGGACTTCTCACCGTAGGCCAATTGCAGTGAACCCCCGTTCAACCTCACAGAAACTTGAGCGCACAACTCGAACTTGAAAGCCATCTCACGTACAAGCAAGAGTACATAACCCCCCCAGAGTGCGCAACGCCTATTCCAGCTCTGCAGAAGGTCTTGGTCGAGCGTGGTCGGATCTGGACTGTATTATGACGCAAAGATCCAATTACGCTGGACGACGGCCCTATGCAGAGCTGGAGCTGAGGGTTATGTACTCTTGATATACTTTAGTAAGTGACTTTTTGGATCCGAAAACAACAGTGCAGGTTAGTTCTTACCTCTTGGAGTTTGCGTTCGCTCTATTTTCTTCGCTGTACAATTCCTTTGGGTCATTGATTCCAAACGAGTCTCTGACAGCCTCTGCTATTAATGATGATGAAAGTTGAACACGTTCTGCGCTTACACTAGTAGTTAAATGTAAATAGTTCTCCGTCTATGACGTGGCATTATGCGGCAGATTGAAGCCTCTTCAAACAGCCATGATGCCGTTGACTGTTTCAGGAAACGTTAGCGCACAAGCAAAAGCAGACGTGTACGTCCCACGTGACGTGACGTTGCTGGCAATTCATTCCAGACAGTGCTTATGTAGTTAGTTCAAACATTGCGGACACTGAGCAAGGGACAGACGGTAACACACACAACACCTTGGTGCCATGCTGGTGATCAATATCCATCTGGCCGAGCAACGGTTTGGCATCCTGACCATGATTCGTTGTGTGCAATACGATCACTTTCTGCTGGCTCGCTTATAAAAGAAATGTAAGTACGAGATGGCACGAAATCAGAGTGTCTCTTCCTTTTCTCACGCTGCTTCAGTGAATTCAGGACGGAATTTGACAGCTGGGGTGGTGCAATTATTTCCTGTGTCGACATTCCCAGTTGCATGGTAGGCGAGCTACACCAATCTTGGTCAAGCATGGTATCACAGCTGCGGAATTCAGTGACGGCAAAGGACCAGTCAGTGCTTATTTCCGTGTGCAGTCTTTCCTGCTGCGTGCAACGTGTTTTGTGCATGCCCTTCGCACTTATCAATAGACACGATGGAAGGTCATCAATAGGCTGATGGACGGTCATCAAGCTCAGCATTTTCGGCGGCTTTTTTCTACGAGTACTTCAACTCCCGAGCTCTTGTGTACATGGCCCTAGATAATATTGATCTTCCGATACGCATGATGGCATCGGTGGGGAATGTCATATGGATGTCATGAACTACTCCTCAGTGGGATGAGAGTTGAACGAATTGGACCCACTTGACTTTGTACTTCTGGGGGCCAAGGGCTAGTTCAACCTACTAGTGCATGATGTGATTCCTCAAATTCGTTTTCACTGATTGAGAGAAAGACGCAAACGGGAAAATCTGAAGAAAACTGACTGCAATTAATGTTCTGCATTGAGAGTACGTCATTGCGGTCTGCCAAACATGAGATGCAGCTAGGGGAAGCACGCATAACCTGGATCGTGGCAATGTAGTGTTTCTCAAGCATAATCCATCCCCTTCTCCTCGTCAATAACGCCCATGTAGCCCAATGAAATTCTTTCTCCATCAAATTGTAGTTTGCTTATGCCATCAAGGGGAGGACGTGTGCCTCGTGTTCATGTACACACTTGTATTATTCACTGGTTTTTACTGAAGTATCATGACATATCCAAATCGCAAAGAAGAAAAAGACAAAGGAGAAAAAGATGAAGCGAACAGATCAACAATTGAGTGTGGATGCACAACAAGCAGTGACAAAGGTCGGCATGTTATGCTTAGTAAATCGAATTCAAATTGTGTGAACGTGAGAATTCAATACTCTTGTGTCCGCTACACCGTAGTCGTGGTTGATTAATCGAGTACAGGAAATGACGAAAATACGTGCACTCTAGACCGCTTGGCCAGCAATAGCAGGCACAATGTATGGCAACAATCTGTCATGATAAGGGTCAAGACATGACGAAATCAGAAATATCAAAGAACATAAATATATATTTCACGAAGAGCAATAATGTAAACAATCAGTGTCCCGTTTCTCAGCTGAAGGCACGTAATCAAAAGAGTGGTCCTGCTTGTGTGATAAGATTTGTGTCCGTGGTGGAATGTGGAGAGGTGCCGAAAAGATAATTTTTCTATCACAAGTCCTGTTGGGGAATTGAAGGCCAAGTAAGGTGGATAAGGATTTTCTCTTGCAAGCCTGCGATGTGTGTCAAGTCTTTGAGCAAATATCTACCTCCTCGTATCCATTGTCACTTGGATTTGTGGTGTTGCTTAGCCTCACGGCCAGTGGTACATGTAGTGCACTGTCGTCATACACAGGATTCAAGGTCATGCCCACCTGGCTAGTAGAGCTGGTAGACACTGTGCTGGTCGCGTTTGAGTTTCCGATCGTGCACGCACTGTTGTGCACTTCCGATGAGCATGCTGGTAAGGTATACAGTTCATTTGTCGTTAGTGTGACAGCATCAATCTGGCCTAGACGTGATTCAGGTGTTGTAGAACATCTACACAGCGCTTGATCACCTCCTCTACCTTTCATTCTGGACAGTTTCCTGTTCTTCACACAGCAGACTAGGGCCGTAAGTCCCAGAGCTACTGCCAGGATAGAAACTACTGCTGGCACGACAACATATGTAGTGATATTAAAGGTCGTGCTCTGAAAGGTGCTGATGCTTCCTGGTGAAATCGTCATGAAAGTAGTTGACGGCTTGCCGGGAAGGAGAATAGAAAAACATAGTCAACTCATGAGAGGTCAGATAATGTGCATGACATAAACAAATGTCGACCAAATAATTAGACAGCACAACTTTCTCTCTTTAACCCTAGAAGTACCCGAGGCATCATTATGATCCATTGCGAATTTCAAAATGGGATTGCTGTTATATGGGGGCTTTGAATCTCCCAAAATTTTGTGACTTTTATTTATTTTGTATTTTGTTAATGGCAGTGGGTTGTGTTTTCAAAAATTTAGTACAGTTCTGAAATGCCAGGGGGTGCTACCTAGAACTACCGTGCGGCATCATATGACTCCACATACCATAGGCATCAATAAATGGGCGAATTTGGCTTAGAACCACACGTGAATAACGTGAAGAGGAATACATTTGGGAGCAAGGAGATTGGGGACCATGAAGGTGGTGATTTGTACATATGGACATGCTAATATGCACATTTGACGTCTCGTTATGGTCAATATCGTAATCTCGAATCCTGCCGAAACAGACAAATTTGTTTGTCCTAAGTTTGGAAAGTGATTCACTATGTCATCTGCAGCATAGAACGATATGAAATGCCAGGGCACATATAATAGTCTAGTAGCGTCCTTTGAGTTTACGTTGGTCTGGCGGAAGCCATGTTCAGTAGGCGCAGTGTCGCTGCCGATAAATAATTTCATTTGATTTTGAAATTTTTGGGCAGGAGTTTGGGGATAAATGAGAGGAGAGTGCCTGGAGCATTGTGCGCGAGCAATTAGAAGTGACCGAACACAGAGACACATAATTATATGCTCCAGATGAAGATGAGTGAATACTAATTGCTCCGGCTTCTCGATCAATCTGATAAGGAACCGGAGTCAAGGGAGCAAGAGGATAATGGTGGTGATAAAGCTATGGAGCCATACACATAAACGAACATCAATCTCCAAAACCCGTGCAGGATTTCCTTCATGAAGCTGGGTTCTCTGGAAAAATTGGTAGATAGTGGAAAATGTGTTGCACTAAGCAAGCGCGAATGCGCGCAACCGGTTGTTGCTACCGAAGTTTGCGGGCTTTTCCGAGATATTCACAATTTTGAAGATGGGGCAGATGCAGTATTTGCATTTATTGACCGGAATATGATCCATGTCATGATCAAGTGCACAAGGTAGGAGGGAAAACAGAAAATTGGAGAGGACTCTACTTTGAGTGAAGGCAATATCATGGCATTGGTTTCGCAAATTTACTCAAGAGGCGTCCTCTGTACCCGCAATAATCTGCCGACGGCCCTTCGGCTGGATAGGAATGGACGCCATATAATCAAGTAAAATCCCTAAAAAATAGTTTCCAGGAACTACTCTGCTACTTGAGGTTTGATCACGAAGATGGTCTCCGGATACGATGTCGAGCTGAAATTATTCGTTTGCTATGAGTCGCGACACCACGTTCTCCTTGCGCTCGTAAATGTATTTATCACAGTAGTCAAAGAATGGCCAACCTGGTTGAGAAAAAATCCAGCAGGTTGGCCCAGCAGCAGCCATTTCCGGGGTAATGGACTGAAATGTAGAGTTTGCAGGATGAGCATGGCAAGCAAATGCTCTTTTATTTTTCCGTAAACTGACGAGAGGTCGCCCTTTCGCTGCGCGCAATGCCAGCTGCTGGTCTCCAAGATAGTGCACCTGCCATTGGTTCATCCTTTTAAAAGGTACCTTTTGCCCCAAGGACTTCTGTTTCTGCACATATTGCCGAAAATATTTCCAAGCAGGTATGTATAAGTCCAGTGGAGTCATATCATGCCTCCGGTACTTCTAGGGTAGTTGAAAGTTTGGTAGTTCTAGGGTTAAGCCACAATGCCCTCCCTGCCATGCACTTACCCATATTTATCGTCCAGCGGTTGAATACAATCAAATATTCACTGGTTAAATATTTCTGTATAATTAAATTATGTCCGAACATTCCTATTTTATTGTCGGCCTTACTGTTGACGTTCGCATCAACAGATTTGGTTGCGGACTTGCGGTGCGTAATGAATGATATATTTCCCTAGGGAAACATGTCTCCAGGGAGTACAATCATGTTGTACAGATCTTACTGGTCCTACGAACACGGCGAACCGTCAACAACTGTCAACAATGGGTTTGTTTGGTGGCATGCACTGTTGTATTTAAAATATTATGGAATGGAGCATAATACTGTAGAGGATGTTGAGGATGCATAGACAAAGAGTGAGTGGCTCTGAATCACGCTGCTTCTAACTAGAGCTTCACTATAATGTTTGTTGCGCTGGAAACGACGAGGTGTCAGTGTAATCTCTATGCATAGTACTGCATTTCTGCTTCAGTGTTCTAAAATGAGGGGTTCTGGAGCACACATTTCATCAGTCTCCTTCAGCTCAAACCCTCAGTGATAGACGCGCGTACAAAAGTGCTTCCCACGAGGTGAAGTGGCCACGCTACAGGACCAAGTACCATTGTTTTCGTTGCGACTAAACCGTTTTAAAGAATTCATTGCAATTACTTTCGTGGTTATTAAATAGGGCAACGTTCGCGAGGTACGATGCGAATGCTTGAACAGCAGCTATCAATTGATGATGCAGTGGTGTCACCAACCAAATCACTTGGTAACATCTCTGGTACAGAAGAACAAGGACAAGCCTTGATTGTCCTTCTACATGTACTTGCTGCACTGTTAAAACGCGAGATATTCGTAAATCAGACTCGGATGGGAAGCCAAAGAGGTATTGGAAGAAAAAAGGACCAACGAACTACAACAAATTGAAAACGTCTCCAATTCTTCAATGAACAATGAAGTGTACAATGAGGAGAGGGGAAGGAAAATGTTCGGTTGTAAAATTTCCTAGTGTTCATTTGAACTGGTGTGGATCGCGCAGATGCACGTACTACTACTACTACATTGAAGAAATGTACAACAAATTACGCTAGAATGTCCACTAACACTACTAGTTATATGTACTTGACAATCAGATCATGAGATAACATTGCACGACACACTACAGCTCATTGGCAGTTACATGTAGCTGTAGAACGTCAGTACCTTTGGTCAGCGTTGTGCAATGTTATTGCATGAGCTGATTGTTTAGTAACTGGTGGTGTTAGTGAACATTATAGCGTAACTTGTAGTTCATTGGTCCTTTTTCTTCCTGTAGTCATAAATCAATCTTGCTACCTGCAGTTTTTGCTTCTTCAGTGTACATCTGGAGGACTGGTGAGGGTGAAATAATACTAAATGCTGGTTTGTCGAGTCAGAAGTGGTGGTCTTTTGCAGGTTCGCCTAACGGCAGGTTCAATACGCTCCTAGTGTGCTCTAGATAAGAATCCTGAGTTTGTCAAGTGCCCGTCGTTGGGGTCCAAATTGAGGGCGTCCAACTTGCTTGGACCTCTTTTTGATTTTCTTCTCCAGGTCTTTTGGTTCTAAATTATAATTTTTTTCTTTCAACTTGGATCAGAATACTACTTTTCTCTATTACGGTTTGTTTGTGATAGTGACGTCATCCTGGACCTCTGGGGACTATGCTCGTTTAAAAACAATCGGACAAGTGCAATGCCAGTTCATACCGCATGAGTATCAATTTTATCAAGACAATGTAACCTTTAGAGTAGGGAAAACCCCAGAATTACAACTATCGATAAGTGTCCGTGCTAGACCTGTACCTTAACACGTTACTCCTGTGTAAGCTGCATTGCATTGGAAACGACACGAACTGGGTAATACATGTACATTCGTGTAACTCAGTGACTGTGTATGATGCGTGGACAGACGCCAGGGGAGTTTGAGCACTCGTCAAATATAAAAATAGGGGAAAAAGGGAATGGCAGTGTTGGGAATGGACCTACACGCAGTATTGGCTCACGTGGATTGTGCGCCTTGAAAGAATTTCAGACTCCTAAGTAAGCCTAAAACTCAAAAAGCCATGAATATTACACTACATAGGTTGACGTTCAACATGTACGAAGTAAATTGCAAATCCGAGCGAATCGATACCTTGACATGGAGGTCCAGAGTATCCTTCTTGGCAAACACATTCATACGATCCGATAGTGTTGTTACATTCACTGTTGATTGTACTCTTGCAGATGTCTCTGTCGTCCTTACATTCGTTGATATCTGAAAGGAAGGGGGTGTTTGTTAGACCCGCGTAACACGAACGTGTGAAGCGCAGGGACCATCTCACAATTTCGACTTCTTCCGTGACTATTTCTCTTCGTAGTTCACAAGTACCTGTGGTTCCACATTGCTGGTCTGTGTGACGCTTGAAGCGTCAATTCCGTCTGGTTTTATTTTACTGATGTAACTGTGACGACAGACCTTTGCCCAGTCTCTCGTCTTAGCACTAACGCCGGGGTTTGTCCATCGGAAATGGCTACCATGTATTAGTTTCTGATTTCACCTCTTCAGCATTGCTACCTGTTGAGCACCAAATTAATGACGTCTTTTGGCGTTTTACAATCGTGTCCTTTGGCGTTATATCTATATTATTGAAGTTTTATATTATATCTAAGGCCTAAGGTGTGCGGATGAGAGACAGCGTGTTTGTGCACTTGCGTGCGTGGGTTTGCATGGTTGCGCTTGCCTGGATATTTGCGCCCACTTGTGTGCTGATGCTTCTTAAGATGTTTTTCATGTTCAAGGGTGCTTTGGCCAGATTAGAAGGTTCCTATCAACCATATGAAATTATATGCTAGCATCTTACCTTCACAAGGTGTTCCTGTAAAGCCTGACTTGCAAACACATTGATATGATCCAGGTGTATTGTTGCATTGATTGTTAGCAATATTGTTGCAAATACCCGTATAAAGTGTACATTCATTGATATCTGGCATGTGAATACAGAAACAGCATTGATATCACCTTCAATCTCACAAATATCATCCAGCGTATGCCTTCTTTTACAGCGGCCTCGAGAGATTATGCTCAAGCAAGCTACCAATATCAAAACTTCCCACAAATCGTCCTTATTCGCGCTCTTAAAAGGACACTTGGAAGTAGTGAAGCACCAAAGTTAGCCGACCCTACTGTTTCAACTAAATACCGCCTGATACGTCACCTGGTGATTTCTACACCAAGTAAACTCAATCAGAAATCTCTGAAGAGAATGGTTTGTCCACCAACCACCAAGCAAAAGTTACCATTGAGACACGAGCACGCACGTCGGTCCTCTGAAAATACCTATTCCGCTGAATGTGATTTGAAGAAATTCTCCCCTCGAGTTTGGGAGTTCTCTGTGCTAGTTATAAGAGTTGAAAACCAAGAATGGATGCACAATGTGTGTTGAGAGTGCTCACGAAGTCACCAAAGCAGCGTGTAGTATACAGTACAAAAGGGAATTATGGCTAGTTCAGAGTAAATACGAATACGTTGATCCCCGAGCTGCAGAGAGTGCTCAATGTCAGAGACAGAGCTTAGTACATAGCAGACTCAGCGGAGGACGTTCAGGTTGGTTGTAACTCTGAGTTTCATGCCGCTAGGCAATCATCAGACAACTGAAAGCTAGTTCAGAGTATATAGCAGACTCAGCCTCAGCTCGGGGATCAACGGATTTGCTAGTTCAGAGTATTGTAGATCTGAAAGTATCGCGTACAATCTTTCAAATCGAACGTCCACTACCATCTTCGCCGAAGCCAGTGGCATTGGGCCACAGACTCCCTCTAACAGTTCAGAACTATTTCCATCCTGAAGCTCCCCCCCCCAAGCATTGCATGATGTTCACTGCATCTGAACTGCCTTTGAATCTATTTTTCTCTCTTCTTGTTCTCTCTCCACCCCACCCCTCCCCCACCCCTCTCTCTCTCTCTCTGTACTTAGTAAAAATAAAAAAAACAGTGTCCCACTAGCATGTCAACAGATTATTTCCACTTCAATACGCACAATCTCTCCCGCTCCCACCCCGTTCGCATGCCATCAAGATCATTACTATTCAGACAGCCTGTACCTTGACATGTTGAGCCTGTGTATCCAGTCCTGCAAAGACATTGATATGAGCCAGGAATGTTGTTGCAGTGACTGTTAGCTGTGCTGTTGCAGACACCCGTTTCTGGTGTACACTCGTTTATATCTGGGTATGAGATTGTCATATAAAACATAGTGGTCAGGTGCGTAGCCAGGATAGTGATGAAGGGGGGTGCCACGACATTTCTCACACAAAAGTACATACACTCAAGGTTTTCCAAGTTGGAGGGCTGTTGGAGTGCGCATCCAAGATGTGCAAGAGCTGTTAGCCAGTTAGTTGTAGAACATCAGTACCGTCGGTCAGTGTCGTGCAGTGTTATGGCATGAGCTGATTGTTTAGTAACTGGTGGTGTTAGTGGACATTATAGTGTCACTTGTAGTGCCTTGCTTTTACTAGCCTTTTAGTGATTGGTGCAGCCCAGAGACCGTTTGAAGAGTGAGGATGTATGGATGTAGTTCCTTGGTTCTTTTTATTTTTTATAAATGCGATAATAACAAGTGAAATATTTAACCTGTACAATTGATAAAGTATCCATACTTGACCTGTACCTTGACATGTTACTCCTGTGTACCCTGAATTACACAGACAACGATAAGAACCGGGTGAATTCTTGCAGATACTATCTGTGATATGTTGACAGACGCCAGGGGTGTTTGAGCACTCGTCAAAATCTAAAAGATAGAAGCAATATGAAATGGCGAAGCTAAGAACGAATGTATCCGCTTACCACCCAGCCTGATGTTGATCACTATCTCTAGGTTCTGCACCCCCCCCCCCCCCCTGGCCTTTTAGAACCGGTTTTGGCCGCACTACTAAAGGCCCCAAACCCACTTTACATTCCACAAATATGGGCTTTGTGCTTGCTTCTCCATACATTTTTTATCATTTACACATATTTGCAAAACTAGCCGAATTTCTGGTCCCATATCCCTTCACCGTGTTGCCCTCAAATGTGCAAAGGAAGAATAGCACTGGTCACACAAGGTTCAGTGTACATATATCTGCTACTTTAGGTGCCTGATCCTAAATTGAGGTGTAGAGGGGGGGGGGGGGGGTAGAGATTTGGATTGATGAAACCAAGTCAGCGTTCATATTGCACCACAATTACCTTTGAGCAAACATTGGAGAATATGGATCAGTCCTTGTAAAGGATATTGTAGTGTCCCTGCCACCACGATTCTGCGAGGGTTAGCCTTACAACAAAAAATGTTACGCTGCGTGTGTCCGATGCATACTTGGTAAGGAAAAGGCCATGGTTTCCAAAAGTCGATCCTCCCATCTTTAGGCTGTCTATAATCAGACATCTTTGATAATGTGATTAGACTTTGATAATTTATTTCTGGATCTGCTAGCTTAGTGCATGGCTACGTTGTCTGGTGATGGCTCAGTGTGAAGATCTAAGTTTCAACTGATTAGCCTGACTTCTATATGCACACTAGTGCAAGTCCACCCAGGTGTATTCCTGAAGCAAACATGAGTACTTCATTGGGTAAGATATTCAACAGCTCAACATTCATAAGATTTGCTATATGGAAATTTGAACTGGTTTTCAACTTTGCGAGTCACAAATTTTCAGTAGCACACTCTGCGACTAATGATAATATACTCCAAACTGTCCAAAGTTATTAAAGAAATGGTGCTGATCGTGAAATCAGGTTACTTGCCTTGACACGTTGATCCATTAGTGTATCCTGCATTACAAGAGCATTGGTAACTACCGAATGTGTTAGTACAGGTACCTCTGGGACTTGGACTGCAGGTTGTTGCATTCTTGCATTCATCGATATCTGCATCATGCAAAAAAGAAAAACAGCACCACAAATAGAAACAGTACCCTTTCCTACGGCCAAAGTTAGAAATCCTGTGTCTTTTTTAGTAACTTGAACATTTGGGCTCCTGAAAAATAACGGCGAGATTTTCAAGAAACGTTTGCTTCAGCAATATGCTGTGCTTGAACGCATTCGTTTAAGGTGGCAGACTACCCAAAAATTCGCTGAAAAATCGAATTTGTAAATTCATATTGAGTGCTACGTCAGTTGAAAGAGCATGAATAGCTGCAAATTCTCTGAAAATTGTGTCCCGATCTGACCGGCCGTTCAAGAGGTATGGCCGAAAATGTGCCCTTGCAAGGAAAGATTTTTTTGTTGCACGCTGTCATTTGTTGGCAGCACTGTATTTGAATGTGAGCAGACCGTGCGCAACTTGTCGTATCATGGAAACACGTGAAAGTGTGCAGAATTTTGCTCCAAGTCCAAAAAATCAGGTTTTTGAGCCACGTGCAGCAGGACTTTTGCCAGCACCCTCGTGACGTTGCAGATATGTGGCTTGATTATTGTAGTTGACGTTGATTTAGTGACTTTGGCAAGTTTGAGTCGTGTCAAGAAGTCAGGTAGGATTCAGTACTAGGCAGTAGTGAAACGTGAGTGGTAGTCTTTGCCGGTTTCTGAGGGTATCCTGGATTTGGTGTGCAGCGCTGTGGAAATGGCTTGCTCTGGAGGCCCCAGCACTGGATGTTGTATCAAAGGTACGACCTCGTAGCACGTGCTAAACCTAAAAAAATTCAAAAATTGACTTGGGTCTGTGGGAGTGTGTGAGAGAACGCCCACTCGTTCCGTTGTGACAGATTCCAGGGCCTCGTTGAGGGGCCCTACCCCATCACCCATGGCTGCTTCTGGACTTGTTCTAGGTTTGAGTCCCGCGCACGAACAGAATGCGCACGAAAATGTGAAAAAATGTAAATGCATTTGTTTGGCTCCTGGGTGGCTCGCACACCGTAGCACTATGCCGGAAATTTGAGTTTTTGCGGCCTGGAAAGCCTGTCAGTGAGGCGCAAGAACTTGTAAATCATGTCCTGAGGGCCAGCATAGTGGCAGGAGTGTGTGGTCAAAATTTCACTCAAATCCATTGAGAAACACCAAAGTTACGGTCAATTGAAATTTATGGGTAGGCTGCCCCCTTAACTTCGCAATGGCTTTTCGCAGGCGCAGTGTTTTGATTGATTTTTATTTCACGGATCCTCCAGAGGCAAATAGATGCCTATCGAAGGGAGTCTCCTAAGTAAGTATGGAAAAATTAATGAGAAAGTATGTTCGTAAGGGAGAAGAGGTAGAAGATACATTAGAATATAGAGTACAGAAGAAGTAAATTCAGTACTTCGGGTAGTACATTGCATGCTAATCATAATGAGAATTAGAAAAGCAGCATTGCGGACTACTATAACTGACATATACACAAACTATTGAAACTATCATAGATGTGGTTAGCCTAGACACAAAAGTCAGGAATACCTTTCAAAGAAAACATTGATTGCGAATGATACCGACGAACAGCAATACTAAATTTCGCTGTCGTAGAGAGTGAACGAATATCTTCAGGAAGTTTATTCCAGGCAACACTCAAAGAAAAAAGGGTTGATTTACGAAAGAAGGTGCCAGCTTTAGGAAGAATTATGGATGAAGGGTGACGACTGCTTTGGGAAGAGGGTAGCTGGAAGTGAGACAACAAGGAGGGGTATTGGGAGAATACATGGTGGAAATAGACAAGGCCAAGAATCTGCCGTCGCCATGCTAAAGATTCCCAAGAGGACAGAACATTGAGGTCTTCTTTGGAAGTCGTCCAGTCAGGCCGACGCTTGAGTTTACTATTTAAGTATGCTCTAGCAGCAGTAGCCTGCAGTTTATCAAGGGTTGTGGACATGGTGGCTGAAACGGAAAACATCCAAACGGGAACAGCATATTCAAGGAGGGGACGAACATAACATTTATACAAAAGATTCACAGCAGGAAAAGGAAGGAAGTTGGACATGTGGTTTAAAAGAAAAACCCGACCTCGAAATTTGCTGGTAATGTGTTGAATATGGGGGGACAGATTGAGTGAAGGAGTGAGGGTGATGCCCAGATGGCGGTGGGAAGAGGGCTGGGTCAGTAACGTACCGGCCATGGTGACGGTCCTGGGATCAGGTGGGTTTGATTTAGGTCTGCGGAAGGGAACATGGACACATTTAGTAGCATTGAAAACTGCTTCAGCTTTATGAGACCAGTTCACACATCTATCAAGGTCTAGTTGCAGGGAGGCAGTGTGCGCGGCGGGTACGACAGTAGGCGGAGAAACGCAGATCATGTTGGAATCATCCGCAAACAGAGTCAGATCGCTGGATTGGGGAATGCTGGGAAGGGAGTTGATAGAAAGGTTGAATAATAGAGGGCCTAGGTGGGAGCCTTGTGGCACACCAGCGGTGAGCGATATATGGGTTGATAAGGAGGTTCCGACCCGCACAGACATCGATCGGCCTTCCAGGAAGTCCATCAGCCACGCGAATGAGTCAGGTGCACACCAACCGGACAGACATGAGGCTAGGAGGCGATGGCTGGTACGATCAAATGCCTTCGAGAAATCGAGAAAGACGGCATCACACTGGGCCCGGTTATCAAATGCAGAGCTGACAGGTGATGTGATATACACAAGTTGGTCAACCGTGCTTCGGTGGTGGCGAAACCCGAACTGTTTCGGCGACAGTAGTTTGTGTTTCGCTACAAACGCATACACCTGGCGGCTGATTAACGCTTCGTAGCATTTTGCCACACCATTCAGCAGAGATATCGGCCGGTAGTTAGCAGGGTCATTGCGACTTCCCTTACCCTTGTAAATTGGGGTAACGATTGCAACTTTCCACTCAAGGGGTTGGGATCGGTAAGTGGTGCAGCGGTTAAAGAGAGCAGTGAGGGATTGGGCGAGCACTTCTGCTGTCTCTCGTAGGATCCTGTTAGGAAGACTGCCAGCTGTAGACTTTCGCACACTTAGGGTCGACAGTGCCTTGAATGCTTCTACGATAGACAGAGGACGGATGGCAAATGTTTCCGAAGAAGAAGGCATGGCGAGATCACGATGATCTGCATCCGACGACGGTGTAGCTTGACTATTCTTGGCGAACTGTTGACAGAAGATGTTCGCTTTCTCAGGGTCGGTAACCGCTAAGGTATCGACTCCTTGTATATCAGGTATAGCGGTGTGAGGACAATTGATTTGGCACATTTTCTTGACTCTCTTCCACCAGTCATAAGATCCTCGATCTGCATGAAGGCCTTCTGACATCTGGTCGTAGAAGTGACGTTTAGCTTTACGGATGGCAGCGACGAGGCAGTTCCTTGAAATGCGATAAGCAGCCCAGCACTCAGGGGTATTGACACGTTTTGCTGCAGCAAATAGTCGATCTCGACGTTGACGGAGGCGATGGTGCACAGAGGTGAACCAAGGCTTTCCATAACGATTTGTTCGTTTTCGAACCTTCGGAACAAAAGATAATATTGCTGTGTCAACTAGTGTTCGCCAGGAGACCCATGCTTCATCTGTACTACTGGCTTCTTGTACAGCAGCGAGAAGAGGGAGGCTCCAAAGGTGGTTATTAAGTGCAGGCTAGTCTGTGGCTGCATAGTTGTTCACGAGCAAATCAGAGTGCACTGGTTGCTGGGAACGAGTCTGTATTGCGAGATCAAATACCACAGGACAGTGATCAGAAACAGGGGGAAGTGTGGTGAGGTTGTGGATGAGGAATGGTTGGTTACAGAGAACAAGGTCCAGGAGAGAAGAGCTCTGACCTGCGGCGGAGAAACGTGTTGGGCGGTCGCGTACAAGTTGTGTGAAACCAGTATCATCCAGCAGTTCGACAAG